GGAGGGGTGGATTTTTAGGGCTTTTTGTAAGAGGTGGTAGATTTTTTAGAGTTTTGGGGCTTGGGGTGCATTTTTAGAATTTTTGGAAGGGGTAGTTGATTTTTAGAATTTTTGAGCGCCGGGGTGGATTTTTAGGGTTTTTGAGGTTTGGAGTGAATTTTTTGGGACTTTTTTTTGCTGTGGGAGGGGGGGGAGAGTACATTTTTAAAGTTACATGGTCGTTTTATAGATCTAAAGAATCGTATTTCAAAGTAATGTAAAAATTTTCTTAGACACTATAACCTTTAACACTCTTAGCTTATATACGCCCACTACTATGATCTACCTACCCTTACCAACCTCATATATATATCCCTACCACCCCACCTAAAAATTAAACTTTTAGCCCCGGACCCCCCTAGACGATAGCGATTGGAAAGTAAATATTTTTAAGCCGACTTCTCGAGTTTTGTTTGCGAGTTAGAGTTTTCGCTTCAGCCAGCGTTTTTGAGTTTTTAATTGTCTTATAATAGGTTAGTTAAAGTTTGTGTAACGATCTACTTAACGGCTTTTTATGAGACGTTTTGGTAATATTTTTGGGCGGAGAAATGGGTTTAAGTTGCTTTGGCTTGAGTTTAGGGTTAGAATTGGTTTTGTAGGGTTGAGGTTTGGGTTTTTTTTTGAAGGGTTGGGTTGAAAGTTTATCAAAAAAAGGCTAAAGCTTGAGCTTGGCGGGGTAAAACGAAAGTTTTAAGGTTGATTTTGAGAAACAAAACCTACTGTACGTCTTCCTCACTCATAACTAAAACCCCATTTTTCAATTCCCAACCTTTGAGCCCTGGTTATGATCTACGGAAATTGTGGAAAACAAAACTTTCAATTGGCTTGTTATTCTTTAAACGCTACTTAAACAAACCATATGCAGCTGTGAGACCCAGCACAAATTAGGTTTAGCAAACACTTTTTTCGAATCTTTGTTGTTTATTGGGAGGGTGTCTTAACACGGAGATGGGGGGGGAGGGGGGGATTTTTTTTTAAAATTTTTTTTAAAAATTTAACAGGGTTGAACTTTTTAAAAAAAATTTTTTTGGGCGTGATATCGTTTTTGAAGGAATGAGGTGGAGGAGGGGAAGGATTTAGATTTTTTTACTGTCAAGGAAAAAAAAACTAAAAAAAAATTTTTTTTTGTAATAGTTTTTTTTTGTTTGGTACTCAGTCTTTTCCTTTTTTATTCTTTTACTAATTACCCCTCCCCCCCTCTCCTTCCCCAACCTTTCCCCTCACTAATCCCGTTACCCTCCTCCAAATCACAAACAGGCCCCACCGTGCATGTCAGGCACTTAAACCCAATAAATGCGTCATAATTCTCCCGTTTCTGGGGTCCATAAACACTAGCCGCCTTTATTCCGTCTACTCCTTCGGCTATTTTAACTGCGATTATGGGAGGGGGGGAGGGCTGCGCAAAGTGAATGGCGAGCGCGTTTTTATGACTCTTATTATTATTATTTTTTCAACTGGTTGCGGAAAGCGTATTCTGCAAGCCTATTAGTGGATGGAATTGGTAGGTTGGGGACGTATTGGTAAAAGAATGGCAACTTTGGCCGGGTTTTAGAAAAAATTTTTTTTTTTGAAGGGCAAATTTTAATGCTAATAACATTAAAAGTGGTACTTTTGGCTAAATATAAACTTTGTTTTTCAATTTAGAGGCCATTTGTAGTAGTTTTGACGACAATAATTTTCGAAAAAAAAATTTTTTTTGAAATTTTATGGCTAGATAGGGCTAAATAAGTCAAAGTGGTGCAATTGAGACCATTGGTACTTCATTTTCTTTTTAAAATTTAAATTTTTTAAGTCCTGGCACGATAGTAGTTTAAAAATTTTGTTTTAACTTAAAAGTGGCTATAATTCCAAGTTTACACTAGCCGATTGCTCTACCACCCCTACCTTGTACTCTCATTCTAACTAGCCCTATCATGTACAACTTTTTTAATCACCCCTTTAGAGAAACATGTAAAGGGGTGATTAAAAAAAGTTATACTTTTTCTAACCACCCCCCTTCATGTACCCCTCCTCCAACCATCATGTACACCTCTCCCTCTTCTCTTTTATTGTTTATCGTGTCAACAGTCGAAGATACGATCAAACGTCTTCAGTCCTGTTATTTGTAATTCCTTTAAAAGAGCCATTCAAAGGTCCCATAAAAAAGTGGGAGAATTTCTTCCGTCCAACCGGCTTGTTTATTTGACACAATGATGGGGTCGGGCGGTTTTTGGTCTTGTGTTTATAAAAAAAATCGACCATAAAGCTGGGTTGTGTTTGTTTTTGGCCTGCACTTGGGCGAGCTAATAACTATCGGCTATATTTAGGCTAGTGTTTTGGGGTGGGTGCATTTGGGGTGGATTTTAGAGAATTTTGAAAAAATTGAAAATTTTTTAAAAAATTTAAAATTTCAGATTGAAGATCACAAAAACTAAAGAATTTCCAAAAATTTTTTTAAAACTCAAATTCCCGCCAGAATTCAAACTTTTCAATTTTCATAAATTTTTTTTTCAAAAAAACTTTTCTTTGTACATTTTACAATCCCAGCCACATCAAAGACCACTAGCCTCAGAAAGTGCGTTTTTACACAACCGAAAAGGTTACACGACCGATTTAATATATCCCCAACGCTCATAAATTTTCGTCTGCGCCGGCTTTTGTTACTTTTTTCGCTGTTTTTACGTTGAAAAAAGGTTTTTTTTTGGTTGGAATGACGATTGGTATCTTCGTGTTGCCGACGATCTGATGTTTCTTTAAAGCTTTGTTTGACGGGTAAGACTGGGAGATTTTAGGCTGGTTTGAGGATTATGGAAGGAGAGTTTTGAGACTTGGCATTTGAAGGGGTTGGGATAGGCATTAGAAGACTTATAGGCTAGTCATTAGAAGGCTTTTTGAACTGGGTACTAGAAGGCTGTTGTCTAGGTAGAGTTTGGAGAAGGGTAGGGCGTTTGACAAGGCTTGGTATCTTTGTGTTGTCAAAACAAGATATCTGAGAAGCTCTTAGCTAAGAAGTCTCTTAGGCTAAGCATTTGAAGGTTTTTAGACTAGGCAGAGTTTGGGGAAGGGTAGGGAGGTTTGATAGGAAGAAAGCCTAAAAGAGGAAAGGGGAGGAGGAGAGGGAAGGAAGAGGAGAAGATATTTTTTTGTTACTAAGCTTTATAGGCTTATTTTTTCTTTTTTAGGCATGATTTAGACAAAAAAAATTTTACGATTTTTATTATAGAAAATTTAAAGTCAGGGTATAAAAACTTAATTTAAAATCGAACCACTTCTTCCCCTGTCTTCTATCTTCCCGCACTGTTCCCTATTTTCTCATTAAGCCAACTCCAAACCATCAACTACAACCTTGACAACAGCGAAGTCAAAGCAGGCTTCAGCTGTTCGTTGATATGATCTTTTTTCGGTGAAAAAACAGATCGTTTGTACTTTGGATGGAACTATCTTATCGATGGGAGTGGGGGAGGGTTTTCTTCCCGGGTCAGCGTAGCGGTATAAACGAGCAACTTGTTGGTGCTGTAAACTTTTCAAATTGATAGGTTTTGCGACAGTTCTGCTTGTGTATAATCTTGATTAGTGATAAACTGGGAAGTTGTCAATTTTGGGTTTAGTATAGTTTTTGTTTGGGCTGGGGGTGTGGTTTGGAGGGGTGGTGAGGAAAATTGCTTAGGGGGGGGAGTAAAATATTTTAAAAATTCATTTTTTGAAAAAAAAATTCACAGGGGGGGGAGTACGTTTAAATTTTTTTAAAAAAAATTTTTTTTGCGAGGATTAAGATGGGTTCACAAATTTTTCAACTTTTTTAAAAAAATCTGCCAAATTTTAGCACTTTATGCCCCCAGCTCCAAACCTCACAAACGTAAGCGACAAACAGCTGAAAAGGTTAAAAACCACGGAATCCCCGGGAGAAAAGTTTTTGAAAAATTGGAAAAAAGTGTATTAGAGGCCTCGAACATTGAATATATGTTGTTTTTGAAGCTGTTTTTCAATTTTTTGAAAGCGTTCTTTTCGAAAAAAAATTGAAAATTGCTTGGTGGGAGTAAGTCTGGGAAACGGAAAAAAGATTAGATGGAATGGTGTGTCGACCATATTTCTGTGCTTCTTGTATTCGTGACGCCGTGGTGGGTAGGGTGGGGTAATTCCGAGTAGAGTAGGGTAATGCTGAGTAGAGTAAGGTAGGGCCGAGTAGAGTGGGGTAGGGCATAGTAAAGTAGAGTAGGGTTGTGTAGAGTAGGGTAGGGTCGAGTAGAGTAAGATAGAACCGGGTAGAGTAAGGGGGGGGAGTGTAAAGAAAGACAAAGCATGAAAACTCTTTTTTTTTCATTTATCCAAAAATCTTCATTTTAAAAACTCTTTGTCTCCAATTATTCTAAGCCCCAACCCTCAGTCTAGACATAGTCCTCATAAATTTTTAACGTCAAAACAAAAAAAAACTGCGTTTTGTTATGTTACAGCGGCAGGATATGGGTAGTTATTTTACACTATGAAACACACAAACTGCTCATTAATAATTCATGGTGAATAATTTGTTTAAAACGGGTTTAAATTGCATTTGTGAAGAAAATGGTTTGCTCGCACGGAAGTGGAACATAATATGCTTTCCCAACTTTACTTTAACAGATCAAACATTGTGTAGTAAGGGGGTTATGGGCTTGCAATTGGGGTAGAGAATTTGTCAACAATTTCGTTAAAGCTTGAAATTTGATTTTAATTAATTTTGCCAAATTTAAATAAGTTTTGTCGTTTTTTCTGTAGGCTTTATATGTCAAAAAACGACAAAATTTTTGAAATTTTTTTGATTTTTCAAAAATTTATTCGCGTTGCCACTACATTGCCATATCTATCGAACAATACCTAAAAATCGAAATTTTAAGACCATAAAACAAACTACCTCCAATTCACAAAATCTCGGTTAAATTTCATTAAAAACGGAGCCCTCAGTCCATCTACCACATAAGCGGGCCGCCGCTGCCGCTCCTCATTCAATGATCACTCGCAACCGCCGTCGCCGCCTAATCTCGGCCCCAGTGTCGGGTGCCAGCTATGTTATGTCATCTTCACCTCAATCCAGCACCCCATCTCCACCGACCCACGAAGACGCCGGCGGGCCAATTCGTCGCAGTTCCCACGCCCGGCTAAGCGCCAAACGTACCAGTGAAAGTGGCACCGACCCTAAAATCAAACGCCCCAACGCTGTGTTGGTACGTCGCTCTCCAGGCGCTCAAAATCAAACCAAAACTTACATTATAACCACCACGAATCCGGCCGAAACTAGCGCTTTTCTAAAACAACATGGCCTAGGCAACTACCGCATCCGCCACAGTACCCTCGGCAGTACTGATAGTGGCATAGCGGTGCAGGCGTCCAGTCGATCGTCGGCTACAAACTCGAAAAAGTCCAGCCCAACTGAATCAAAGAGATCCAGTCCGACCCTGAATAATACTGATAATTTACAGAATTCCGCTCAGGACCACGTTAGAAGTCCTACTGTAGCCAGTCCGTCCGACCACAGCAATAACTTGTTCGGTCCGGACAGTCCGGGAAGCTACAATAACAGAGAGGTATGTTTTTGAAGTTGTGTTGTGATTTGTAGCGTTTTTTGAAAATTTTTTGGATTATGACGAAATGTCACAAAAGTTATTGGAAATTTGAACGAAGTGTCAAAATGACAAATTTAATATTTTAGTCGTTATAAACATGATTTATTTGCAAAAAAAATTATTTTACAAATGTCGACGAAATGTCACAAACTTATCGGAAATTTTGACGAAGTGTCACAAAACTATTGGAAAACTTAACTTTTTGCTAAAACCAAAAAACTGTAAATTTTTCAATACTTAACATTTTTACACTGTAAAGTAACCTTTACTACTACGTAAAAGTACCAAAAACAAACTTTTTACTTACCAAAAGATATGATTACAAAAAGACGTATATCTTATCAAGTTTAAAGTCGTTTTTGTGGTTGAATGTTATTAATATGTTGTAAAATGATCGCATTATCATTTATCAACTTTTTCGCTCTCAAAAGCCATTCTTCCATCTCAACGTGGTTCTCAGAGTTTAAAGGAGTCGGTTATTAATAGTTGGCTTTGGTAAACAGCTTTTTAGACAAGGTTTAGTTATTTTAGGTTTAGTTATTATAAGTTTAGTTATGATTAGGTCCGGGTAAGGTAGGATAGGGTAGGGTAAGGTAAAATGTTTACAATTTAGAGCATTTTTCAAGCGGCAAAAAAGTTTTGTCGCTTTTTACTGGGAAAATGCACGTAAATTGGCGACAAGACTTTTTTAAAAGTTTTACAAAAAGATTTCTAAATCAACTTTTTTTAAATGCTTGTTCAAATAACTCTGCGCCCTTTAATCCCAAAAATTGCTTTAAAAAGGGGCTCAGAATTATTTGAACTATCAAATAGTTTTTCCCTTTTTCATCTTTTGATCTCAAAACTTTTTTTACATTGTAAAGACCAACAATTTCATTGACAGCTTTTTGCGTACACATCCGCTTTTTCGAATATATTCAAAACAATGATTAGGGCCGATGAAAAAACAAAGAATTTGTTTGTTCTCTAATTTTAGTGATAAGAAAAGGAAAGAAATTCAGTTTTTGGGGTCGAAAATGGGGTTTTATGGTCGATTTTTTGTGGAAAATTGAAAAAAAGGCGGAAAATTGAAGAGATAATGGTTGATAATGATGAATGTGATAATGGTTTTAATTTCCAATGTAGTAGAGTCTATTTTTTTTTAGCTGAAAGCTTTCAAAGCTTAAAAATTTGTCTTTTAGGTATCAAAATCTTAAAAATATGGCCAAAAGGGCACTATTTTTTTTAGTTTTAAACTTATTTTTGGCTCTAAAACCATCTTTTTTAAATTTTTTGTTTATAAACTTCATGAAGAACAACTTCTTTGCTTCATATTGTAGTTGCACATCAAAGTACATAGCGTTTTAGTTAGTTTGCAAACCAAATTGTTCTGTTGCTTCATACGTTTGAATTGAACTTTTACAACGAAATTTGATAGCGCAATCCGTTTTTTGCGATTAAAATGGTTTGCAAAGGGGTTTTTTTATTTTAAAAATAATAAAAATTTAAAAATGAAAAAAAAATTTTCAAAAAAGATTTTTTTTTTGAAATTTTGTTTCACTACCCCCAAAAATAATACTACCCTTTACTACAGCCAACCAACCCCAAATTGACCTCGGCCACGCAGTAAAAAGCGTGTTTTTTGTTTATAAATTGTGTTGATTTACTGATAAATCGACCTTGTCCCGTCTATGAGTCTGTTTCCGGGCGGGGTTTATCGAATTCTGTTTCGCAATCAAAAACAAAACAACTCTGGAAGGGCGGAATTTCACTGAATTTTTGCGATCATCAGCCCTGCTTCGCGGATTTTTAAATTTATTTTTGGAATTTTTGGGATTTTTGAGAATTCGGACCGTCTGAACGATCTGTGGGGTGATTAAGAATGAGTGGAATATGTTTAGAAAGGGGGATAGAAGGACTGGAGAGTATGGGAGAGAGGAAGGAGGAGGTAAAAAAAAGTACAGTTATTGTGAACAGGGGGGGGGGGGGGGGGGGGAGGTTGTAAAATTCTTCTTTTTAAATTTAAGCCATTTTAAAAAGTACATTTTGAAATATTAACCTCTACTATCCAACTCAATAAAATAACAATAAACCCTCTGCCCCGAGGCGAAAGGCTAGTTGGGTAAACAGCTGATGAGAATGACATCATCATAAGCTGATAGAGGTGGTTGTTATCAGAGTTTGTTGTGATTGGTAGGAAAAGAACGGCTGATTGTAATGACATTGACAGGTTTTCGGCTTGGCAGGGGTCAATTTTGATAATTTTAGATTTCCAATGAAATTTTGGAGTTTTTGGTCAAAAAGTGTATAGAAAAGTGAAATTAAAGGGGTAGGGTTTTTAAACGGCAGGTTTAAGCATTTTTTAAGCTTTTTTTTGCAAAAAAAAAATTGAGCGGGGTAAAATTTTTTTGAGGGTGGATAACTTTTTTTTCCAAAATTTTTTCCTTTTTTTCTAAAAATCAAAACCCTTTTTTAACACAAAAAATTTTTACACTTTCCCCTTTACCATCGAGCACTCAATTACAATCTATAAACAATTTGGTATCAAATATCATAGCGTAGCTGAAGTGGAATCTTATAGGCTTTAATAAAAGGTTGATAATGAGCTGATAAAACTGACTTTGCCGAGTTCTTTAATTACGTTTTAAAACGACTGGTGTTTAATGTTTGTTGTGCTGGCGAGAGATAAATGTGTTCTGAACATTGTTTTACTGTTTGGGGTTGTGAGGTGGGTTCGGATTTTTGTAAATTTTAATAAATTGGGTATATGGGGAGGGGTGGAACTTGGATGGTGGTTTTGGAATAGTACTGGGTATCTAGGCCTAAAATTTTAAAAAGATTGGGTTGTTGGTAGTTTAGTAATTTAATAAAAATGGCAGAAAAATCACATTTTTTGTCAATTTAGCGAAAATGTGGGAAAACGTTATATTTTTTGAATTTTCTGCCGCGCTTTGCCATTATTTTTGCAACTCTCAAAAACTTATAAATTCTCATTCAACTTAACACAAAAAATGTAAAATCAATTCCCATTTCCACGTGGAAACGCCATAAAAACCGCCAAAGGGCTGAAGAGAAATTTGAAAATTTGGTCCGTTGGAAACGCGAAAAAAGTCTAGTTGTTATTGAGCAAAATCAATCGTTTGAGCACACACACATCGGAGCCCCGTGGAGTATTTTCTGTGGGGCGAAACAAAACAGCTGATTGGCGACCTCCGACACCGTGAATACATATACACAGTGGAAGGAGGGGGGGGGGGACAAAAATAAGAAAAAAAAGGAACCCGTTTCGGAGTAAACATTCAACTCCACACTCTTTTTTGCTTTGGTTCGCTTCGTTTCTGGCAACTATTTGATTAACGTCGGAATTGCTTGAGGGGGGGGGGCCATATTTTTGATAAGGCGGTTGGGGAGAGAGAAACGGATATTTTTTTTTGAAATTTGGGGTAGTTTGAGATGGCTTAGGAGGGGTAATTTCAAAAAGGCGTTTGCTAGGTCTAGTTTGCTTTTGCGCGGCCCAGCCTGATTTTATCGCGGCCTAATTCAGCTTTAGCGCGGCTCAGCTTGGATTGGCCTCAGGGCCAAAGCATATTTTGAAAGAGGTCAAAGTGAAATTCAGGGCAATCTCAAACTTTAATCTTTGGTTCAAAAAAATTAAATTTTAAATTGATTTTCCGTTTTACAGGTTTAAGAAACAAGAATTTTAATTTTTTAAAAATTTCTTCATTTTTGACCAGGTCCAACTACCCAAAACCAGCTACAAATTGTCTCAAAACCATTACTGTTTTACTTAAAATTACTTAATACAAACTCTTTTCAAACCTTTTTGATACATAATTGTAGTGCTACAACCAAATTCAAATTCTTCTTATCTGGCACTTAATTGTACGGTGTTTTTAGGCATTTCAAACTGATTTTTCTATTAACTCTGCTAATTTAAGACGTTGTAAATACATTTTTGACGGCAATGGTTGTATTTTTGTTGAGAATAAGTACAGTTTTTTTTATATTTTTGGGCTATTTTATTTAAATTTTTCGTTTTTTATGTTGTAGTACACTTTTTTAAGAAATTGTTAGCAACATTTTTAAAAAAATCTTTAAAAAAATTTTTTGAACTCAAATTGCCATCTAATCTACTAACTTTTGCTAACCCTAAAAACAGTACAATCCATTGCAATCCATTGTTGTATGTTGTATAGTTGTAAAACACTTTCCTATTCTCCACTATCCTATAGCTACTTGTAGCCTACTTCAATATCTTTGCCTAATTGTAAAACTCTCTCTTTACAATCCAAATTACAATTGGCATTATAATTACAACTGCTATTACACCGCGAATCGAGAACTCACTAGAACTACAATTAATTAAACTAAGAATAGGTTACTTTGTGTTTGAAAAGGTTTGGCGAAGAATTGGTTTTCGGTCTCTTACTGACAACAGTTTTTGAGTGTTTACAAAAAAACACACTGAATATAATGTTTTTGATTACAATTGTAGTTCGTTGTGTCATGTTTCGAAATGGGAGGGGATTTTGGTTTTGGAGGTTTATGAAATTTGCATAAAATTGAATTAAAATTATTTTAGAGGGTTTGGTGGGGCTTTGGGGAAATGGCTGTAACTTTTGTTTTACTAATAGGGGAGTGACTTTCCTTAGGACCATTTTTAATGATATAATTGGCATAAAATAACATTTTAGGTTTAGTCTTGTTTATTTTTTACACTTTTTGTTCATTTTTCCGTTGTTTTTTAAAATTTTCGAAGTTTTAGTGCACATAAAATTAAACTTTAAGTTTTTTGCGTGCATTTCACCTATTTTTTGTTCATTTCTTATATTTGTAAGTAAGAACAATACCAAAGTGTTAAGTTAGTTGCTGGAATGGTGTGATTTGTAGATATAATAGAAAAAATATAACGGCTTTTGGTATTATTGCGACAGATTTTTTAAAAGTGTTATGAAAATTGCAAAAAAACTTAAAAAATATAATTTTTTTTAAATTTTGGTTAAACTAATGTAAGAAAAATATGTTAATAAAAACTTAATCGCTTAAAAAAAGTTTTGCAATTTGTTCAAATTTCCTGAACGTTTTAAAAATTTATAAAATTTATGCAAATTACGCTTATTATTTATAAAATTTATCATTTTCAGTTGGACGACTTTATCATTGACGAAATATTGTCATTGGAAGACGAACAGCATTTCCGTTCTAAAGAACAACGTCGTGGTGGCAATTCTCAACCTGTAAGTTTCAAAAATTTTGAAAAAATGTTGATTTAAATTGTAAAATACGTTATTGTGAATTGACACTATCTGGGGGTTGAGTTAGAGTTGGAGGCAAAGATAGAGCTAGAGCTAGAGCCAGAGCTAGAGCTAGAACTAGAGCTAGAGCTAGAGCTAGAGCTAGAGCTAGGGCTAGAGCTAGATTTAGAGTTATAGCTAGAGCTAGAAACGGCTTGTATTGCTAACGTAAAACCCGTTTAGATATAAGGTATCGTACTATGATGTATCGAATGTATAATAAGTAGTATTAAAGAACATACCAGATTATCCGAATTCTTGGTTTTTTTTGCAAAATTTTGGTTTTTGGCCTAGTTACGTAGTAAAGAGTGTTTTAATTGCATTGTAAAGAGAGGATTTGTGGCTGAAAATGTTAAGATTTCGAGACTTTAAAGACTAGAAAAGCCTTTGTGTTACAGTACTCTTCAAAGGAAATTTAACTCGTAGTCTAGGATGAACTATATTTTTTGTTTTGTTTTTTATTTTATTCTAGTATGGCGTTTTAGAAAAAGTTTTTAAATGTTTTTTTTTCAAATTTTAAATTTTTTTTGAATTTTTTATTTCTTGTGTCATTTCAAGTTAAACTCTAATATTCACCAATGTAACTTCCCCAAACGTTATCAGCCGTTTTTCGAACCGAAAAGTCGAATTTTTTGCCTTCTACTGTTTTCTCTGACCGTCTAGCAACCCTCTATACTTCACGTACTCTCTCACTCGGTCCCCACAGTTTCTACAACTGATAAGGTCAACAAAAGAGTGGAACGAAATAAAAGATCAAAAAAATCAATTTTCAGCCAGTTTTCATAACAATTCTTCTTAATTTTTTATTGTGGCTGGTTGGAAGGAAAGTTTTTGCGGTTTTTGGTAAAGTTGCCCTGCTTTAGCCAAGTCAGTGAAACTGAGGTTTATGATGTTAATTTAAAGTTTTAAGTTAGGAACAGTTAGGTTTACTTAAAAATAAGGGTTGAAATGTAAAATACGATAAATGAAATATGGTTTTTATATATAATATAAAAAGAGTTTACTGTTAGTAAAACTATTTTTTTATCTATTTATATCTAAAAATTCCCTGTGATATTCATTTACTGTACATTTATTACAGTTTGCAAGTTTGAGGATGCAAAAAAGCTACAATTATGTCATTTTTTATATTATTCAGCTAAAAAGAGTTGAAAAGAGTAGTTAAAATGGAGTTGGAAATGTAGTATTGTAGTTACAATTTAGTATGTAGGAGCGGGCAATTAGTTAACGGTTGCACAATTTTAATTTTATTAATGTACGGTAGGGTAAGAAAGCAAAATTTTATCAAATTATTGTACTGGGAGATAATATGAACTTGTATTTTTTAATTTTCTTGATAAAACAGGAAGAAAGGGGTACTTTAAAGGTGTGGAGAGTAGAGCAGAGTATGTCGCGTAGATGTTTTTGAGAAGCGGGGGGGGAATGATGGCGGTTTTCACAATTGTTTGTGATTTTTAAGTTCTGATAGTGGGAGGCAAATTAAAAATTTTCTTTTAGTTTTTTATTCTCTTTTCTCTTACTTTCCCCTACCCTACTCTCCTTACTTCACGTTACCCTACCCTACTCTCCTACTTCAGTTTACCCTACTCTATTCTATCCTACCCTATCTTACCCTACACTACTTTACTTTACCTTATCTTACTTTTCCTTATTCCACTCTGTCTTAATCTTTTTTCCCTTTGCCTCTATCTTTCTGAACATCTACTTCTTCTCGTCCTCAATCCTACCATTTTATCAACCTTTCAAAACTTTTTTTTAAAACTGTTAGAACTGTACTTTTTACCTCATCCGAAAGTCCTTTGGCCCCTTAACCCTACAATCTTCATCGATGTCGTTGGAATGTAAGAGGAAAGGGCTGGCGGGTCAGTGGCGAAACAGTCGGGGTAATAAACCAAGACGGTTGGGGTAATTTGTCTTCCGCGCTCAAAATTCCTTCGTCTCTTTTCTTTCCGCCGTTTTTCGATATCAAATAGTCGGAGGGGGGAGGTTTTCTGGTCGGAAAGGGCAACGTTAAGGGAGTCTGAGTTTGTTTTACGAGACGTTTTTTATTATCGTATGTTGTCATTGATGCTGTGATAGATTGTTGCATTTCGAGTCGATGGTAGGTCATTTTGAAGTTTAGGCTTAAGTTTTTGCTTAAAAAACTAATTTTGAAAAGTTGGATAAAGTTTTGTCGTTGATTTGCATAGGTTTGCAAGTCACAAAACGACATGACTTTGTTAGAGTAGGAGAGTTGAATTGGGTAGGGTAGAGTAGGGCAAAGCAGGACAAGACAAGGCAAGGCAAGGCAAGGCAAGGCAAGGCAAGGCAAGGCAAGGCAAGGCAAGGCAAGGCAAGGCAAGGCAAGGCAAGGCAAGGCAAGGCAAGGCAAGGCAAGGCAAGGCAAAGCAAGGCAAGGCAAGGCAAGGCAAGGCAAGGCAAGGCAAGGCAAGGCAAGGCAAGGCAAAGCAAGGCAAGGCAAGGTTCGACAGGGTAAAAACCTACTATAAAGTACAAATTGTTTTTAAATTTCCTTTTTAAATTTCCAAGCTAATAAACCATTTTTTAAATTTAAAAAACCCAAGTTTGCCAAGACCAAAGACTGGTCAAATTACTCAACGTTTCCTTTTACAATGTTTTACCCTCTGGAGACTGTTAACTGCCCTGAACTTGCACTTTTTTATTCTTTTTCATGAACATTTTTATTATTTTATAGCGCAGTATTAACTAAACTTACTCTGGCTCAAAAAGATTTTATATTTTTTGGGTAGGGCAGGGTAGAATTGTTGAGTAAGGTTTTGTAGAAAGGTAGCGTAGGGTTGTGAAGAATTTTAAAGTTATTTAAGGCAGGTAAGCCGGCTTGTTCGTCTTTATAGCTTATTGTCAGCTTTCTTGCTTTAAGGTTTAACAGAATTCAAATAAAGCTTAATTTAGCTTTTCCAAACAGTTTTCGACAAAAAATGTATGCTTTTTAAGGTAATACTGAAATTTTTTTAATGTTAAGCATAGTCATCTCTGTTAAATTTTAAAAAGAACGTCAAAAAAATTTTTTCTCTCCTCCCCCCGGTAAAAATATTACCCCGCTCGGCACTACCAACAAGTTAAAGCCTTTCTTTCCTTATTTAAATAGACCCTTCTCATCTGTTAGAAACTCTGATTTGGTCGTCTGCCTATGATAACAATCGAAGGGAAAGTAAAAAGATTCTTTTTTGTAGCGTTAGAGTGATCTATGGTAGATTTAGATTAAAAGATGGACAAAAAGTAGTGTTTTGGTTGTAAAATCTTTATTTGTAGTCTAGTGTTAAACCATAATACAACTTTTGGTGTTATGCAAACGAAGTGTGATGTAAACTGTTTTGGTTTGTGTTAGGTTATGGTACTTGGTGTTTAGGTATTAAATTTTTAATTTGTTTTTATTTTTTGTAGAGTTGGGTACGATAGAATAGGTGGGATATAATATTATAGCAGGTTAGTTTAGGGTCGCGTGTGGCCGTGTAAAGCCGTATATAGCCGAGTAGTGCAACGTAAAGCTCAGTAGGGGACAGTAAGACCAAGTATGTTAGGGTCGTTCATCAGCAAGGCAGGGCAAAAACTTTTTCTTTGTTGAGTAGGACTGAGTAAAGTCCTGTAGGACCGGTAGACCCCTGTTGAGTCGAGTAGGGTCGAGGAGGGCCGTGTAGGGTCAAGCAGGAACATGTAGGGCCGTGTATGGCTGAGTAGGGCAATGTGAAGCTCAGTAGGGGACAGTTGGTCCAAGTATTGTAGGATAGTTTGTCAGCAAGGCAGAGCAAAAATTTTTTTTGACCAAAGGTTTCATGGCAGAGTAAGCCCCTCTCCCCTCTCTAATCAGCATTTCTTGCAAAACCAATTTGCAGCCAAACTGGTTCGAAGCTTAACTTTCGAAAAAACCAATAAATTTTTATCAATTCGGGAAAGACGTTTGTTCAGCAAGAAAAACGTCTGATCAGCATTTTGGCGGTTCTTTAAAGTGCAACCGGCAATGTTTATGGGACGGTCTGTTTAGATAACTGGGCAGAGGTCAGTGCGAGCTTTGTCTGGGCTGAAAATTCAATTTGGAGGGAGGGGTGTTTTTGGAATATTTTGGTTAGTTTTAAAGCTTTGAGGTTTTTTAGTGATAAGTAGAATTGGTATGGTGATTTTGGTTTATGTTAGAAGGGGGGGTGGGCTAAAAAATTTTTTTTTAATTTTACATAAAGGGGCCAGATTGAATTTTTTAAAATATTTTTTTGGGCAGGGTTATTTTTTATTAGGCATAACTTGCCTTACCTTAACTTCTATAACTCCAACTATGACATATACATAAATATATATGATATTGTGTTTACCGTAAAATCTTCTCTGACAAATCTACCCATTCTTACAATATACATTTACCATCTTTTATGTTTCATAGAATAGCAATTGTTTTGAATATTGTAATTACGTACTACAATGTTGTATCATACTTGTATCTCGCTTGCAAAAATTGTGTGTAAATTTTATACCAGCACGTGGTGGGTAACACACTGTGTTAATGACTACGACGTTTTACACAAAGTTTTTTGTAGCACAAGGATAGGGAGTTTACTGGGGTTGGGTTGGCACGTTTTTGTGATGAGGGGGTTGGTTTTGGCTTCGGTGGGCTAAAGATGGCACTTCAGTTGTGATGGGGTTGGTTTGGGCATGGGCGGGTTAAAAAGGGCATTTCAGGGGTGGTAGGGTTAGTATTGGCATGGGTGAGTTAAAAATGGCATTTTAGTAGTGAGGGTGTTGTTTTTGGCATGGGTGGGTTGAAAATTGTATTTTATTTGTTACGGGGGGACGGTTTTGGCATGGGTGTTTTAAATATGGCATTTTAGGGGTGATAGGGTTGGTACTAGCATGTGTGGGTTAGAAGTAGCATTTTGAGAGCTGTACAGTCTCAAAAATCAAAAAAAAATTTTTTTAAAAAAATTTTAAAATTTTATGTTCTGTCATTATTTTTTTCACATTTTTACAATTTTAAAATTTTTCATAATTTCTGGCCATATCTATACCCCTCCAGCCACAACCAATAATTAAATATAATTCTGATGCAGTTAAACCTAGCCCCCATCCTCAATATCGAAACGTTGCGAGAAGATGCCTCATTTCCTCCCGCCGCTTCTCCAACATTCCTTTTGGCATTGTAGTGGCTTTAATTAGCCGAGATGAAACTCTTCCTTTATATATTTTTTGCACCCCTCCCCAACCTCGAAACTATTCTTAGGCGCCCGAGGCGTTTCGTCGTCTTGGCAACGGTTTGGGCGCCCGCTTTTCGACAGTTTCATTTAATAATTTTGGCGGTCGGAAGTGCGCTACAGTTTACTTTGCTGTTAAGCTGATATTGTGTGGGGCGGGGCATGGGTTTTGAGAGGGTTTTGAGAGGGAGGAGGGGGGTTTTTTGGTATGGTAAGAGGGGTACGGACTTTATGGAAGAAGGTATGCAGGGGGCTTTATGTAATAAGTCAAGGCAGGGAAGGGCTTTCTGGATTAAGATAGGGAGGTGGTTTTTAGAAGGTGTAAAGCTACTTTTGAGCCATTTTTTTAAATCAGTGTTAAGCTATCGTATTCGTATTTCACGCATTCAAAAATTAATGAAACTAAAAATTTTTTTTGGAAAATTTGGAAATTTTTACCCTCCCCCAATTTTAGTTGCCCGTATCCGTCTCCTACTCAGACAATCTGACTGCCCTGTCCAACCAACCGCATCATCTGGGCGGCGGTCATGGAGTCGACCTCCACCAGACCAACGCCCCAGTCCACTCGCAACGCGGCCTACAACAAAACCTTCAAGCCAACGGCTCCTCGTCCAGTGCCTCGAGCATGCACTCGAGCGGCTCGTTATCACAGGCACAGAACATTCACGGCTCATCACCACCAATTTGCTCATCCTCCAACTTCCGGCAGGTCGTCTCCTCGTCCGCACCTTCGTCCAGCTTCGACATGGAGAAGTTTGTGCGCCGAAGCGGAGGCGCCGGTGGCTCCAACAACCCCAATGACGCTGACTTCTTCAGAGACCGCAGAAAGAAGGACATTCACAACATGATCGAACGCCGACGACGCTACAATATCAACGATCGGATCAAGGAGTTGGGTTTGATGTTACCCAAGTCGACGGCCGAGGAAATGAAGCTGAATAAGGGCACGATTCTGAAGGCATCGTGCGACTACATTCGTCAGTTGAGACGAGAGAAGGACATGATTCTGCAGCAAGCGCAAGAGAAAGATCGTCTTGAAGACTCATCCAAGTTGTATATGCAGAGGATTCGAGAGTTGGAGAAGGCGTTGGAAAAGAATGGCATAAATGTGCCACCAAGCCAAGTGCCATTAGAGGACAGGTCATCGACTGGACCGAGACAGATCAAGCAAGAACCTTATGATGAGAGTGCGTTGTCTCCTTCTCAGACTCCGGTAAGGGGACTTGAATTTGAAAAAAAAGTAAAAATAGTCAAAAATTTTTAAAAATGAAAAGTTTTTTAAAAGGTTTATGATAATGCCATCACATGAAAGATGGTCCTAACTTTTAAAAATTAAAATCTCAAATTTTAGACCGGCGGCTTCATGTCCCAACTTCAAGATATGCAAATCACCTCCCCCGGCTACCACCCCAACATGCAACCCCAATCCTCCCCCATCCCCAACCACAACGGTAGCCGCCCCATGATGGTCGGTAGCCTCCCCGCTGACCAGCACCTATCCCACTACAACCGAGGCTTCTTCAACTCCACCTCAAGCCCCATTGCCACTCCAAACGCGTCCTCACATGCCAACATTAGCGAGTACGGTACGCCGGCCTCCACCTGGTCCCCAATGCACAACAACTCGATGCAACAGTCGTTGCTGGTAAACACCGGCCACCATCATCAGCAGCAACAACAGCTGATTCCGGGCTCGGCGCCCAGCCACTCGAATGGCTATCCTGACTTGATAATGGAAGATCTGTCCATGCAGGTAAGGGAACGGAACGTTTTGAAGGGGTGACTTTGAGTGAGGCGGGAGTGATGTTAAAGTGGTTATCATGAAAAATGGTAAAGTGATTACCAAAAATGATAACGTATAAGGTTTACGAGAATTGGTTTGCTACTTTTTTTGGTCAAAAAGTTTGTAGAAAGTTGCTAAAAACTTTTAAAAATCAAATTTTTCATTTTTTTTGGAAAAAGTGGCCGAGTTTATCGCTTTCTATCTACTTTTTGACCTAAACAGCAAAAAAATCATTATTAACTAACTAAACATGCAACATAGCCTGAAGTATCAATAAAAAAAATTTTTTTACTTTTTTGGTCAAAAACTTGGTAGAAAACCTTTTAGGAATGAAAAAACAGGGAGGTTTAGGGGATTTCACGCTTATTTTGCTTACTTTCTGAGCTTGCTACGCACTTTTCGACCGAATTAGTAGAAGAATTGACACTGTATTACAAAGAAAGTTATCATGAGGTATCTTTACTACAATATGTAAATGATAGTCATAGGATACTTACAGTAGAAGATGTAAAAAACGAAGCTATTTTTAAAGAGGGGTATACTTTCTAAAATTTCAAAAAAATTTCTTAAAAAACTTAAAAACCGGTACCATTAGGCTTAGTGAGCTTGTAGTCAAAACGTTTTCTTTCTATCCAACATATTATACTTACCCACCGCGTTTTTCGGTTTCGCCACGGTGGTAAACGCTGATGCCAACGCACGATGGGATTCGGTGTTTGTTGAAAACACATTCTGCGTCCACTACAACAACACTTTTTTGCCTTTTTTTAAATGTACGTAACGTTGGGGTGAGGAAAAATTGAGTTTTATGTGGGTATCGACCTTGTTCATAGTATTAGCTGTAAAGAAAAGACATTTTTTGTTGAGGTCATATAAATAATGGCACTTTTTTTGGGGAAAAATGAGGTGATATTGATGGCTAAGGTTTGAAATGGCTATAACTATGGTCAAAAGGTCAATATTCATACAAAAACTCATTTATAGTGTAGAAGTAGTCAGTAGACACTTTATGTTAATATACGTAGTTAGTAGCCCAAGATATCAATGGCCATATACTTAGTTAGTAGCCCAATACCTCTATGTTAATATAGGATTAGTAGCTTATATAAATCGCCTTTGCACACACAGATATTGAGAAAGTTTGCCCACAGCCAAACCATGGCCAAACCTTCTTCTCAATACCTCCCCCCCCCCAAAAAATTTTTAAAAAACCACCTCCTATAAAATAAAAAAAATGAAGTTATGCCACTTTCAGAACCGTGGCCCACTCTTGCAAGGTGATCCAATGTTGGGCGGTGTGGCTAGCAGCCAGATGAGCCCAGAGATTGTGTGGGATCAGGCCGGCTTCTCGCCCGATTCGATCAATCAACAACAACAACAAGGGCATCACAACCAGCCGCCGGTCAGTATGAATAGCATGGATTACTGAAACACGCCAAATAATCAAGATTTTTACAAATTATGTCTATACATGTACATATTATACCACTTTTAAGATGCTGTATGGGTAAAGGTGAGGGTTTTGCGGGGTTGAGATGGGTACTGTAATGTTTGAGGTGAAGGTGAGGCTACTGTGGTATATTGGTAGTAGGATTACTACAGTATCTATGCTTCTCATAGTAGGGTTACTGTAGTACTATAGTAACTCTAATAACTCTAGTAGTCTTACTGTGGTACTATAGTGTCTACGCTTCAAGTAGTAAGGATACTGTAGTACTATAGTACCACTGCTGCTTGTAGTAGGCTGTCTATAGCACTATGGCAACTCTACTATCTCTAGCAGACTTACTGTATTATAATGATGCCTCTACTACTCTACCTGTAGCAAGGTTACTATAGTAATCTTATTACAATTACCACAGTTGCTATAGCTTTACAGTAACTTTAATATTTACAACAAGTTTACTGTAGCCTTTCTACCACACTTAATAAGGTCAATGTACCCTCCCTACCAACTATAACAACGTTACTCTACCCTCTCAGCCCCCCATAAACTACAAACCCCCGCCCTACAGTAGTCCTCACATTATCAAGATATTTTTAACTATCAACCTACATGCTATTATGCACGGTCGCTTCTTCGGTACCGCCCTATTTGTTACTCGTTTCGGGTTCTCTGATGACAAACAAGCCCCCGACTAAACCCGCTTCCTACTGTACATAATTGTTAAGGTTTGAGCGGCTTGTGTAATATCATTGAATACGCCCCGTGAATACTCTTTATTAACTACAATTTGTTCTTACTTCTTGTGGGCATGGTGATACGAAATGGAATGGTTTTTGAGGTGTTAGGAGTGGGAATGAATTTTTCTGCAAAAACTTTCTTTACAACATAAAGTTTGAAATTTTTGAAATTTCAATGTTAAAAATGATTTTTTTTTAATTTTGAAATTTTTTTAATTTAAATTTCGAAATTTCAAAAAAATTTTTTTTTTAATTTTACTTTTCCCACCCCAAAAATCCATTTTTGTCTACCCTGCCCACCTTCACCTACTCTTTCTCTTACCGCATCCCGGTTGCTCTAATTTATATCTACGTTAATATACTCGTCCACGACAATTCTACCTTTGTTTCATCTTTTTATTATGCTGGTATCTTAGAACATACAGTGTGTACATTTACAACGCTTAATCAATTCTTGTTCGGTTACTATAAGGTACTGTAGTTATTTTGCAGTACTGCAGTTTAACTCATAGTCATTTTACAATACTGTAACGTGACCTTCAGTCGAATGGCAGTTCTGTAGCTTTATTGAGAGTTTTGTAACGTGCATAGATGCATATATAACTAAAGTAACAAAAAATACAGTAATCCAAACAATTTTTTTTACTTTTATTGTTATACATTTACTTGTGCTATCGTTTGTCTTTTGATTACTGTATTTTTGGAGATTTCAAACTTTTAAATCTTCTAAAAAATCGTTTTTAATACTGTAGCGGTGTCTGTCGTAGTAACACATCAAGTTTTGTTTTACAGTAGTTACCGTAACCTGAGACAATTTTTTAATACTTTGAAGTATTAAAAAATTGCTTAAATTTACAGTAACTACTTGTCTTTACCAAACAAGATGTTGTTTACTACACGCACAGTAACCCACACTACAGTCTCGTCTTTTACTCGCTACTACTGTAACTAATAATATAATGTTAAGATTATTGCCACAGAATCGCAGGTCCAAAAATTATTGTTATTGTAACCGCGACACAACCAAATATCTATAATGTAACTAATTGTGTACATAAACCCACCCTCCTTACACTGAATATCTAAATATGAAGTCTTCGATCATGACTCACATTGTACATACAACAATATTCAGTTCATGTACAAATCGCTTTTCTTGTTTATGGTGTTGTAACAAGTTTTTGTTGATTGTATATATTCTACAAAATAAATGATTGTACAGAAAGTTTTGGGGGTTTTAAAGTAAAAATTAAAATAATATGAAAGTCTCAGTACATCGGTAAAAAGTAAATCTATTAAAATAATAACTGATCTAAACCATTTAAGGCCTTAGTTTAGACCACAGCCTCCAGAACCCACATGTACCAGGCTTTTTCAAACTTGCTTGAATCCGGCCAAGTCCGCCTAGTATACCTCGTTTCAGTCTAGATCGCCGTCGTGTCTCGAACAATTATTTAAATAAGTATCAAAAGCTGTCGTTTATAGATTTATGACAAAACAACCAACCATAGATAGTTGTTTTTTAAAGCTAAAATTTACTGACCTTTAGACTTTAAGATTTTTTAAGTTTGTGTTTAATTTTATAACATTTTTATAGTATAGTAAAGCTTCAATATCACACGGTATTCAATTTTTATTTCAACTTTCCATTCTAAGAATGTTTCACTTACTGGCGTCCACGACGTCGATTTCGAGCTTCGTATAGTCTACTGAAAACAAAACTTAAATCTACAAAAAAAATTCAAAATAATAGTATAACACAACTCTCTACTACTTTACTATTTATTTCTACATCTTATCACTTATGTTCCTAATCTTTTTCACTTTCTCTGCAAGTTTTGGGCCCCTTTTTGACCACCGTTTTCACAATACGTTACCTCAAAAACTTTTCTAAAGGTGTACGCTAGACCTCCTCAGTCAAGAACTTGCACATTTTACCTATATTTTTGCCTAAATACTATAAAAATCAACATTTTATTTCAAAATTGTTACCCATAAACTGAATCTTACCGATTCTCTACGATACGATCAATGATTCGTTCGTTTGTCATTCGATTCCCGGAAGTGATTTGTTTATAAATTCCGATACTTTTGGCGTAGCCAAAACGGTCTTCAGAATGATCGTTTTCACTGTCCGTGTGGCCAGAACTGACTCCATTTACAACGTAATCTATTTTTAGGTCTTCGATAAAGTCTTTGGTAACTTCATATGGAGCCCCTACTATCACTTGTCGTACTGGCTGAAGTGACATTTTTAATATTCATAAACGTTTTTAAATTCAATTTTTGCGTTAAAAGTGCAAAAAAAAAGAAAAAATTTAAATAAAATTTTTAAAAAATTTAAATTTTTTCAAAAAATTAAAAAAAATTAAACTTGTGCCAAAATTCAAAATTGCTTCAAAATTACCTTATAAGCCATGACAGTCATAACCCGTTCAGCCAACGTCATGACCGGATAGTTTTGGCCTTTGTACTCATTAACAACATGATCCTCAAACACCCCTACAACAACATATATTCCCAGTTTGGCAGCCGCTTCCAGAAAGCACAAATGACCATTGTGAAATAGATCAAATGAACCACACACATAGACAACTTTGTCCTCTAGTAGCCTATCCACTCCTTTTATAACTTCAATTAAAGATTGGGATTTTGAGTCGTATTTGTTTACTGTAACATAGAGTTGTTTGGCTGTAGAGTCCTGAAAGAAGAAGACATTAAAGATAGACATAATCCTAGTTTTAGCTCTAAATCTAGCCTTAGTCCGGAGCCCTAGCCCAAAGCCCTAGACCAGAGCCCTAACCCAGAGTCGTAGTCCTGATTCCTAAGCCCAAATCCCTAGCTTAGAGCCCTAGCGCAGATCCCTAGACTAGAGCCCTAGCCTTACCCTAGCCCAAAGTACTAGTCCAGAGCCCTAGCCCAGAGTCCTAGCCCAGAGTCCTAGTCCAGAGCCCTAGCCCAGGGCCCTAGCCCAGAGCCCTAGCCCAAAGTCCTAGCCCAGAGCACTAGCCCACAGCCCTACCCTACTTACCGTAGCCAAAGCTTTTGCAATTTCCATTTGTTCTTCAGTAAAATCATTCTCTTTTGTATGATGGCTTCTTGTCAATAACAACATCCTCCCAACCAGATCTGTAGTGGAAACTCCAGGCGTTCTTTTGCATTCACGGTATCTTCTCAACCGTTTCACTTCAGCATAAGTGTCTTCTCCTTCTGCTGTCAGTGTTACGTCGTCTAAAAATGTTATTCTAACTCCGCAAACCGTGCAGAAAGCGTATTTTATCATAAATGTATATATATATCAAAAATTTTTTCAAAATTATTTTTTGTAAAATACCGAAATTTATTTAAAACTTACCTCCATGAACACAGAAATCACAATCATGTTGATTCAACGTCTCTACTGTAGTTACATATGGTGCTCCGGCCACTACCTGTAACAGTAAAACTAATTACTGTGGTCTCTCTATATAGTAAGCCATCTGTATAAGCAACTCTCCTTATAGTAAACAAGACATTTGGCCCCGCCAAGTCAAATTGCACTAAAAAGACTCTCTGTAAAGACCACACCCCTTGTAGTAAACACAAAATGTCAGTCCCTCAGGGTTGCTTGTATAGAGAGAGTAAAGTATAAAAAAGATTAGCCGTTCCAACATCACCCTCCTACCCTACCCTACCCTACCCTACCCTACCCTACCCTACCCTATCCTACCCTACCCTACCCTACCCTAAAATAAGCATATTGTCCTACCTGATCAACCCATCTGATAGCAGCGACCATTTTGTATCGTTCCTGTTCATTGAACACTGGTGGCCCTTTGTTGTACTCGATATCTCTGTCAGTATGAACACCCGCTATTAGTTTCGCACCCATCGCTTTAGCTTGCCGTAAGTGATTGGCATGACCAAAGTGCACCATGTCATAACTGTAGTGATTACTTTAAATTTGAGAGTTGTTAAAGTTTTTAAGTATATTTTTATTTATAAAAGTTAGTAAGAATAAAGGCAAACAAATAGAGCGGTCGTATTTTACAAAAAAAACAGTTTTTTTATTTTAAAATTTTCTTTTTATATTGAAAAAATATGTATTTGTTTTATGAATTACGAAAGGTAAACATACCACCCGTCGCACCATACCCTGGCATTTGGTATCGTCGCCATAATGGACCTGAAAATAATTCAATTAGCACAAAAATGCATTTTTGTAAAAACTGCTAATCTATAAAATACCCTAAAAATTTAATTTTCAACCCTGCCCATTTTTGTTTTAAAAACCTTACAATAATTTTTCAAAAAAAATTAATTTTGAAATTTAAGCCGCGAGCAAAAAACTTTTATTATTTCCCCATTCCCCAAAATTGCCCCCTTGGCACTGCTAATACTATATATAATGTCAAAAGCTGTATCTCGTACCTATGATAAACCAAGAACTAGACCTGAAAAAAAGCTCACTAGGCCCAGACCAGACCTTGCCTAGCGCCGGAACAACTCAGCACAGTTCCGGCTAGACCCTAGTTTTTCCGGCTTAACCCTAGCCCAAACCCGGGCCAGACCTACCCTAAGGCGCGGCCGAAACAAATTTGTAAAAAACCGCAGGATGGACCGAAAATAAGAGCCTAGCTCGACCCTTTACAAGTCTAACAAGGATTAAAACTTTTTCACTATAAGAAAGCTTTTTTTTCAAAAATTGCATTACTTTTAGCTTTTTGCCCACCGGGTGAAGCAATAAAAGAGCCAATACTTTCCGGCATTCTCTTTTTCTGTTCGAAAAATGAGAATCTTGACTCTCATTGGGACAAATCTTTGGCCGCTCTTTGGCTTATTTAAAAGGTAGAAACTATGTAACATCAAAATAAAAGAAAAATTTTGTCCATCTGAAAGTAAAATACAATCTTCGAACCTTTTACTCACAATCCTGCACAATATTACATTAATATTAAAGCTTCAGGAAAGTTCTGTCGTCAATTTACTATCATTTTTATTGTTCAAAGCGATAAGACTTTTTACGGCAATAATATTGACCTATCTGAGATCCTAATTTAAGAATAGCATTTTTTCGATTAAAATTTTTAATTTTTCAATAAAAATTTAAATTTAAGTTTTCAAATTTCAAAAAAATCTTCAAAAAAGTTCGAAAAACCCACAAATTTAGCCGTTTTTTCTTAAATTACTCTTTAGTCCACACCAAAAATGCCCCCAGGGATTGGGCACAACATTAAAATTAATTCGAAACTAAATTAAACTAGATTAAAAGCAACTTTATTTTCGATCAGAAACGTTTCCCAAACGTCCAGATTGAGTTTTGTTGGGTTTTAACTGAGGGAAACAACTGATTAAAGGGGGTTCGATCTCGTTAGTTTCGGCCGTGTTTAACGTTTCAAATAATGACCAAAGCATGTGTTTTCGTATTGTATCAGTCGTATAATGATTGTCGCTGTCTTTTTGAAGCTTGAGCTTAAAATTTAAAATAAAATAATTACTTTTGAACTTTAAAATGCTGATTGTTATCTGTTTATGCATCTCTGTCTTAGGTTTAGCTTTAGTCTTGGTTTTTAGTTTAGCTTTGGCCGTAGCTTTAGTTTCAGCTTTAGATGTAGCCGGTATAACTAGCGCTAGCCATATCTTGAGTCTTTGAGCCATAGTCAGATCAAACTTGACCTTACCCTAACTTTACTACCCATAAAAATGTCAAAAATAGCTTACTAATCGCATCAATTTGACGGCAAAACAAAAAAATTACACTTGCCTGTCTTTACAGTAACTTACTGATTTTGAAAAGTGTAATATAAAAAGTATAAAAACAAAACAAATTTATTACCAACATAAAAAACCTCAAAATACTGTTCATAAGGCACTGTAAAAATAGAAAAAAACTTTTAATTTTGGCACTTTTCATTGATTTTTTTAAAATATTTCCTCTTCATTTACCACTTTTTCCAATTCCACATCTTAATCATCCTTTACTTATTCTTCTTTTTTGCTTTATCTGCTCTAATCCCACTTCTTGACCGTCATTCATTTCTTCATCTTTTCTTCTTTATGATACTTTATTTCTTCATCATCTTTCACTTCTTTGTTATCCTCCACTTCTTTACCTTTTACTTCTTTATTCTTTTCTTCATTATTCTCTTCCATTACTTTGTCATCCTTTACTTCGTTATCATTTTTTACTTGTTTATCATCACTCACTTCCCCTTCTTTTTCCTCTTCCATCTTTTTTCTCTGCAGCCCAATCCTTTTGTTCTTCCTAATCACCCGATCAAAATTGTCCAGCTTGCCCAGCTGATCTTTGTCCGCCAAAGCCATTACACAAGCCCTCAGGGCTTTGGTCGATTCGGTTGGCATTAGTCTCGCCAATTTGTATCCAATACTCTTGAAAGCGATGGCTACAAGTTTATCGTGATCCTGAGCTTTACAATCACATTCTCGTGTCCAATGACGGCCAGAATCAATCACATTCCATTCTCCTTCTTTGTTGATGTAGATTGTGCCACGACAGCCACGTTGGTTGCAACGCCATCGATTTACACCGGCCGTTTTGGAATGAGTCTCGTAGAAGACACGGCGTTTGTACATACAACGCATTCCTTGTTTGTGATGGGTGGGGAAGAAGAAAGGGATCTGAAAAATATTTTTATCATATTGTAGTAGGTTCTAGGTAAAATTTTTTAAATAGATAGCATTTCTTGTTCTCTAAATAAAGATCTTTCTTTTTAAAGGCTTTATACAAGCTTTGATAATATATCTTCTATCTTCAAACTCTTAAAAATGAGGTATAACATCAAAAACTCACGTCTTCAGTGATAGTGATCCTGTTAGGCTTAAAAGTGTTGAAGAAACACATCAATTTTATAATTTGTGGACATTCCATCCAATCAAACTTCTCATCTAGATGCTGTAGCTTCTGTTTTTCCTCATCAAAGTTCTCTTGGCTCACGTTATCCAACACATTTTGTAAAATAAGTTCAAGTTTCTCGTTTGATGTTGTCGCGAAATCGTCGATAATTTCGTTTTTCTGTAAAATTATAGCTTTAGGAAAGATTATATGGTTAAACAATGATTAGATATATCAAACAGAAATTAAAATAGCCCGCAAAGGTCAAGAAAAATTGCTAAAAAATCAAGTTTTACTAGAAGAATTCTGGCAATTAGGCAAAAAAGGTAACAGCAAGACTATATTATCTTTGACAATTGTTTTCACCCCAACAAAGCGTAAAAATTCAATAAATTTGGTATTTAAATCAAAGGCAATACCTATATTAACCGTCTAAATTAGTTTTACCCATTCAAATTTAGTTTACTTGACTGCACGGGATCAATCAAAGATTTACCTTTAAAAATCATATTTGGTCGAATAACTCCCTTAAAATCTTAAAAGTCCATAAGATAACCTAGTCTAATATTCAAACTACTAAAATAGGTATAAAAAGGCAATTAAAATGATCCAAAAAACATTCAATTCCTAAAACTAGTTTTTGAGATATCGAGATATAATAATCGGCTTTAGGATATTGTAGTAGACCATCTGAGCGAGTTCAGAGTTAAGAAACCTTTTGAATTCACGGAAATAGATTGAAATGGTTGATAGTAAAATAAAATACTGTTAAACAAGACAATTTACAAACAAAAACATAAAGAAAAAAATTTTTTTGAAATAAAAAAAGTTAAAATTTCAAGAATTTTAAAAGAAAACCAATGAAAAACATAATTATTAAAATTCTAAACTCACATTAGCCTCCTCGAACATATCTGATTCATATGAATCCATGTTGCTTGCTTGTCCAATTCAATTTGGTTCAAACTCTTTAGTTTTGTGTCTAATATACCAATATTATCTTAGATAATTGCCAATATTGATTCCAGAATCAAATAATTCAGAATCCAATCATCCACCGTACTGAATCAAAACTCTATCATCCAAAGAAATAAAAGTTGAAAGAGCAAAAACGGTTAAAACCCAAAATTTTCCGGCTTTTTTGCGAACCAAGCCTGATGTGAACGAGTCCTCCCAGCCCATTTCCTTCCCTTTCTCGCGTTTCTCTGCCCCGCTCTCTTCGTTTCGAATTATGTTTGGTTGGATGATTGCGAACGGGTCCTTTTTGTGTGAAGGCAATGAATAATATACCTTTCTATCAACAACTCTGAGGAAAAACAAATTAACTGTAGTTAACTTGGGGGATTGGACAGTGTGGATGGGCTTTGTGACGGAAGGAGGTGTAATGGTGTTTGTAATGAGAATATGTTTGTGACTTGTATGTTATATGTTATGGCAGAGTATGTTTATAGCTGAAAATTAATTTGAAATAGCTGTAGATAGGCGTGGGCAAGCTTTTGACTCGGGTTACGGCTAACAATAGGCCTAAAGTTAGGATTAAATCTAGGGATCTAGAGCTAGGTCTAGAACCAGAGCTAAAGCTAAGCTAAGGTTAGGGCTAGGGTTATTTTACATCTCTTTACGTTATTAGACGAAGACTAATCTGTTTACAAAAGGAACACAGAAAGTTATTTTGAACATACGACATACACTACTATAAATAATGGTTTATTTCCTCATTACTCCCATAAATAGGATGAATATTAAAGTATATGGCTTACATTACATCAGTTTTTTAAAGAATTTATTATTTTAGCTTTAGTGTTTTTTCTAATTTTCTTCCTGTTTTCGGGCTGCTATAACTGCCTACGTTACAAAACGGTTCGAATACTCTCGTTTTATATATGGTGGTGTAAAGGTGTTTTAGGTGGAATGGGTTTTGACATAACGTGTCATATGTTTTTAAGTGCTACTTTTGTTTATACGTAGCTGAAAAATACCGGGTTATATATTTTGGTATGATGAGGTTTTTGTGAATTGTGAATTTTTAAAATGTAGTAGTGAATCTTCAGTACGTACTATATTGTATTAGGAATAGAATTGATTTTCGTACTGGTGTAGGTTAGAAGGGGCTATAAAAGTAATTTTTATGCCGCGTCTTGCCCTGTTTTGTCTTCCTGTCCTCTTCTGTTCCGTCTTTGCTCTGCCTTTGCCCTGCCTTTGCCCTGCCTTTGCCCTGCCTTTGCCCTGCTTTTGCCCCACCTTTGCCCTGCCTTTGCCCTGCCTGTGCCCTGTCTTTGCCCTGCCTTTGCCCTGCCTTTGCCCTGCCTTTGCCCTGCCTTTGCCCTGCCTTTGCCCTGCCTTTGCCCTGCCTTTGCCCTGCCTTTGCCCTGCCTTTGCCCTGCCTTTGCCCTGCCTTTGCCCTTGCTTTTGCTTTGCCTTCTTTGTAACCTAACTTTATTTCATTTTTTTCAAATTTTTTCAATTCCAAACACTTTGTTTTTGTTTTTTCTGCACGCCCGTACTTATGATTCTGGCTACAATTTCCGTTATATGTAATGCTTTCGATGCGATTAAGGAGTTTTGTTAAAACCATTTTGCTTCACGAGCTTGAAAATGGAACTTTTGGCATTGTCAAAAAATATGTGTAGGGATGTTAGTGGTTTACACTTGAAGTTATTGAAGGGCAAAGTGACATAAGTGTTGTTTCCATACTATGCGTTATTTTGGGAATTTTACGTTACAGCGTTTTTATGTTTATGCTTTTTAGATTTTGTTTGTCTTGATGTATAACTAGGTGTATATTTCTATGTTATTAGTTAGGCTAGCCATGTGGGCTTGGCTAGAGCTTTAGATGAGCTAAAGTTTTGCCTTGAGCTAGGGCTTTGTTTAGAGCTTTGACTAAGCTTATGCTTGAGCTTTAACTTGGGCGTTAGCTAGTACCACAATTAGGGGTAGAACTCGGATTAGTACTAAAACCAAGGTTTTGAATAAAGTGGGCTAGAGTTTGGGCTTTGGCTGAAGTTTTAACTATAATAGACCTTTGGCTAGAACTAGAGATAGAGTTCTGACTAGAGCTAGAGCCTGAGTTAAAACTAGAGCTAGAGCTAAAACCAGAGCTAGAACTAGGGCTAAAGCTAGAGCTAGAGCTAATGCTACAGCTAAGGCTAGACCTAGAGTTAGGGTTTGCCAAAAATACGTGATGTTATTTACTCAGTAAAAATATTTTTTGTCTTACCCTTTTGAATGGGTTCATATTTCCTTTTGAACCTTGACTTATTCAATCTTATAAAAAAACTGTAAACAGATTCTTGTGTCAGCCTATTGTACTATCATTTGATTCAATTTCAGCGCAATCTGGCCGGCTTTCAATAGAATTTTGCACAGTAATTGGTTGTAAAAGTAAACGAATTTAGTAGTATTTTCCTGTGCTTTATTTCTTTTTTGCACGTTGAGAGTCTAGACTGCAAATTCGAGAAAAATGTCGTTGTTATGATATTTTGGGTGAACTGAAGCGCTTACAATTTTAGGCTTATGATAGTTTTTTGTTTGAACTTCATTGACGTAGAGCGTAGAATTAATTTTTAAGCCTTGTCTTCAATGCCTTTGCTCTTCCGTTGCCCTACCTTTTCCCTGCCTTTGCCCTGTCTTTGTCCTGTCTTTGTCCTGTCTTTTCCCTGCCTTTGCTCTGCATTTGCTCTGCCTTTGCCCTGCCTTTGCCCTGCCTTTGCCCTGCCTTTGCCCTGCCTTTGCCCTGCCTTTGCCCTGCCTTTGCCCTGCCTTTGCCCTGCCTTTGCCCTGCCTTTGCCCTGCCTTTGCCCTGCCTTTTGCCCTGCCTTTGCCCTGCCTTTGCCCTGCCTTTTGCCCTGCCTTTGCCCTGCCTTTGCCCTGCCTTTGCCCTGCCTTTGCCCTGCCTTTGCCCTGCCTTTGCCCTGCCTTTGCCCTGCCTTTGCCCTGCCTTTGCCCTGCCTTTGCCCTGCCTTTGCCCTGCCTTTGCCCTGCCTTTGCCCTGCCTTTGCCTTGTCTTAACAAAAAAACTAGAGTAAAATTAAAAATGCCATTGTCGCTTTTTTCGATTTTCCAAGTATATTTATAAATTTTAATTACCGGTCATGTGCACTTTGTTGGAGACGGGCTAGTTAATGAACTGAGTGTGGTATTGTGTCGTTAAAGTTTATAGTTTCAAATCTTTTTTTTAGTTTTATTGTTATAGCATTTGACTAAATTGTGGTGAATTTGGTAAACAAAAAGTTAAAAAAATTGTCTAGCCTAATAAAGTTTTGGTATAGTTTGATGTTGTGGTAGTTTTTGAACGTTTTTAAATTAAAATGCAATTTTTTAAAATAATAACTGAAAATTCTAAAGTTATAATGTTTAAAAAATGCAAAACAAGTCCAATGCACTTTAGTTATTCAAAATTTTTAATGTAGACATAATAGCGTGACAAGCGGTCGATAAACGGGTGTTTCGACACAAAATGAACGTAATTTGTTATAAATTATCCAGGAACTTTTTAGTTATTTATCTCCTAATTTCTGGTGTTTTTACGTTTTTTTTGGAAATGGCTAGACTTGGAGCTTAAAAAAACATTAGTTATTTGAAAAAACTGGCAGTAAAGTCAGATTGTTTCAAATTTGGCGTATATTTTTGACAGGGTGGAGGGGGGGGCTGAGTATTTTCCTTAGAGAAAAAAAATTTTGAAAAGTTGAGCGTGGCCTTCCTGAAAATATTTGAAAAAAAAATGTGGGAGGGGGGTTGTAAATTGTACACACTTTTCAAAAAAAAATTTCGTTTTTTATGTACATGCACAGGTACAATCTTTACCTGTCGATCTTTTTCGCATCCGCCCTGGGGGGGGATTCACTAGGCCTGTTTATCTGGCAAAACCTAGCAAATTGTTTTGCTTAGTCCAGTCGTTTTGAGTTTTTTTTAACCCGGTTCGTCTGAATTTTCTTCAAGCCAGGCTTGATTATCAGGTCTAAGATTCGCCTTCTCTCTAGCTAATTGTAAGCCTTTGCATGTAAACCTGCTCTAGTCTAGACAAATACCGGACATGCCCAGACCAGGGCGGGGCGGGGACATTTGGTCTAGGGACGGGAGTCGAAAAAATTCACAGGGGAAACACGTTCAACTTTTTTTGAATTTTTTTTTGGGTGGGGGGGAGTCATTCGTTAGTCATTTTCCTCAGCGTCTGGCCCTGGCTCAGACTTTAAAGATACTGTCCAGATCAAACTGTTTATCATAAATATTATACATGTTATTATTAACCCCCTTTACGTGCCGGATCCGAAAGCGTATCCTGACCATAAGCGAACCGTTCAGTCTGGAACCCACCCAAAAATAACCGGTGACGTTGTGTGAAATTAAACGAGCTTGATAATCGAAAAGCCCGCAGAATTCATGGAGTAGAAGCCACGGAGAGCGTTTAGGTCAGAGGGAAAGGTCAGAAGCCACCTTTGCCTTCAGAAGCAGGGCCGGAAAAAGACGTTTTCGTGCTTGTCTTGATGGGGCAACCCGCATGGTTTCTTTCCTTCGTCAATCTCTTTCCGCTTCTTAACAATATTTTGTGGACAACATATGCTTCTCTTTTTATTCCATATCTATCGGTTTTATAATGGCATAGTAAACGATTTTACTGTGTTTGAGGAGGTTTGTAGAGGTTTTGAGTTTTCGGTTTGGAACAAGGGGATATAGTACTGTTTAAGGTTTAAGAAGTATTGTTTTAAGTTTGGATTGTACTGTTTCAGGTCTAAATAGTACTATATTAGGTCAAGGTAAGTTGTATAGGCAAAGTTTCAATTTTCGCCAGAATAATTTACTCTTAAAAATAAAATTACTTTTTAAAATGAAATATTATAAAAAGAAAACAGCCTTACCTTATGACCATTGTATGTTTATCAACTTTTGCCATTCTGAAGCATTTTTAAATTTATAGTCATTCCCAGTATACGAACTGTAATTTATACAAACTGAAGTGTTTGTATACAAAAGTGATGAAAGTCAAGTACAGTTTGTACCTTGTGCATCTGTTGCTATAGTTACAAATGTACTTTTGTAGTAATGAAAAAGTTATTGTAGTATAATGCTTCAAGAGCTACTTATAACAGTTCATATAAGTATGAATTTTTGACTATAGGTAATAGTTAATGAGGTTTCAAGTTAATGTTTAAAGGGCTAAACATAACAGTTCATATAAATAAGAAGGGTTGAGTATTCAGTTAATATTGTTATACTGTCGTTTTGTATGCATTGTTTAGCTGTATAAAGAAAAGTTTTTAAATTTGTGGCTATTGTTATGAAATGCGTTTAAACCTCATGTATAACAAAACCCTTTATAGCGAACAAATTTAAAATTAAATTTCTAAACAATTTGTTATACAGCAGTTTACTCCATTTAGTTTTTTTTTAAATTTAAAAATTTTATTTATAAACATTACTTTAATCCTTACTTTACGCAATTTTATTGAAATTGCAACTTTTTTCATTTAAAATTTTTTTTAACTTTAAATAGATTTTCCAAAACAAGTATAGGATTTGCTTGAAGTTATGTTGAAAAGTTGTTTGTAGCTGGTCTTATTTTAAGGAAATTGATTTAGTTAGTTTTGGGAACGTTTCGCCGAAAACACGACTTTATATCGTGGCTCAATTTGGGCTGTAATTACTGTTAGGAGAGTTACATTCAAAAATTTTTAAGCAATACTTTTAATATGTGTATTTTACAAATTTATGCAAAAATCTAAATATTTTTGATTTCTACGTGTACTACAGCCTTTCCTGCATATTATAGTAACTTTGTTTTGTTTTCATTGTTGGTACGAAACAAAAGATGAAGTTTCAACTAATTTGAAAGGCTTTTTGGTATGAATAGAAACTTCTTTTTTCGGTTTATTATACTTATGATGTCCGTCTTGTTAAAAGCATTGTTTTCAAAAATACACGTTTTTGGTTTTGGAAAAATTTAAGTTTAATAAGCTTAAGGTTAAGGCTATCAAAATTAATTTTTATGCAAATTTGTATAGTAATTTGTACTTGTGATGTTTTTACTCTATGGTCTCCAATACTTTATGACATTACCTTACTACCCCTTGTACTTGTTGACATTCATCCTCACCAACGCAACGCCTATCGATTCTTAATTTAAAGTACGCGGACTGGACTGAAATGCGGAAATAGCACAAAAATTAAGTTAGGGGTTTTATTCGAAATTTTACGTTTGTCGCGGATTCTTTTTTGTTTTTATTCGCGACAAAACAAAGTGATTACTTGTTATTTCAGGTCCCGGCCGAAATTTGTTTTATTTATTCTTTAAGCTTGTGGAATGACGAAATGACACTCTGTAGGACATGCTCTATTCAGTACAGGTAAAGAGGGAAAATCTTGTTTTTTATTTATTTTACCGATATAGAATCGTAAGGTGAGAAGAAGATTTGATTTACAACGTTTTTGCAACCCTCTACTCTACCCTACCCTACCTTACCCTACCCTACCCTACCCTACCCTACCCTACCCTACCCTACCCTACCCTACCCTACCCTACCCTACCCTACCCTACCCTACACTAAAGATATGAGAATAGTAGAACTAAGGCCGAGCCTGAATGTTAAGCCCAACCCGATCAAAATTTTGCTCAAGCCCGGCCCGACCTTAATCTAGGTCAGTCCCAGCCCGTTTCTTATGTCTACCGCTTTGCTACAACTATTATAGATCTGTAAAAGTGCCGAGCCCGGCCTAATTTATCAGCTTGCCCCCGCTTTTTTGTTGTTCAGGATCGGGCCGGCCCGAGATTAGGAGGCCCTCTTTAATTTCCAGCCCTAGCTCTACTTTTCTGATCCTACCCTTGCCATGCCACACATATTTAATTCATCTTATTCTTTCCTTCTCATAAAAACAGTTTACTGTTACTACTAACACTACTAACAACCCCTCACAATATTAACCTTCCTGGATATTCAGATATTTCAGTCGGTCTTTCTGGAACTCCTCCTCAGCATGGTTACATCGAGTCCGGCGATGAACGATTGGGACCCGCAGATGGGTATGAGGGGCACGCCAACTTCAACGACCGATGTTTATGACTCATCAATGTGTTCGGATCAGAATGCAAATGAGAAGTCACAGGATCTGGCGCTGTTACTCATGAAAAATTATTCTAGGTGGGTTAATAAAAAGTGCTTTTTATTTTTAAGACTGTAAGGGAAAAACAACAAAATTTTTTTTGTGTGAATCGGTCATCCCTTACCCCATAGACCGAGCTTTGTTTATTGGATACCTTGAACCAAATTAAAAGCTGAGCAAGGCTTGTAAAGTAGGCCCTGCTCGGTCCGTTTCCCATATGTGCTGGTTAGTACCCGTCTAGGGCGCGTAATTTTGACTTAGACTGAAAAGGTAGGTCCTATCAATACATAACTGTGAAAAATATTTTTAAAAAATTTAAGTTTGACGTCAATTTTAATTAAATTATTCAGAAAAACGTAAACTTATTGTTCTCTAAATTTGCGTCAAAGTTTATAATAATCGTAATTGACTTCAAGAATAGCACGCTGTACAGGCCGTTCTTTTCGCTCTGCAGGGGGTTTTTAGACTTTAATTCAAAAGAAGAGGAAGTTTTAATTTAAAAAACTAAAAAAAAGATTTTTGAATAGGACCTACTACAAAAAATGAAAATATGTGTAGTTGTGTTATGTTTTAAAATTTTTTCATTTTCAGGTAGAGAATAATATAATAGGTCATTTTAAGACAGGGAGGCGTAATATAGAGAAAAAATATTTTTATATTGAGTTTAGAACTAACAGTAGGTTGTTTAAATAATTTTGTGCCCCCTCTCATAACAAAGCTTTTTTAAGGTTAGGAGGCACATAATTATTTGAACGTAATCGCGTTATTGGTAGGGTATTACTGAATAAAGGTAATATAGGGTAGGGTAGGGTATTACTGAATAAAGGTAATATAGGGTAGGGTAGGGTAGGGTAGGGTAGGGTAGGGTAGGGTAGGGTAGGATAGGGTAGGGTAGGGTAGGGTAGGGTAGGGTAGGGTAGGGTAGGGTAGGGTAGGGTAGGGTAGGGTAGGGTAGGGTAGGGTAGGGTAGGGTAGGGTAGGGTAGGGGTAGGGTAGGGTAGGGTAGGGTAGGGTAGGGTAGGGTAGGGTAGGGTAGGGTAGGGTAGGGTAGGGTAGGGTAGGGTAGGGTAGGGTAGGGTAGGGTAGGTATAACTATCAAAAAAGTTTTAATATTATAATTTGAACTATTAGATTGTTCAAATAATTCTCTGTCTTTTTTCATAACAAAGGTTTTTTAGGGTTAAGGGGCACAAAATTATTGGAAGGACCTTATAACTTGGCAAATTTTAACAAAAAAAATTTTCAGGAACGCCCTGCCCGACCGAACGCCAGTGAACGTGATCGTGGAGATCACAATTCAAGACATTTCAGACATTTCCGCTATTACGGGTACATTTGTAATAGACTTTTGGATATCGGCGATATGGCAGGACTCTCGGCTTCAGTTCAGTCATTTGGATCCGTGTCGACGGAACTTGTCATTGGATCATGACATGGAGCCAAAGCTATGGAGTCCCAATGTTTGTATTGTCAACTCGAAGGCGACCAAGGTTCATGACTCGCCGAAGCCTAACATATTGTTGATGGTACGGTTCTGGGAGAAGGGGTTTGCAATTTTTAGTTTTAAAAACAGTACCATTTTATTTACAATAGTACCACTTTGAAATTGTTGCAAAAACAGTACTAGTTTGCAAGGTATAATCTCAAGAACAGTACTATGGGTCGAAAAATAATATCATTTTTTAAAACTGTACCACTTCGTAATTTTATCAATAGTAGTACTAGTTTGCAATGCATAGTTTCAAAAACAGTACCATTTTTTAAATATAGTACTACTTTATAATTTTATAAAAAATAGTACTAGCTTTCAATTTATGGTTCCAAAAACGGTACTATTTTTTAAAACAGTACTGTTATTACAAGGCAGTACCACTTTTAAATTTTATCAAAAATAGTACTGGTTTCACAATGAATAAATAGTTTCAAAGACGATACTAGTAAAGACCTTAATCAATAATCAGTACTACTTTGCAGATTTTTCCGAATGGTACCACCTGGCTGAACTACAGAATTCGCTCCGAAGCTCCATGTGCGATGGAGTTGAGGAACTTCCCCTTGGATAGTATAAAATGCGAGTTGGTATTTGAATCTTACAGTTATAATGCAGCAGAAGTCACATTGGATTGGTTGGGGTGGTCGCCGGTTACTACGGTAAAAGACGAGTTTAACCTGCCGGACTTTAAGTTGACTAACATCACTCACCACAAGAGCACTGAGGTTAGTTTTTGGTAATTTTAAAGGGAGTTTTAGGGTATAATTATTTTTTTTGAGTATGTGATATACTAATTTATATTGTAGTAGCAGGTATAATTTTTAAAAAGTTTAAAAAAATATGTTAAAACAAAAAATGAACTATAGTAACAGTTATTTGTTATAGATGTACACAGCTGGTATTTGGCATCGATTGTTCGTCAACATCTACTTTGATCGACTGTTTGGGTTTTACATTCTTCAAGTAAGTAAAGGTAGACGAGTTATAATCAAAGTTTTTAAATTTGAAGTTGTAATTTCTGGCTAAGTGTTGCATTTTGACCTTAGGATTAAACCAGGGTTGGGTTCGGGGTAGATCTTATCTGAATTATGAGGGCAGGGTAAACTCAAAAAAAATATTTGTTTTTTTTCGCTTCACTTTACTTTAATTTAACTTGCGCTACCCTACCATGCCCTACTCTACTCTATTCAGCCTTACCTGATTGTACCCTGCCCTAGGAAGTTGTATTTTAATTTTTCAATTTCAAAATGAGGGTATGAATTACAAAATTTTAGATGTACCTACCAACATATATCAGTGTCTTCATTTCTTGGATAGCTTTTTGGATGGATACACGAGCATTACCGGCTAGAATAACATTATCAGTGTCTAGTTTAATGGCATTAACTTTTCAATTTGGTAACATTGTACGATCACTACCTAAAGCCAGCTATGTCAAGGCTATTGATTTGTGGGTGAGTTCTTTACTGTGATACCCAACCTTATTACACCTTAACCTTTTCTACCGTACCTTACTCTACCAGTACCCTACTTTGGTTTTTCTTAGAATTATTAAAGTTTTTTTTATTTTAATTTTTTAAAATTTTTAATTGTTTACAAAAACAATAAAAATTAAATTTTAGATGTTTGGATGTGTTGGCTTTATCTTTTTATCACTGGTTGAGCTTGCTATAGTTGCATATAATGACAAAATGGAAGATCAAAGAGCAAGAACAAGAAGATTATCAAGTTTGGCACCGATGTTAGCAAGGAATTCTGGCTCAGGCGCAGCTGATATGTTGAGGTTACGAGAGTTACGGCGGTAAGAAAGTGTCAAAATTTATGTAAATGTATAGCAGTTTATATATACTTAATTGATTTTATAATTTTTAAAAAATCAATAATTTCATTGGCATATTATCACTTTTTCCAATAATTTTGTGGCATTTCGTCAAACTTACAAATTAATTATAAAGGGTTTTAGTATTGTAAAATACGGGTCGGTTATCCTTGTTTTCCAACATTTTTACCTTATTTTAGTGGCGGCCTACTCGACTACGACCCACCAGAATACAGTACCCAACGAAAGCATCGTACTTCCGACCTGAGCTACCGTGACGACGTTGATGTGCCATTTGTGGACACTCCAGAATATCGACCGGATTATGTTAACAACAACAACACTGGCAATGGTCAATCTCATTTGGCTATGCCGAATACACCTTTAATTCAAACGCCCGAAGGAACACAGGTCCCTTCGCCGATAAATCCACATTTACCACCCCCGCCAAGACATTTTTCAATGTCAAACAAGTGGAGGAGAGTGACGAGAAGGTCAGAGTTGGGTGGAGTTATCGACCGGTTCAGCAGCATCGCTTTTCCTACGGTAAGATAAGGTTTTATTTTGAGTTTTGTAAAGAATGTTCTTTCGGTTTTTTGATTTGTAAAGAAAGTTTTTGCTATTTCTTGCTTTGCAAAGAAAGTTTTTGCCATTTTTTTCTTTGTAAAGAAAGTTCTTGCTATTTTTGTTTTGTAAAGAAAGTTCTTTCTATTTTTTGACTTGTAAAGAAAGTTCTTGCTATTTTTGTTTTGTAAAGAAAGTTCTTTCTATTTTTTGACTTGTAAAGAAAGTTCTTTCTATTTTTTGACTTGTAAAGAAAGTTCTTGCTATTTTTTGTTTTGTAAAGAAAGTTCTTACCATTTTTTTTGTAAAGAAAGTTCTTGTCATTTTTTGGCTATATTAACCCCAGTATTACTCTGTGTATAATGCTATATTGTTTTAGGCATTTGCCCTGTTCAACGCCGTTTACTGGACCTATTACTTGTCATCGTATTCGACGTCTGGTAAAATGGCAGTAACATAAAGATGGTTGTTTACGTTGTTACGATTACTAATTAACAAACAATTACAGTTTGAACAAATTTTTAATCTTTTGAAACAATAAAGTTTTAATTTTAACGCGTCATTCTTTTTCGGACACTATTGGTATCTATTATATAATACTAAGTGCCGACATAAAGAACCCGCCATTTTATACACGATATTACAGGAAAAGTATGGCGGGTGCTTTATGTCGGCCCCTAATGTTTAAAAAAATGATAATATTGGTACCTAAAGTATTTCATACGTTATAAATAATAAAAAAAAGAACGTTCCTAACTGTTCCAAGCTCCAAAATCAAGAAGACTAGTCCATTCTTTGTCAGTTCGAAAGTTTAAACACAAAAGTTTGTCATCAGTTAATATGAAAAACTCAAGTTCTGACACATTGCTGCCAAAAAAAAACAAAAAGAATTTGTTCGAGGCGATGCAAAGTTCGAAAACGGTGACAAAAATGCAGTTGAAATTTAAGACGGTCGGTCGAATTGCAGAGAGTTCCGAGCTTCTATATTATACATATTATAACATTTTCAATCGGCTTTGGAAAGACTATTTGCTAAATTTTTATAAGGCTTTGTGGGTAGGGTAAGGTAATTTTTGTTTTTAAACTTATGTTTGAAAGAGTAGGGTAGGGTACAGTAAGGCAAAGCAGAGTAAGGCAGAGCAGAGTAAGGAAGGGCGAGGTAAAGCGTAATGAGGTGGAACAGATAAGGGTAGGTGAGGGCAAGGCAAAGTAGGGTAGGGTATTTTTGTTTTCAAACTCAAATTTGAAAGATTCACTTTGAGTTTGTTTTGAAAAATAACCTCAAATCATAACAATTGGCTTCGGTTGTTACAAAAGTTTGGAAAATGATGGATAATGTGACAGTTTTGAGATATATTTATGTTTTGGGTATTGACCAAAAACTTCGTGGCAAAGTAAAAATGCTCTCCGAAATTACTTTATGTATATTACTATGGTAATATTATAAATAATGAATTTTTAAAGTTAATTTTAAATTTTGTAAAGAATTCTTGCTATTTTTTGTTTAGGGAGACTTCTTGCCAAAGTTTACGTTTTATCATAGTAATATATAGTAATGTAACTTTGATGTCTGGGTTTCTTAAACAAAAAACGTTTGAATAAAATGAATTTATTGTGATGATTTCATTACTAACTGATAAACAATTCTAATGCAATTTCTTTCCAAATCTTAACAAAGTCTTGGTAGTGTCTTATCTCTTAAACATATACAGTCAAACCTCTTTAGTATGGCACTCCAAGGACTGGTCCGAACCTGTCGTTATAACCAGGATGGCACGCTGCTTAGGGACTTTTTGATATGAGTTTTACTGTACACGGTGGTAGAAAAGTTTCCATGATAAGGGAGAAAGTATCAAACTGTTGAAGGTCATACTAAAGAAGTTTCACTGTAGTCTTTCAATCTCTTGTTAAAAGCAAAAATTTTGCCACCGTACGTTTTTTAAAAAGCCGATTTTTCAATTTTGAATTTTTAAAATTTTATCAACCAAATTTTTAAAATCATATCAAGCAAACCCTCATTCATATCACATACTTCATGCCTGATCGATGGAGTTGGCTTTTAATCAAAATAAGAATGAAACGCCCGATCTATCAATATTCATCTTGGCGATTATAAAAACATTTGTTTTGGCGGGTGTCTAATTTCCAGGTCTTTAGTCTTTGGGCCTATTTTTCAGCTAATTGCGGCCGCGTTTTTAATTTATTTATGATCAGCAATGTGTTTCGGCGGTTATATGGGCTTGCCAACACGTGTAGGGGGTTATAAACAGGGGTTGGGGGAGGTTTTGAGAAGATTTTGCAAAAGAAGGCAAGGGTTTTTAAAATTTTTATTTTTTTCTGTGGTTTAGGTATGATTGTGTAACCAATTACTATAATTTTAAATTTGTTCGTTATAAAAAAGGTTTGGTACTCGATTTCAATGGCTAATTTAAAAATGCAGGTCATGGCAAAAACTTTTGTTACAAAGCAAAAAATGGTAAGAAGTTTCTTTATAAAGCAAAAAATAGTAAGTAATATCTTTACAATGCAAAAAAATAGCAAGAACTTACCTTACAAAACGAAAAATAGCAAAAAATTTCTTTACAAAACAAAAAATAGCAAGAACTTTCTTTACAAAACAAAACATGGCAAGAACTTTCTTTACAAAACAGAAAATGGCAAGAACTTTCGTTACAAACAGAAAATGGCAAGAATTTTCATACTAAAAAGGTTTTACTGTCAATGTAAAAAAAAATTTTTTTGAAATCAATTGAGTATCAAAAATGGTGTTTGTAACATTTTTTTGGTATTACGTACTATATAGAGCACGATACTCCCCTTTTTTATGCTAAACGTTTTTTGAAGAAAACTTGCTTTTGATTCATAGAATTACTTGGTTATGACAAGGTAATTGGATTTTAAAATATTTTTTAGAAGCTTTATAAAAATTTTTAATTTCAAAATTTTTCTTAATTTTTTCAATTCCAAAATTTCAACTTTTTATTAAAGTTTCAAAATTTCAAATTTTCTTTAAATTTCAAAATTTCGCCCAAAACCGTCATTATTTTACTTCCTCAAACCCTCAAAACCTCTTTCTGTTTGCCTCAAACCCGAAAAATGTTATTTTAAGCCCAACAGCGAAAGCAACATTCATACACTTTAATTACGACTGAAATGACATAATTTTGATTGTCAGCTGGAAACAAAATTTTCGAAAAAAGTTTGGGGAAGGTGCGGAAAACCGACTCCGGAAAGCGGATTTTGTGAGGGACGAGAGTTGGCGTTTTTTGACGAGCCGGACCTTCGAGCGGGTTGACAGCGCACTTAACACTCTCAACACTGTCGACTTTCCGTGAAACGGGGCCTCGGCTACTGATCAGTGGGACTTTTTATACGCTTTTCGCTGTGTTTTTAATCTTTTTTGATTTTAAGAAATTTTTTAATTTTTTTTAGCTTATTCAAAAACTGAGTTTTGTAAAGAAAGTTCTTGCCATTTTTTGCTTTGTAAAGAAAGTTCCTGCTATTTTTTATCTTGTAAAGAAAGTTCTTGCAATTTTTTTGCATCTTTAAATTAACATAGATGACTTTAAAAAAATACCAATAGTTTTTGCAAAATCAGTTTTTTGAATCGAAAAAAGTGAAATTTGCAGTAGAAGATCAAAAACCCAACGGCGATGATTTTCTAAACAAAAACTCGAATCAATCATACGTGAGAAAAACCTTTGGTCCAAATATTTTTATTCAATTTGGTGGCTGGATCTGCAGAAAGGGAATTATTAAATGAAAGGGGTTTTTGTCTTAACTTTTCTTTAGGGGTTTTTCATTTTTTAATATTTTTTTTGCCTTGCCTTGCCTTGTTCTGCTTTACCCTACTCTACTTTACTTTAATCAGCCGTTCTCTGCCACGCTTTATCCTAACTTGTTCTGCTCTATCTTACCTGGTCTTACCTACTTCTTTTCTCTTATCTTCTCATCAACAGATTGTTTTGATCATCAATTTTTTAGCACTACCTTTTAAATACGATACCCATTGCGACCTGTTTTTTTAATCTTTGCCAACCGTATCCTAACCTATCTTACTGTGCTAGGAGCGGTTTTTTTTTGCTTTAGAAATTGGTTTTCAGACTAAACTTGAATGTTATATTATTTGTAATAATATATTTACTGTCTTACTGTAATTTTATCATTTGTACTAATGTTATCTTTTGTGTACTAAAACGTTTGCTTTGTATTTTACATTTTACTTTTCCAGAACACTAAGAAAGGCTATAACCAATTAATCTGCTTAAACTTTTCTTGCGAAATGCTTTTTCTTATTGTTTTTACAACTTTTCCCGAGTTAATTCCCTCGCGGCCTCTACTCCAAAAGCGGGCTGTGAATAAGTGTTTCACACGCCTGATTAACAATTGCTATCGTTAACATTGTCGTCTTTTCTTTGGCGTAACTTTGACATGGTCGTATTTTTTTGTTTTGAGTATATTTTACTTTGTCGTATTTTATTTTTTCAAAGTTTTTTGCGTTTTTTGCGTATTTTTACTATTTTTGTTGATAATGCACAAAGAAATAGAGGAGACGTATTTTACAATTTTGAGCAGTTTAAAATGACGTTTTTTATTATTTTCGAGTAAAAATTGTAAAGTTGGTTTAAATTTCTATAATTTTTAGGTAACAATGAGTGGTACTCTTCATGCAAAAGTCGACTTCTTTGCGAGTGGTACTTTTGGTACTGTTAGTAAGTTTCAAAAATTTGCAATACTAAACTGAGCCTCAAAAAACATTTTTAACCCTCAAGGAAATTTTATGAATTAATTTTAATTTTTTTTTTAATTTTTAAAACGCTTTGTCAACAATTTTAAAAATTTCAGCAAGCTTAAGAACATACGAAGATTCTACATGCAATAAACGGTCCGAGACGATTGCAGTAACCTTGAGGCTTATTGGATCACCAAATTATGGTTTGTCTCTACGCCAAGCTTGTACTACAACATCAACTTCGAAAAGTAACTGCCAATGTTCAGCTTTGATTGTCGATGGCATTGTACCGAATTCACCGGCTGCCCAGTGAGTTTTTATCAATATATTGGTCTAAAGTTTTTTTTTATATTTTTTTAAATTAGCTTGCGGTGAGCTTTTGAAAATTAAAAAAATGTGTTTTTTAGTTTAAGCCTAATAAGCTTAAAACCTAAAAAATTTTTAAAAACATGGCAATACCTTTAAAAAATTGTAGTTTTTAGTATTTTAAGCTATTACTTACTCAAAAGTACTATAATCTTCATTATCTTTCAGTATTGGCCTAATTCTGCCAGGAGATAGAGTACTATCGATCAATGATCAGCCTGCTTTTGGAATGTCTATTGACCAAGCCTATTCAATTTTGGATGATTCTCATAGTCAAGTCAACATGTTAATCGAATTCGATGTTTATGGTAGGTATTGAGGCTTATTTTATTTTTTCTTCAAAAAATGGTAAAACACTATATTACAGGGCGCGCCAAAAGTTCTGTTACACGGTTTTTTAATTAAATTTTTGACATCTAAATACAGACAGACGGTAGACAATGAAGACTTAACTTTTTTTGATTATACAATAAAAAACACAGAGAATAAGCTAAAATAAACAATTTTAAATAATTTAACCGCAACGTAGAGAAAACAACCGGTAAAGTGTTGTAACAGAACTTTTGGCGCAATTTAGAAAGAAAAGAGGTTTTGGCCAGGCGTGTAAGCTTGAACAGACGGCCCAGCTAAGACAACGGGCTTAGTGGGTTTTTTTTCAAGTGTATAGGGCCTGGGTTTCTTATACAGTAGTTTTTAATTGTAGAATACGACGACTAAACGCGCGCTTTCATAATTTTTAGAAACATGCCCATTAGTTCAAGGAACAATCACAGTACGACTGATCAAACATACTAATCATCTTGGCCTTGAATTTTGTACCGGATCCAATAAAAAAGGAGAGAAAATCATTGTAAAATCAGTTCAAAAAGGCTCTTTGTCACATCGGTAAGTCATATATTTTAAGAATGTAGGTATACTATATAATTCATGGTATATTTTTTCAATTATTTGTATTATTGAATTTTTATATATATATTTTTATTTAAATTTAATTATTTTTTTAACTTTTTTATTTTAGATGCGGAGCAATAGAGCCAGGAGACGAGTTTTTGTCTGTAGACGATGTTCCACTTGATAACTGCACTGTACAAGAGACAATTCGACTGCTTCAAACTGCTAGAGAGAGTGTTAAGATTCATATCAGTAAACGAAACGCAATTAAAGAGAAAAGTCCAACGCCTAAAGCAGCTAATTTGCACTACTTTACTTATACGATTGAACTACGGCCAGGCCGACGAAGTTTGGGCCTAATATTTGATGATCAACTCAAAGTGGCAAGGATCAAAAAGGACGGGTATTGTGCTAAGTAAGTTCTGATTAGTACCATACGCTACCCTACCCTATCCTACCCTACCCTGCCCTGCCCTGCCCTGCCCTGCCCTGCCCTGCCCTGCCCTGCCCTGCCCTGCCCTGCCCTGCCCTGCCCTGCCCTACCCTACCCTACCCTACCCTACCCTACCCTACGATACCCTACCCTACCCTATCCTACTCTACCCTACCCTATCCTACCCTACCCTACCCTTTCTAGATCAAACGCAGTCATGTTGGAGGATCGTCTGATCGCGATTGACGGCTCAAACGTCTCTCAAAATACACTGCTGGATGTGCAAAAGACACTAGACAAAACACATGAGTCTATCCGTCTTACGTTCCAACGTGAACGTGAAGGAACGCCGAGTGATGATCTTCCAGCACGTTCGGAAAGGGCATTAAGTCCGCCGGGTGGAAGGCTGAATTTGGTGGAAATTAAAAAGGTTATCAGTGATATGGCTTACACTAACAAGGTTAAAGAGTAGGTTTGGTAAATACGGCGAGGGTTTTTAAAGGTTTTAAGAATGGAGGGGGGGGTAGATTTTAAAAGTAGTAAATCGAGAAGGGGTAGATTATGAAAGCATTTTAGCTCATCTTTAGGTATTTATGTAACTAAAATTGTTAAAATTTAACCTACTATAATATAAAGTAATATGATTTTTTAGATTGCAAGCTTTGAAAGCCTTTGAAGAAACAGAAGATAAACTTATTAATGGCAGACTACCTCAATTAAAACGCGAACAAAACCATGATCAACTTCGGACTATTCAGCAAAGGTTAAGGTAAGTTTTTGAATTTTGAGATCTAAAGCTATGCTAGAACACATCACATAGTGTAGTAATTTTGCGTGTAAAAGACTATATCAGGGTATTATGAGACAAAGTTTATTGGGGAGGTAGGGTAGGGATTTCTATCCTCATTTCCATTCTAATCTCTATATTGCAGCAGTGGCTCCTTCTCCTCGTCAGGCTTCGGCTCTGTCGTATCTTCTCAACCATCAGCTCCAGAAACTCCATCATTCCCTTCACCTTTCACAGCCTTATCAGCAACCTATAACTCAATATTTTCTCCAACAAAGAACGTTCTTCTCCTTCGAGACCTTGATCAACCTGGGTTTGGCTTCAGTATAACAGAGAATGAGGATCATCAGGTTGTGGTCAACGCTGTGAAGCCAGGTGGAGTAGCTGAACAGAATGATGTTAAGGCTACGGATCGTATTCTGGAGGTGAATAATGTTCAGACGGCAGGGATGAGTTGTGCTGATCTGTTACCATTGTTTAATACTGACATATTGGAGTTGATCTTGTTGCCGGCGGACCAGACATTGTAAAGGCTGGGGATTTGTGATGTTTATATTGTTTTACGTTTAATTATAATGAAAAGTGACATATTTACAGTATTCCCATTTACTTTTTAATACATTTTTTACAAAAAGTTACACTTCAGTCTTAGGTCTGGCTTCCAAGTATCTTCTCAACCTAGTCAAGTTGAAAATTCTGTTGATATAGCTGCTCAGATCGGCATAGTGATCAAAGCCGTGTGGACAAAAGTTGCGAACAGTAAAAAGCACATCAGCAGCTTGAAAATCTACAAAAGTCAAGTATTTCGTGGCCAAGTATGTGCCATTGTTTTCGGACAAAAATTTGCGCAAAATTGGGAAATACTTGTCCAGGGCTGGTTGTAGAATCTCTTTTTCTGATTCATGCTGGAAGTAATATTAATACCCTTTCAAAATTTAAGTTTTGGTGAAAAAAACTAAGTAAAGGAGTTCTTTATGACCATTCTTTGACCTCTAATATCTCGCAAGCCAAGCTCATTTACAAGGAAAGTACCGAACCTGCCCGATTCCGAATCAGTTCAAAATTTTTATACAGTACCTCTCTCTATATAAGCAACCCGAAGAGACAGACATTTTGTGTTTACTATAAGTGGTGTTGTCTTTATAGAGAGGCTTTTAGTGCAAATTGACGTGGACAAATTTCTTGTTTACTATAAGGAGAGTTTCTTATACAGATGATTCACTAAATAGAAAGATCACTGTATAAATTTTTTGAACCACTAATAATACCTATAAAAAATTTTAGCTTGGACTTGTGAGTTTAAATTTAAATATTTGCGTTTCCCGCCAGTTTGGTAAATTTGGCATTGTGTTTCAAGCACTTTATTTCGACTTTCCAGACAAGCTACGCTTACAAATTTAATAATGAAAATTCATTTTAAGGTTTTCTACTAGTATATCAAAGAAAAATAATTAAAAGTCAAGAAACTGCAAAATTATAAGCTTGAAACACAATGCCAATTTGGAGGGAAATTCAAAACATAATTTTTTGATTGTTATTTTTTAAAACATTTCTTAAAAACGCGATTTATTACATTGCTGTAGATCTTATATTTACATTCTCTTTCTATATAAAAAGTCCATCCTTATAAAGCAACAAGAATACACCTACCACATCGCCAGGAACAACCTTAACTGCCACACTTAAATACGGTATAATGGCATCATGAAAGTCGAGAATAACATCAGCTGCTTCATCAACACGCGCTTGGTCAAATATATTGTTTCCAGCTAGGCCTTGAAATTGAGAAAAATTAAAGTTGGTAAATGTAGTCAATAAACGCAAAAAGTTCGTTACATAGTAAAGAATTTACTGTCTTAAACCTTGTATAGGCGACCTATACCAACTTAGCTATAATAAGTATATATTTAGAACACAGCAAATTTTAAAACACAGCACTTACGATGCTGTTTAGCCAAGTACCTCATGATAGCTACACTTTGACTCAATTTCTTTCCATCTATTTCCAGTACTGGCACTTTTTGAAAAACGAAAGCTGAAAATATAGCCAATTAAAGCATAAAAAATAAAACTCTCTTTATAATCATCATAATATAGTAAATAACATCGGTTACCTTAACTTAAAACATACTAATAAAAAGCATTAGTAATTCGAAAAATCTTACAATTTTTGATGCTCTCCCACTTCTCTGGCTCATATCGAATGTCTTCAAACTTTATTCCACAATAAAACAAAAGCATTCGAATTGGCTCGGCTCTTCCCCTAGAGTCCAGATAGTGCAGTTTGTAAACAACCATGGTGAATATAACAAATATTTTCTTAGAAAAATACTTTTAAATTAATTTTTCAAAAAAAATATTATCTATCTAGTTATTAGAAGCACTATTATCTAGCTAGTTAGTTCATACAGTATTAGTTAGCCAGTCACTGCAGGCTGTTTATTATATATAACTTCTGAGCATTTCAAATAATCCGAGATTCGGACTTTGAAAAGGTCATCGTGTTGCTGCGTAACCAAGAAAAAGAATCTTTGTTTCATGGTTGTCACGACATCTTCACTTCCATCGTTTTTTATTTAGTACTGAAAAGCTTTCGCTATTCTAGCTATCTACACAGTATGTTCTCGCTATTGCAGCCCGCCTTACTACTAAACCATAAAAAAAACCATTAGCTAAGCCGAATTTAAGAAAAAACCGAGCCAGGTCTTGCGAGTCCGGGCCTAAATGATTGCCCACAGACTCACCTTATGTCTCACAATGAAAGGGTACTGGTTTGAACTGAAAAAGGGCCCTCTGGGTCCGGCTCTGTATTGAAACAAAGAAAATTTTAAAAAAGAGTATACATGTCTACTTACAACAGTAAACTCAGTATTTTGCCCAGACCATTTCAGTTAAAAAATACTTTATTGCAGTTTGAACTTTTGTTTTTTATAAAAACCCACAACCAAATATTTTTAAAAATTAGGAAATTTGTGACAATTATACATGACAAGAATGCAGATGACATAGATAAAAAACAAAATTTAAGATCGGTTATTGCAGGAAAAACTTATGATATTTGTTAAAAATATTTTGATTTTTTAATACTCATCGCTGCGCCGATCCAACCAGTAAGTCGTGCACAGTCCTTTGCCCTGCAATTTTTATAAATGAAAAGTTTTAGTTATATTTTTTAATACAATATTACCCAAGAGTCTTTACTAACTAATAAAGACTATAAAGTTTAAACAAAAATGCAAAAACCTTGTTTACAACGAAAAATTCATCTAAATTCTGATGTTATTTAGGTAAAACTTTGATATTATACTCGATATTTTGCTGAATTTAAACGAGAAAGCCCCTCATACATCCTAATGACGTAACATAAACTATAGTTATAGATCACGGTACAAATTGACACCAAACACAACACTTTTCACTTATTTCAATCCAAAAACAACACTTATCCCTACCTTAATCTCCACCTCTCCCCTCTTGCTAGTGATGAACATAGGGTAAGTTGTAGACAATATTGTCTGTGATTGCTGACTAATTTGAATCAAGTCTGGCATTGCAGTGCTCTCCATTCTACTTGCCGTGTTAACCGTATCACCAAACAGACAATATCTTGGAGCAGTCATACCTACAACACCTGTAGCTACCTGACCAGAATGGAAGCCCCAGCGGCATTTTATTCGAGAATTCTTTTTATGAGGAATCTCAAAGGTTGTCAGGAACTTCCTCATCTCTAGTGCAATGTCAGCAATGTTCATGACGTGACGTGTGCCATTCTCTTCTGGAATCCCAGATACCACCATGTAGGCATCCCCAATGGTCTCCACTTTATATGCACCATTACGTTGAATGCATTCGTCAAAGCCACTGTAGACTCCATTCAGAAGGTTGACAACTTCAAGAGGAGATGAGCTTGAACATAGTGTTGTGAAGCCAACAATGTCACTGAACATTACAGTAGCCGAGGAGAAGAGTTTTGGTGGTACTGGACGGCCGACTTTGAGTTCGTTGGCTACATATTGAGGTAGAAGTTGGTTTAGTAGACGATCCGCTTTTAGATTGGCTTCTTCCAACATTCCAGTACGTTCCTTGACTATCTTCTCCAAGTTGTTGGCATATTGCTCCATTACTCGCATCATTTGGTCTACCAAACTTCCTTTTCTAAAAGCTTATTGTTAATTTTTTTTTAAATTTCGACTTCAAACTTCAAAAACTTACGTTTTCAAGCACATTTCAGTGTTCAACCTCACCCTCCTTATACTAGGTCGTATCTCCGGGTTACTGCTCCAACAATCAATCAATAAAGCAGCCAAATCTGGATGAATCTTCATTTCATCCTGAACGACCGGCTTGATATGTCTAGATCCATCAGCAATAGCATCGACCAACCCATTGATATCAGTGCCTTCAGGAAATGGTAAAGCACGGAATAGAATCTCATACATTACCATGCCAAAACTATAGATATCTCCACTCTGACGCCGTGATGAGCTCTGAGCTACCCAGTTTTGCTCCATACGACGATCTTTGTTATTCTGACGGTTTTTCAGGAGTTCTGGAGCCATGTACAAAGCAGCTACAAAAAAAGTAAACATGTTTAAAAGAACAAGCCTCTCTATACCTACAACAGTCTAATAGAAAGTATAATCTTAACTCAATAACCTTAACTTACACGTTCTCTGAGCCGCCTGACTCTTATCATCATCAGATTGAACGTTAACAATGGAAATCAACCCCTGTTTCTCCCACCGCTCCAACGGATTCGAAATACCAAAATCAGTCAATCGCACACCCCAGTTTCGGTCGATAACACAAGACCACGGTGACAAAGAGCCGTGATATCCGATTGGAGACAAATGAAGATACTCCAAGCCTAGTGTTATATCGCGTACGAATGCGGCGTGGAAGTTCTCGTCCAATGCCATAGTACGATTGTAGATGAGGTCTTGGACTGTGCCACGTGAGCAAAACTTCCAAACGACCAACATCTCTTCACGTTCGTTGAAGGCCATGCCAAGGAAAGGGTTTAGGTTGTCGTGGATGGCTTGTTTCATCTGGAATTTTTGAATTTTCAATTAAAATTATTTTAAAAAATTCAAAATATAGTTTTATTAGGTCGTTCAAATAATTCAGTGCCTCCTAATAATGCAACATTGTAGAAGCACAGAATTATTCGAAAAACCTAATATAATTTATATATAGCCATAAAATATGACTACCTGAGTAAGCAAAGCCAGATCAGCTCGATTAAACTTGATTGGACGTCGTTGAACATACTTATGATAAGTAGCATGTGTATTCACTCCAAGAATGGCATGTTTCTTCATTCCAATGCTCAAGTTACTCAATTTTGTATTGGCACTGCCCAACGACAACTAAAACAGTTTAAAAATTAGTTTTTGGTCTAAAGTTATACAGAATAGGGTTAAGAAAGCAAATTGTACACGTTTTGTTACCTAAAATATCTATATTGAACTGTCTATTAAAGTTCTAACATATATATCATTAGTTTAAAGACAAACCCCGTTATTTACACTTAAAATCAACCCACCAAACTCTTGGCCTGATCATCGTCAATAAGTCTCAAATCCTCGTGCAATATTCTCCATGGCATTCGATTCAAAGCTCTTGTTTGACAATGTCTGTAGACCAAGAAAATCACCAAGAATATGATTATCAATGATAAAGCCGAAGATCCTATAGCAATTTCCATCGTATATGAACATCGTTGACCTCTGTAACCGCAGTAAGGCTCCTCTGAAGGCAATGAACCGTTTTCCGATGGCCAGAAGCCAGTCATCACGTCGGCCAATTTCTAAAATTGATTTGAAGCTCATTTTTATATAAAAATATTAAAAAGATATTAAAAAACAATATTAAGCTTGTTTTAAACCCAAAATATTCAAAACACCATCAAATTTTTTAAAATAAAAATGATGGAGCACATATTGATATTACGCATGATAAAAAGCCTATATCTGATCAAAACCAAACGCTTCATTGATCAAAAACATACCAAATCAAAGCAGCCTGTTCTGTTCACAAGTCCATCACAATTTGTTACCATAAAAGACGTCATAGTGACAATTTTCAACGGTTTTTCCTTGTTCGGCGAGACATAAAATCCAGCAAAAACTGGCGCTCGATCCACCAGGTCGTCCATTAAAACGGCTCCAGTTGCACCTATAGAAGTACCAATTCCTGAAAATTGTTTTCTACACTGTTTATTACCTATTTTTGTAAGTTTTCCTTAGTTTTTAAAAGGTTTTGTTGTTGTTTTAGATCGAATAATATTGTTTTAGGTGGAAAATATGAAGAATGATTCGTTCAATCCGTATTTTACAAAAACCGCCATTTCTGTCAAAACAAAAATGAGAATTAATGACTTACCTTGAAAGCTGACCTTTCTCATGGCGTTCCAAATCAATCGGCCGTCAGTAATTGTTGTAGCATTGTTGCCATTAGCCGTGAAGACTTTCCGCGCCGCCAATCCATAGAGTTTCAGAGAGTCGTACAAGTTCAGATAGCCAAAAATGTCACTCTAGAACAGAATATTCATTATATTTATTAAAAAACTTGTTTTATGTTTTATTATCTGTAAAAAAACAGCGTTATTCGACCAGTTGTTGTCAAAAACTGAAGTTTTTCTGATTTTCAGGCGGCGCCCTAGCTTCTGGCCATCTTATACGCAAAACAGTTTTGAACTACTAAAAGGGTAAAACAACAACAACATGTTGCAACATAATTTTAAATTGTAAAATAGGCATATTGTAGGTTTACTAAACATTTTTTTTTTCATTTTCTTCATTTTCAAAATTTTTTAAGTTTTTTTATTTATAGCACCCATCCGCCCCAATTCCCTCGCCCACACCCAACGTACTCTATCCAGATCATCCACGCTAAGGCCGTAGTTTCCAACACGTTCGATAAACCCGTTAAGAAGGGCATCGTCGAAGCCGTTCGCGTCATCGACGATAATCGCATTTGCATAATGATCTTTTACTTGCTGAAGCATCTCACCAGACTTGCCAATCCACGGCAACGCGTCCTTTGGGCCGTTCTGCAGCCATGGCAAAATGTACACGTACTCTGGGTTGTTCATGTTCATTTTGACTGTGGCTTGCATGAATTCACGAGTCATGTCACGGGTTTCCGAGAAGATGCAGACAATTACTGAAATTGGAGTTAAAGATTAAAAAAATTTTTTTAAATCAACAAAGGAAGGTTAAGAAAAGATCGATATTCCCTTTACAGTTTACCCATGCCATCCCACTCCCAACCCCCACTTACTTCTAGCAGAATTCGAAAGTTCCTGCATCTGCTGATCCTTGACCATGTCTTCTGACTTGGCATACTCCTCAAACATGACCTTCTTACTGACGGTAATCTTAGTTCGTCTAAGCTCTTCTTCAAAAGCCTGAACACGATCATAAGCCAATTGTCCAGAATTTGTTACAACAGCAATTCGAAGCCAATTATAATGTCCAACTAGGCTTATCACAGCTTTGGCCAAGGCATTAACGTTCTTCGACGAGGTTCTGGCCAAGGTTTTGAAAATGCGACGGTCAGAGGTTGCTGTTGTGGTTGGCATATAGGCTATCACGGGGATGTTCCAGAAGGCTCCCATTTTGCCAACGGCGTCGAGTTCTGAAAAAATTATTTTTTTTGTCTTTCTCTCTCCTTTACCTACCTGTATTACAATAAGGCCCAATAAAAGCCCTAACACCTTCAGCATGGTACATTTGAGCCGCGACAGCAACCCCTTCAAAAGCCTCTCCACAGCCCATTTGGGAAGTGATTTCGAAGTCTAAGTCATCACCCAGTATCCCTTCTTCTATCAACTGCAGACGGCTGACATTCAAGACCTTATCTTTATTTGGCAGAGCTCCAATGGCACCAATATGACCAATTTTGACTACCGCCTTGCCATTCTGGTTCTTGCTGATTTCCATTGATGGTCCCCATTTCGAAAAGTCATTATCTGACGATTTTTGAGTTTCATCGCTCTGTTGGTCGTTTTCGTCGTTCTGTTGCTTGTTTTGGTCGTTATTTCGGCGATTCTGTTCGTTCTTTTGACCGTTCTGGTCGTGCTTTTGCTCATCATTGTCGTTTTCATTGTTTGTATGGCCCTTGGTTGCTCTCCGAGATCGGGAATGAAGCTCAGAAGCTGATGGAAACTCTAAATTTTTTAAATTTTAGTTTTTAAACAGCACTTTCAATCATCTCTCAAAAACTATAAATTTTCATTTTTTAGCCGATTTTTTCTTCATACAGTACTCAAACTACGAACGTATAAATCCTTACTCAAACAGCATTGTAAAACACAAAACCTCTCCCAACTTACTATGACTAAGCGCTTGCGCGACGTCGTTACAGTAGCTGATGACGACGAGCAATATTAACACAATAGCGGCCCTTCCCATTGCGTTTGGAAGCCACAAATGCCGGTTTAGCACCACCGTTAGGGCATTTCTAATTACGAAAATTAAACGACGATGGTATAAGCGGATTGTTTGGCGGCGGCAAAACAACAAATACCTTAAGAAGATTCTGGTGTGCCGTACAGTTTGTCGGTATTGCGTCTGTTATGGCCGTGCTACGAAACTGATTACGTATACCACGTCTTTTGTGGAAGTATTTTACGTTTTTGCTAGTTATTTTAGGTTTACATCCTTCTACGATCTTTAAAAATCCAAAAAATGTACTTTAAAAATATCATAACTCAATATTATCATCTACAACAATATAAACGCCCTAATGTCAGCAAAACTACTAACAATGGCCATTTCATAAGCCATACGGTTTATCAGACCGATTAATACCTTTATTTCGCAAAATAATTTAATAATTAATAACAACAATGTAAAACAAATCTCAGCACGGCGGTACTTCCTTGAACAACTCTAACATGTTTACAGAAACAAACACAGTTACCGTACCAATAAACGAACCCAGTTGAGAGATCAGTCCAGAGTAAATTAAACGACGTTCTGTTATGTGCTCGGCTGGCGCAGTTTCACGTACTATTTCTATCAACATACTATACACGTAGAAGCCTATTAGCCACATAAGGCATTGGCAAGATACCTGAAATGAGTTTATGAAAGATCTTTGTTAAAAGTAAAAAGAAGATCAAAATTCAATTTTTGTTTGAAAAAGCTCTAGTGTAAGATGACAAAAATTTAGTATATTCTCTAGCTTTGTCAGATCACGTACTATTAAGAAAATTTTTCAATTTCATGAGCACTATTGCAATATTAAGACCCTTATTGAATATAAAGTTAGCACAAAAACTTACAATCATAACGCTTCCAACAAACGTTCCTACTAGTATTGGCTTGGGACTTTGAAAAGCAAGAAGAACGTTGAAGGAACTTAGAGAAATCACAACCAAATACCATAAAAATACTTTTTTAATATCTCGTGTAGGCATTGCTCTTGCCATCAATGCACCCAATGGTCCACATAAACAAGATAGAATGTTTGTGTAATAGTAGGTTTCCTAGAACACCAGGATGACAGGGTTCTTTACGACATGGTTGCTTATATTAGACTCTTATTTAAAGATAGTCTATGTTCAGTTAAATTCATATCTATTTTATAAAAGTAAAACAAATTTCTTAGCTAATATGATGAGCCTCACCTTAGAGTACGGCAACACAGCATACGGAGTAATACTAGGCACGAAAACATACAACTGTGCGCACATTGTCATATTCATCAGCACTAACATAACATCTTGCCGGCTTTTAAATTGAAAAGCTGGAAGATCACAATCTTTTTTTGTCACTCTTGTTGTCGACTTTATAGAACCGTCCTTCTTCAAATTTTTCTTTTTAATGCTCAATAGTACAAATGACAAGATGCCAATAGCGTAGAAAACGAATACTACACTGTAGTAGACTTCAACACCAAACCGTGATGTAAATACAGGCTCTAGTGGACTATCTGGGTCAGTTGCATTTTTCGGAACACAATCGTACGTTGCTGCTCCTAAAAATTGTTTTTTACGATTACCATGATTAATGGGTTTGGTTTTGTAACGAAAGATTGCTTGCAACAGAATGCCAAAACTGATTTTTGTTTTTTTAGAAAGTTAATTTTTGAAAAGGTCGGTTTTTTTGTTGCTGTTTTAGTCAATTAAAGTAAGTTATTATATTTTTTATATTACATTACTTTGATTTTTTTTTCAGGTAGCCACATGGCCTATACCTTGAACATTAGCATTCGTAATCCCTCACCTTGGGTTATCGCCAGAACCATTGGCAATGCCTGGCCCACTCCGATTCCAATAAAATACGACTGAAAGTACTGTTGAGGGAGATCTTTCAGATATGGCAGAAACATAACATCTGATAAACACACGTTAGCTCCCATGAAAAATAGAGCAATATAAACTATAATTGACCGTTTTTGACCCAAAATTTCTATAGAGTATTCGCTGAAGAAACCAAGTGGTAATAGTACTATTAGAACTAGTATGAAACTCGTCAAAATTATTGGTGTTCTGGGCAACTTTACGTTAAAGAATAGTTTAATGAAGGTGAGGATAAGGCCTATGCTTGCTGATGCCTAAAATAATACATTTTTGTTTCCAAAACGTAACGCAGAACGATTTTTTTGAAAAGATCATACAGAAAACGCGCCATGTAACAAAAAAAACCCTTATAAAAATTAAAACTGTACCTGCATAATGATAGTAAGAGTAGCACCCAGACGCCATCCTTCAGGCAGTCTAGCTGTGTGGACTGTCATTTCCATACCAAATGCTGTTACTCCCAAATAAGCAATGACACCAAACAAAACTACCAAGAGTGATAGTGTCACATCAGTATGTCGTTCTAGATTTTCTTTCATTTTACCTTAAAGTAAAAAATTTTAATTTAGAAAAAGTGGTTATAAAATTGAGATGAGCTGGTTTAAATTGATAAATATAAACAGGAAACGTGAAGAACAAATTTTAAACATAGTTAATATGTTTAAAATTTTGGCATTTTACGAAACATTAAAAACTAATTACAACACAATATAGCTTCCTACTATCTGAAATGGCAATGAGCTCATTGAACTTATTTTAATAATTATTTTGTAGCAAAGGTCATTTTCTTAAATTTCACAAAACTTTTTTTAAATATCACCAACTTCAGCAATCTCAACAACCTGAGTAACTGAAATTTAACAAGCACGTATGATGTTTACAAAAGTAAAAGTTTAATTGACGCCAGAGACTTTCAAATACATATATGCCTTCACAACTGTGATCTTTACAAATTTATATATAAACGTATAATATATATGTTTTTAATAAACTGTATAAGCAGACGTTATGTATAGTTAAAAAACAAAGTTAGGTAAATGTTTACCGTTTGGTAGTTGCAGACTAAACAAAACAACTTTTAATAACGAATTGGCTATTTAGTTACCCATAAAAGGTTAGGAATCGCATGAGGTAACTTGCTACAGTTTAACGTGAAAAGTCATTTACTCTAGATAATATCAGCGTTTTTATTACTATAGACAACGTTTTTAGTTGTTGTTTTTGTCGTTGGTGAGGAGAGAAGTTTTTGAAGTTTTTAAAGAAGAACAAGTTGAAAGTTTTTGAACGTTTTGAGTTTAAAAAAAGTCAAAAAATTATAAAATTATTTTTAAAATGTTATTTTTCCTGGATCCCGGAACCTCTGTAGCAAAAAATTAAAAAAAACATATGATAAATTTTAAATTTTGATTGGTTTGATTTATGTGTTACATAAATTACCGGTTTAAAAAACAAATTACGTTGTGGTAAACAATGATATGAGCGTGCGGTTCCTTGCTAAATAAACTTTTATATTTTGTACAAATTGGAAACATCTGCATTGGAAACATCTGCAAGTCTAATTCGACAAGAAGTTTGCGTTAATATTACCATCAAGTTTCTCTATATTTAATTTTGATCAGTAGCACATACAGTACTCTCTCTATATAAGCAACCCGAAGGGACCGACATTTTGTGTTTACTATAAGGGGTGTTGTCTTTACAGAGAGAATTTTTAGTGCAAATTGACTGGGCGGGGCCACATTTCTTGTTTTCTATAAGGGGAGTTGCTTATACAGATGGTTCACTATATAGAGAAACCACTGTAATTTCAAAATATTTTTTTAGTTTTCTATTTTTATAATTTACAAAACAATACACTTTACAATTATTTTATTATACAACAAACATTAACAAGGTGGAACGCTGTCAAAAAGCTCAAAGATATTAACCGATGGAAATATAATGGCGGTGGAGATGGCTGCGCCGATTTGCCCCATGAATCCGGCGAACAATAGTCGACGATGTTTGGATTCGTCGGTTGGAGATCGATGACTCAACGCTTCGAACAATGCGCTCTTGCAGTAATACGCCAAACCAAATACGAACGTGATTAGACACACCTGTAACAGTTCAAATCTTCATTAGGAGGAGTTGAAGTAATAAAAAAATTATTGTATACTACAAAACATACCACAGTAACACTACCAAAGCTCGTGTCAGCTAGCCAGGGATGTGGGCTTTGGAAGGCAATAGCAAAACATAACCCTAATACGGACATAGCCAAAAGAGTGCATGTAGTTAGTATTGAAGTACTATAAACTGGCCAGAAGTGGGCTACAATAGATACTATTGGTTGAATACCTGCACCTAGTATCAGGGACCAGAAATAGGTTTGCTGAAATTTTTTAGATCAGTAGGGCAGGATAGGGGAGGGTAAGCTAATGTAGGGCAGAATAGCGTGAGGTAGGGTAGAGTAGGAAAGAGTAGGGTAAATTAGGGTAGGGTGAGGTATGGTAGAGCCGGACAGGATTGACTTACTGTGGAGTAAGGCAAAGCAACAAAGCTTTGAATGCTTGGCATAAGAACGTTCAACGTTCCTGTCACTATTGCTACGCAAACCATTAGCATCCAATCTTCTACATCAAATTCTCCTTTTTCTTCTATTAATTCTTCCACTATTTCTTCTTTTTCTAATTCTTTAACTTTTTTCTCATTTCCTTCAGAATATGATGCTCCATACCATAACATATCAATCTTTTCTCGACAAAGATGTATAAGTAAAAATGATATAGTGCCGGCCAATGACCAAAGAAATACGATAATGTAATAGACCTCGACACTATAGCGAATTTTTCTAAATTGTGGCTCTAACTCGGTTGAGTTTGGTGCTATTGGTACACAATCGTAGGATGAGCCGTCTGAAGATGGATAAGTTTTTAGATATGCTTTACTTTATTTAGCCTACCCTTTCGTACCGTAACCTATTCTACCATACACTACCCTAAAGTATCTTACCTTACCCTACCATACCCTACTCTACTTTACCTTACCTTATTCTACACTACGATACCTTATCCGACTTAACCCTGCCCTAAACTGTACCTTGCACAACACTCATCACACCAGGTCCAATACAACTCATTCCCATGCCCAAAAAGTAGGCTTGAAAGTAAATCTCAGGTAGATTCTTCAGATATGGAATGAATAACACATCAGATAACATAGAAAAAGCTCCAATAATAAACATGCATATGTACAATACTATCGACCGTTGCTTTCCACCAATCTCTACGCTGACATCGTTGTAAAATGCTATAGGGATCACAGTAAACGTTAACATACATAAAGATACGATGATTAGGCTAGTTTTTGGCATTTTTATTTCTGTGTAGTGGTCCACCATGGCGTAGATTATCGTTATTAAGACTGATCCCTACAAAAAAGTCGAAAGTTCTTACTAAAGTAATGGTATATTACTATAGAGTGATATATATTACTGTAAAAAGTGCTATATATTATACATTAATACATTATTATAAAAATTACTGTATACATTGCTACAGAGAGTGCTATGTATAATACTATAAACAGTGCGATATACTGAGATATAAGTTCACTACTTACTTGTACAATAAGATTACTTGTAGAAATCAGACCCCATCCTTCAGGTAACATATGAGTATGGACACTTTGTTCAACCCAAAATGCATTAACTAACAGCCAAGAAGATGAGCCAAATAACATTACTAAAGTCCCCAGTATCCAGTTCGGACCCTTTTTATTAGGATCAGTTTTACTCATATTACTATAGGTTTATTAATAGTACCAAAAAAATATATTTGTTATTGTAGCAAAAATGCCAAAAATTTAAAGAACGTTCAAATATGTATTAGAAATTTGAAAGTTAATATTGTAAAAACAAAGAAAAGTTATAAATCATAATTAATAAATAACTTCCAGTTTAAGTGTTCATTCAATTCTACTTTTTTCTTTTATTATTACTTTTTTCAAAAACGTGCCTGATAAGCCAATTATTGATAACATAACTTACAAAAGAGTAAACGTACCATAATTTTTCTGCAAAATTAATAGTCAAAGTTCGCGCCGATCAGAACCAATATTCATAGACTGCCCAAAAAATATAAAAACGCCAAGGAATACTTTCACATTTTTATTTTGACAACAAAACAATCAAATCGAATAAACAACTTTTTAATTTAGGTATTAACCCTTTGAATTGACCATATATTCAAAAGTTAAAATTGCTTGAACTAGCCAAAAACTCCTTGAATATGCCATAACTTCAAAGAATAAGATAGTCTTACTTTAGTTTTCCACGACTTCAATCTCAGACAAAGAATGCAGGTTTTCATTGGCTTTCTTGACGTTCTTTAGGAGAGTACTGATACGTTTCTGGAGAATTTCCCATTGAGGTCGGTCAAAGGTGCGGTTTTGGTAGGTGGTCACGACGAATTCGTTCGCTTTTTCATTGATTTTGCCCTGAAAATTTGAATATATTATTGTAAAACACTATAAGTATACCAAAACCTTATATATTTTATGTTATACGTTTAAAAATTAAAAAAATCATTAATACCTAATATTCCATTCAAGAACTTATAAAATCATCCGATGTATCAAAAAATCACAAATTTCAAATTTAAACTCGCATTAACAGCCTTGATTTGGATAGCATCGATCAAAAACTCTTCCAGCTCTTCTTCATCGTCAATCTCCAAGTCTTGCCTCAACTGATCCAGCTTTAGCGTCATGTTTTTCTCAGCCAACGAGATCAATGACAAGGTCTTAATCTTCTTCTCCAATACCTTCTCATCTGCTTTCAAATGCGATTTGACAAAATCTGGATTGGATTGAACAAATTGTTTATACTGAGACCATGTTCCGGTAGAGAAAAGTTGTAAGATTTCATACATTTTCGGATCAACCGTCTTGAGATATTGAACAGCAGATAGGCGAAGAAGATGGTCTAAAGTGAAGGATTTTGGGTCGATAATCGCTGTTCGGACACATTCTTCAGCATCGTCTTTGGCTGAGTTGGCGTCTACTTCACTGTAGGTACGAAGAAGAGTGCACATTACCTAAAATTTAAAATATTGTTTACAAATTAACGAAGACCATCTAATTTTCATACCTAAAATAAAAACAAAGATTAAAATCCTTACCTCAGCTGCAGCATCATGACGAGCATCAGCCAACAATGCCTTGTGCAATACTCTCAACAGATCCCTTTTGCCTTCAACATCCAATCCCAAAGCTTTAACGTAGTTTTCCACTTGATCGATAGATGTGTCAGTGAACTTGGTTATTCTAGCTTGGCCAGCAATCTTTACAAGAGCCTTGAAGACGCTCAACTGAAGCTTCGGCCTGTCCGTGTACATGTGGAAGACGTTTGAAAGAATTCTAACAGCTACACCAGCCTGAAAAAAAGATTGAGTAAGAAGAGCAAGCATTTGAGTTTTTAGGTAACAAAATTCAAATAAAAAGTGAGTTGTTCAAATTTAAAGACTATTATTAATAAAATAGTCTTTTTTAGGTATGAACTTCATAAAATTAAAAAAAACCACAAGTTTCAGACGTTTTTTAAAACAATAGATATTAACCATCCTTTAGACGCAAAAACCTAAAAACAAAACAAAAAAACTAAAGACATACCTGTGAATTCCATCCAATTCCAGAGAACTCTTTGCCATTCAAAGTTTTGATTAAATCTCCAATAAATTCTTCAGTCTTTGCAGGCTCAAAAGCTACGCTCAAGTTGAAAATAGCATTCAACACACATTCCAACTCTTTAGAGTCCACAGATGCTGCGATTTGAGGTGCAAATCCCAGAAGTTCCTTAACATTTTCAAATAGGTTCTGTGATCCATTCGGGTCAATCTTTAGGCCTTTCTCTTTGAAGTAAAGTCGAAGTTCAACGGACGATTGAGTCTCGTTCTTAAACGAAAAAGCTCCACCGAGTTTGTCTACGCTCATTGCTAAAATAGAATAAAGTTTAGAACACTTTAACTTATCATACGTTCTAACAGTACATAAGCTAAAAATACACGTTCAAATATACAAGGTCAAAACAACGAACGGCAAAAAACATTAACACAAGTACACGCCAAAACACTAAAAAACTCGCCGAATTCGATCAACTTGGTCGTTTCACTGTAAAAGTAGATATCTTTTCGATTCCACCCTTTTTCAAACTCTCTAACCGACGTTCGGCTAGCCTCAAGTTGTGCTCCACTAACACAAAATTCGACTTTTCAATTGCTTTGGCGTTTTGTTTGAAAGCTTCACGAGCTGTTCGCAATGAAGCCTCAGATTCGGTGCGCTTCTGAAGTTGACGAAGGATGTTCTTGTAGGTAGTGAGTACTCGAAGCTGTAGTTTCGAATGGGGCATCCAATACCTGACAATTCTTTTGCTATAAAACAACCAAATTGATGCGAACACGCGAGGTTTATTGGGAAAATAGACAAGTCTACAAATCAAACACAAAAAATTTTAACAAAAAACTACAAAATAAGCCCTAAGCAAAAATATAAATAAAAAGTTGTACAGTAAAATGCACTATTTACATGTTAAAAACAGTTTTACATCATAATTCCAACAAATTTTCTAAAAAATATTTATAAACGTACCGTAAATGAGTTGACTTCGCCGCGAAAACAAACATGTGGCATTGTGTCATTTTATTATTTTCTGCTGAAATATTATTTTTTTCGAACAATTCAACTTGATGATCAACTTTCAACGGATATTGCAAGTTTTGTTTATTTTTTCTTTGGTTTTTAGGATTAAATACTTAGAACGTCACTAACATTCAAGTTAGTCGAGGAATAATCCCTTTAATGAAGCATTGTCGTCAATAATCATGAATACATTATTATACATTGAAAACATTAACATGGTGGAACGCTTTTGAAGAGTTCAAAGATATTAATAGTTGGGAAGATGATAATAGTAGCCAATAAGCAGCCGACTTGTCCAGCAAAGCCTCCAAAAACAAGTCTTCGATGTTTTAGGTCTTCATTTGTGGAGGTGCGTCTGATTACTTCGAATAACATGTTACGACAGTAATGTCCAACGAAGTACACTGTCATTGTTAAAAGTATCTGAAATATAAGTAGTGATTTTGATTTATAAGATTCCAAGTTAGCAAAATTTACTTTTAATATTTAAAATTTGTTGAAAGGTGAATGTTAGGCTAAAATAAAATAACATATAGGATAATATTGAAGTAGTAATTGTATTTTTTAAATATGAAAAACAAAAACAAACTCACAATAAGAACACTGCCTATTTTGGTTTCGTGTAACCATGGGTATGGGCTGTGTAAAGCAATGATTAAGCATATTGCACTGGCTACAGTTGTAATAACGGTAAATAATGTTAATAACTTTAGCTTTAGGATTGGAAAAATATGAGCGACAACTGCGGAGAATGGTGATAAAGCTGATCCTATGGCTAATGACCAGAAATAGGTTTTCTGAAAAGTTATTTTATCCATAAGGGCTTGCGATATAAAATTTAATAGATGATGTTGGGTTTTTTAAAATATATTCTGTACTCTTGTTTTAAATTACCGATGAATACGGCAGCACAACAAAGCTTTGTAAACTAGGTAAGAACACGTTGATTTGTCCAGACACCAATCCCAGTAAAATCATCACAATATAGTCTTTCTTGTCATTCAATAAGGCATCTTCATTGTATTTGCTTCGCAGCTTTTTAGTCACAACAATGATATTTTCATCAGTAGAAACACTATGGACACTTGAACCATACCACAGCTTGTCAATGCGTTTTCGGCCGAAATGAATTAACAAAAAGGCTGCTGTTCCTAAACAACACCACAGGAAGATGATAGTGTAAAAGGTGCTGACACTGTAGCGAAGGTGACTGAATTTTGGAACTAGTTCCAGAGATTTTGGTGCTGGGACGCAGTCGTAGGTTGAGGCGTCTGAAGTCATCAAGAATTTTGTAAAATACGATACTTCCAGCTGGATATACTAATAGAACCCACCTTGTATAACACTAAGAATGCTAGGCACCAAGTTACTGAGTCCAACCCCAAAAAAGTAGGCTTGAAAGTAGATTTCGGGCAGATTCTTCATATAAGGTATGAATAACATGTCTGATAAGATGGCCAAGCCTCCAGCAAAGAACATGCCAGTATATAAAACGATCGACCTTTGTTTACCGGCAATTTCTACTGTAACTTCATTGTAGAAGCCAATAGGGATTATAGTAAGACATAGTACAATTAGTGATACCAATATGATTGGTGCTGTTTTTGGCTTGATATTGGTACAGTTTTCTATTATGGTGTAGGCTAGTCCTAGGAGCGCTGAGATCTGAAAATTAACGGTTTTTCGGCATTTTGAGCTAAAAATTCGCGTTTTGAACTTGAAATTGGCATTTTTTTTGTATTAAAAATTTTGGGGCCGATGAACAATCATTCCCCCAGCTACAATCATTCCCCCAAGCGCAAAATCATTCCCCACAAAGTTAAGTTGAACTTAACTTGTACTAGTCCAGAACGTTTGGCACAGGTGAGGGTTGGCAACGACCTAAGTGTTGGAGCTGGTGAGACCATCGCGCGATGAGGGGCTGGAGGAAGAACCGGCTGACGACCTCGGAACTTGGCTCGAATGACGATTTCTGGGGAAATCGGTTGCTTTTATAGGGATTTTTTGCATAAACTTTGAAAGTGTAAACCAAGTTTTGAATAATGAATAGACTTTCAAAGTGCAATGGGAAAGTGACTAAGGGTTTTCTAAGTCTGGGGCATGATAGTAAAACAAGTGGGGCATGATAGTAAAACAGGTGGGGCATGATAGTAATACATGTGGGGCATCATAGTAAAACAAGTGGGGCATGATAGTAAAACAGGTGGGGCATGATAGTAACACATGTGGGGCATCATAGTAAAACAAGTGGGGCATGATAGTAATACATGTAGGGCATGATAGCAATTCGAGCGGGCCATGATAGTGTAATACGGAGTAGGACACAACGGTTGTTTTTTTTTACTTTTGGCAATTTCATCAGTGATTCCTTCGTAAGTTCGCGGTCCGACCATAATTCAGCAAACAAAATGAAAGAATGAGAAATTGAAAAAAAAATTTTAAAATTTGAATGTGGGGAATGATTGTAGCTCATTTCCATGGGGCATTATTATTCACCTGCTGGGGAGTTATTCTTCATGAGAACCAAAATTTTGTTTGAATTTTTTTGAAATTTTTAAAATTTTTTTTTGAAAAAGTGTTAACTTATTATAAAAGTTTACCTGAATGATAATGGTCAAAGTAGCGCCAAGTTGCCATCCCTCGGGCAATATTTGAGTGTGAATGCCTTGTTCAACCCAAAATGAGCTCAAGCTCAACCATGATGTAGATGCGAATAGAGCCACCAAAACTGCTAGGATCCAATTCGGTTTTTGATCAACTTCTACTGCATTTTCCATCAACTAAAACATGATTTTATATGTGGCTTGGCGAAATAACAAAAAATCAATAATAACTTGACGAAATGTAAATATTTTGAATTTTGTAGTTTATTATGAAAACTTTAGATGTGATTTACTAAAAAAAGACATTAACGGCATCATTAAGATTCATTTTAAACCTAATAGTTTTCTAAATATATTAAATAAATTATTTTCGTTACCTAAAAATAAAATGGTACATCGATAACGTATTTTACATTGTACTGTTTATTATAACAAACCGTCAAAAAATGTAAAAAAGATACCCGCTTTAATGAGTTTTTAATAAACTTCACACATATGGGGAGCCTATTCCCAATAAAAATAGATTTTACTGAACCATAACGGGAGGAAATGGGGAGAGAAACGAGCGATCAGACAAATTTACACGGATTTGTTATTGAATTCAGTTTATTTAGTGGTCTAGGTAAACAATTGACAATTTCAAATTGTGCACTTTTTTACAGAAGTATAACATTTTCGTTATCAATAACTTTACAGGTGCGCCAAAATTTCTGTTACAAAACTTTACCGTACCGTCAAACCTTGGCCTACGCTGAGAAATAAGTTGTCTTGGCCTAGGCTGAGAAATATGTTTTGTGGTTTAATATAATATATAGGTTGTCTTGGCTTAGACTGAGAAATAGATTGATTTGGCCTAGGCTGAGGAGAAGGCGGCCTTGATTTACGCTGGGTAATGGGTTGCCTTCGCTTAAGTTGAGAAATAGGTTTTCTTGGCTTAGGCTGAAATTGAGGTTTTCTTGAAATAAACTGACTTTTTTGAAGCAAAGTGCGGACTGGTTAAACCACTTTTAAGCTTAACTTGGTACCATTCTATTTGAGGGTAAACTTCGTCTTAAAAGATAACAAAATAAAAACATAGTTAATACTACAAATTCAACAACAATAATATTAAACTTGTTCCCAAACTTTTTTATAACTTTGCATATGTTTGCTTTTCAAACTTCCTGTATGACTCTATCTAAATACACCCTAACTCACTTTGTTTTATCAGCAATCAGAGATAAACCAATTTATTTCGCGATTAAAAGGTTAGTAATCAACTATGAAAGATCGACCTTTTTAGTCGATTTAAGGTCTATTTTTTAAATTTAAAACCGGTTCAAGGTAAGTGAAACCTTCTAAGACTTTCGCTTTCTTCGAAGCCTTGAAGACTTTCATTTGTGACATTATTTCGTCAAAATGTCGACGGAGAAAGGTCCGCCGGTGGCGCTGTTGACCACAGCGTTTGTTTTGTCGGCCGCAATGGGGGTTTTGGCCATTTTGAGTGCAGAGTTGAATCGAGAGATGAGGAATTTGAAGATTGAGCTGGATCAGAGCACTACTGAGTTTATGGTAAGGTTTCAAAAGGCTGTGGGCTCATTTGTCCCAGTCCAGCTCCCTCCAAAGTTGCTTTTGTTAATACTATTATCTTAAAAATTAGGCCTCAACCAATGACATTTGGGACAACGTTCAGCGCTACAAACGCGAAAACAAGATTCGTAGCAAGCGTGGCAACTACGCCCAGCCAATTTACCGTCCAGCTTCAGCACCATCAGTCGTATATCGCTATGGTCCTATCTTCAAGAACCGTCTAGTACTGGGAAACAACGCAGTACGGCCAGCATATCAACCAGCGCCTTATCAACCACAATATCAACAGATTTATCATCCGGTACAGTATAATCAACCCGTGTCTTATCAACCCTATCCACAGGCTTTTCAACAAGTTCAACCACAAACTCCGGTTCCTACTGTGAGCAGGCCAGCTAGTCCAGTTGGTCAGAGTTATGTTGTGAGCTCAGTTGGAGGAAAAAGTAGTGGTTTAGGAGCTATTCCCAGGAATAATGTTGGAGGTAACGGTGGTAATGGTAATGGATTAGGCGCTGCGGCTGGAAGTGATGATGGCAATGGAGGTAGAGGTGGGTGTAGCAGTAATTGGAATTTTAAAAAATTTAAAAATTATTTTATAATTTCCAAAATTTAAGATTTTAAATATAGTACTAAACAATTGAAAAAAAGAAAAAATGGTATCAAGTGCACCAAGAGCAAAAAATAGTACAAATTTTTGAATTTTAAAACTTAACTTTATAGATTGTGGTCCATCACCATCTTCATGCCCTGCTGGTCCACCTGGACCACCTGGAGAGAAAGGAGAGCCTGGAGGTAAGTTTTTAAGCAAATTTTTATTTTTTAAAATTTTGAATTGGAAAAAATTTCTAAAGCTAAATTTTTAGAACCCGGCCCACCCGGAGCTCCAGGACAAACAGGAGCACCAGGCGAAGACATTCAGTTCAAAAAAATCGATCCACCTTGTATCAAATGTCAAATGGGACCAACTGGTCCACAAGGACCTCAAGGAGAGCCAGGAGAAGATGGATTGGACGGTTTTGATGGTCAAGATGGTCTTCCTGGTCGTGACGGTACTCCAGGTCAACCTGGCTTCCCAGGCGATCTTGGAATACAAGGACCGCCTGGCGATATTGGTAAACCTGGTCTACCTGGCGCAGAAGGAGAAAGATATATAACTGTACCAGGTTTACCTGGCCCTCCAGGTTCAGTTGGCCCAGCGGGACCCCCCGGTGATCCAGGATTAGATGGAGAAACTGGTCGTGCTGGTCCAGTTGGTTCACCTGGAGCTCCTGGATTAAGAGGTCCTGATGGTATGCCTGGATTCCCGGGTTTGCCAGGTGAGCCAGGTAAGGATGGTTATGAAAGGGGATATTGTCCATGCCCAATCAGAGTTATGGGGCCGAATGATCGGTCGAGAGTTTGGAATGTTGTTGGTGGTGGTCAGACAGAGAGTTTTGTTACTAGTACTGCTAGTACACATCGGAGAGGACATAAGAAGAACAGAAGGAAGAAGACTCACAGAAGGGGCAATTTGGTGTCTAACTAGCTTTTTTATTACCTATTGGTTTGAAAATGATCAAATAAAGGGAGAAATCATATGCAAATATTTTTGAAATTTTGAAATTTTTTTTAAATTAAAATTTTTTTTGAATTTAAATTAACTATTCTATGTTTAAGTTTTTAAACAACTTGTGTGTTACAACAACTAAACCAACAATTTAAATCTAGAACAACAAATTAAGCCTCAGTTCTCAAGGTTGATCAAGCCAGCCTTACACTAAACCTAACTGGATCAACTCTTGATTCAAAATGATCTGGTTGAAGTCGGATTGACGTCAGCGACGCTGTAAAATGGCTTCCTGAATAGGTTGAAAGTCATGTTGTAAAATTAGTGTCTCACAGTGTTTTTAATCGTGAGAGGGGAACGTTCCTGCCTTGTGTTCTTAACTTGTCGACTGATTTCTAGAAGTTTCCTTGCCTATTTTTGGCTGGATTTCTTTAATTTTTAGCTGAATTAAGCTATTTCAAATCGTATTTTAGTATTAAAAACTAGTTTTTTGTAGCATATATTACACTTGTTACCTAAAATTAGTGTTATCCGTGTTATCTTCATCTACAACTACAAAAATATTGACATTTTAAATTTAATACTACCTTTAAATTGTCGATAAAAACAGTGTGTTGTTAGAAAATATTAAACTAGCCTTTGAAGCCAACTTTATCTATCTTAAATTTTCGTTTCTTCCACTACAACAACATGAGAATCCTGCTTCTCTTACTACTCTTAATGCTCTTCACTCCAGTATCATCCTACTTCTGGAGCACTTGGTTCACCTCCAGCACAAGAACGTCTCCTAAAGGTAGTACAGTGATCACAAGACGCTCCAGTGTACATCATTATGGACGTAGAGGTCGGTAGAATGAAGAAGGATCTCGATATTAATGTATATAATTTTAATTTTTTTATGAAATTAAAAGTCATCAGATGATTGTTGAACTACATGTCAACAGAAAACATCAATCAACTACCATTATATGCTTTATATCATTATTTTTTGGTGTAATAAACTTTTTTTACAAATTTTTTTTTGTGGAAAATTTATGTTTGAAAAAGGTAGGGTACTTACTAAACTACTAAGCTTTTAAAAAAATTATGTGCCCCTTACACCGAAAATTTGCATTAAAAAGGGGCGCAAACTTATTTGAACAAGCTAATATGAAAAAATAAAAAAATATCATAATTTTATAAATAAACCTTAATATTATGCGACTCATCACCTAGTGATTATAAGAATATCAATGATTAGCTCTGTATCTGTACTCAGTACATTTCACTTGTCTTGGAACCTGGAGTTGATCACGAGAAGTTACAGAGTATTGACCATTCAATGCTGCTATCTTTTCACATTCCTCTAATACCGTGAGCTCTTGGTTTTGGGCGATGGCCTTAACGTTAATAAGGAAAGATAAAGCAAGGTATTTCAAAAGTAATAATAATAAAAAAAAATAATAATAATTTTAAAAAAATTAATAAAAAGATTTTAAAAAAATCAAAATTTTAAGATTTTTGAATACAAAAGTAAATTTAAAACTGACAGTGTACTTATCATCAAATTCCTGAGCTTCTGGATTCAAAATCTTGTGTCTGATGGCTCTCTGTTTGTCCAGCTCTTTCTGTCGATTGTCCAGAAATTCGGAAAAGTCCTTGTAAAGCTTCTGCAAAATGTGAATGGTTTAAGTATTCCAATTCCTAAAATAAATGTTAACACAGTCAAACATGACTAACATTGGTATAAAAGTCTGTCTTTTTTCCTTCCTCTCCCTTTTTTTTGAGAAAACCGCCTTGAAAGTATACTTGATATTAATTGGCCTGACACGGCTTCTAGCCGGCCCAGTGCAAGTATAAAGAGGCCAGGCCGGCCACAGATGTGGGCGAAACCAAAGCCACAATCTGGAGCCCAAGTTAGGTCTTACAACAAAAGATACAAAAGTTGGTGTAAAGTTAAAAATTGTCATTTTTGTGCCAAAAACGAAAATAATTTAAAAAACCACCAAAATTAAAATCCGTATTTTACTCCTTTTTACTCACCTGATTTTTCTCTGGCAAGCCTTTCGCAAACTCATCAATTTTAGCCCTGATATCTTTTTTCTTCACATCTTTCAACTTCAATATTTCTTGATATTGAGCCTTAAACTTTGGATCAGCTCCTTCTAAGAATTCGTAAGCTCTGATCGTCTTCACAGCTGGTACAACTTCACATTTTACAACGTAAAACACTATTAAAAATACAATAATACGCCGCATTTTAACGTTTTTAACAGTGGAATATTAATTTTCGTAACAAAAATTGAAAAAAAGAAATTTTTTGTTTTGTTTTCTCAGTTGTTTTCAGATGGAAAATTAGTAATGCAAAACAAGTTTACATTGTGTTGGGGTTTGATTTGTTTGTATAAAGTGGGTTGACATAAATATGGATACCTTACTTTACTTTGCCATGGAAAGCTACACTAGAGAAAACTAAGCTAGACTAGTCTAAACTAAATTAATATAAATAGTTAACTGATCTACACTATAGTCGTATTTTACAAAACTTAAAAATTTATCAAACTTTAATGCTTTTTGAAGATATAAGAACAGGTTTTTGGCTCTCTTCAATGACATGTTGTTGTTCGTCTTTTGTCATCGTATTGATTTCAAACGTCCCCAATTCATAAGATAAAGAAGATATGATAATGAAGAACCCTATTCCTAATGTCCATTCAGCTACACAGGCTACAAGATGGTTTAGGTATTCCTGAAACAAAAAAAATTGTTAATTTGGAGTTAGTACAATATATGTAGTACGTGTTATCAAATTTGTAGTACTGGCTTTGTAAAAAAACATAATTTTTTCATCTCCATTTTAGGTAATAAAATCTTTTCGAAATTAAAAATGAAGGATTACTTACATAATGATCAGGCTTGTACCTAATAATACCGGTCGTTTCTTCCACTAGCGGTTTTGAGCCGTCTTCAAGGTTTTTCACAAATGGTCGTACTTTTAAGCATAGTTGATCTTAAATTTCAACAGTTATTATAGTATGTCTTCTTAGAGACCCTATCTTAATCTCTACTTTGAGATAGGAACCCTACCTAACTTAACTATAGTATATAGTATCTAAAACCCACGTAAAACCAGCGCGACAGTAACAACAAAAGCCACAACCATCCTTAATATCGTCAATCCTCTAGGTGCATATCGTGGCTTCATAGCAAAAGATACGACCACATAAAACCAAATGTAAGTCATTCCAGCCAAAAATGACAACAATGCTCCTATACTATGAACTAATGGTACTCTTGTCTCTTGAAAATTGGCAACTGTTGCTGTGCCTAGTCCAGAAGACAGGCCTGTGATCAACATTGGCCAGATAATTTTACGAAAATTAGCATCTGGACCATGATGAAAATGTACGTATTGAAGGAGTTGGTAATGGCGGGCAAAGCAGGTTAACCACCCTGGAATGAAATGCTTTAAAAATGTGTTGAATTTTAAAAACCAGTACCGTATTTTACTTATGCTAATATTCTATAAAATTCAAAAAACCTACAGAAAAAAGCTGAATAAGTTAGTAAAATACCAAAGATACAACTTTCCGGAACAGTCGTTCCTCCATCACTAATGAATGAAAACCAAGCTTCTTCGTGGTCGTTTAGAACACCAATCAAATACCTAAAGATGACTTTTAAAAATTAAAAAACAAAAAAAAGTCTTAAAAAATCACAATTGACGTTTTAAATTCATAAAAAGCTTATACAATATAAGGACAATAAGGATGTAAACAAAAAAGTTAAAAAATTTGCTTACCCTCCAAAGAACGCCAGAAACCCAAGCAGAGCTGATAAAATTGGAAACGGAGCTGTACTCAAATATAAGTAAGGTTTATGGACATTTACATTCTTATTTTTAAATTCTTTTTGGAAGGTTATGTCAACAACGTAAGGCATTTTAATTTTTTTATTTTTAAAATATATAGAAAATAGGTAATAGTTAAAAATTTAAACTATAAAGTTAGGAAAAGTTATCAAAAGTTGAAGCTATAAGTTAGAAATCAAGTTTATTTTAATTGAATACAAACATCGCTTATTGCAAGTCTTCTAGTCTGATAAGAGTTGCTTTCATGTGCAAATAATAATATGATTTTATTACAAAATTCATCTTTTGTATTATAAGCAAGGTTAGAGACAGTGTGGAGTGCCTTATACCAGGAAAGACATATATATATGAGAACAGGGCAAGACACTGGGCAGGGTACGAAGATTGTCATTGCCCTGCTCTGTGTCTAAGCCTTTATATAAGAAACATAAATTCATAGACAGCCTAATATTCTACACTATTTTACACATAATATAACGTAACTAAACAAAATTACTATCAGTAAATAGATCATATTGTAAAGGTATGGTTTGAGTGACAATTCCAAGGTGTTCTAACCCGTATCGTTCAATGTTTTGATTGGCATTCTTGAGTTCGGCACAGAAATGACCACAACATGTGTCTCCAATGACTGGGTCTGAGCGACTGTAAATTCCATAAGACACTTTACCTTCGTATCTGAAGTCAGGTGCGTTGACGTCTTGCTGAAATTTAAGAAGTGTTAAGAAAGGTTTACTTTATTTAGGATAGGGCAAGGGTAAAGTAAGCAAAAGAAGGGTAAAGTTTTGGTTAAAAAAAATAAAAAAAAACATTTTTTTTTCCTAAAATTTGAATATTTTTGTAAAATTTAAAAATTTTTTTTTACCAGAAAGACCGATCGCTCACCATAAACTTAGAAGTGCAGCTCATTCCATTAAGTTCGCTACAAGCTTCCCACGTTCTGTATTGACAATCCAACCCGTATGCTACGCCACCAGCTGCCACGAAAGTATGTACAAGATATGTAAGAGGTGGTCCTAGATACTCATTTGTATCGACACAACTACCACCCAGTATGGCTTTTCTTGATATGGCTGTACCCATGGAGTAGGCCATTATGTCTACTGTTGAGTTTGTGTAGAGGCTCACGGCTCCGATGAATTGGCGGATCTAGAAGAGTTCTTTACTAATAGATAGTAAATATACAAAGCTTGATATAATAAACATGCACATTTTAACCATTTATCTTTACTTACGTTAAAATAAAAGCCCAAGTACTGAGTTTATAACGATTACAAACTCAAAGTTTTATATCAAAAACCTCTTGCTAAACTTTAATGATAAACATACCTGTTTAACATCCTCACAGTCCATAACTTTCTGAACCAGACTTTTCTTTGTAGCTGCATCACCAAAAGTTGTAGCATAGAGTTCACCTGGATTGTAGCCTCTTTGCATGAAATAACGCCGTTGCTGCTCATACATACTGGCTGTTAATGTTGAACCATGAACAAAAACGATAGGCTGAAAAATGAGTATGTGACTTTAGATTACAGTAAAAAAACGGGAGTAACTAGGGTTAGTCTCAAGTACAAATAGTCTGTGACTAAGGTAAGATAAGGAAAAAGTTTGAACTAAGACTAGGGTAAGACAAGGCTAAAGTAGGGCTAAAGTCTGGCAAAGAAAGAGCTAGGGTAAAGCTTTGCTAAAGTAAGGCTAAGCTAAAGTTACGTAAGAGCTAGTATAGAGCTAGACTAGGGTTATTTTAGAGCCAAAGTAGGTCTAGACTAAATTTATGTTAAGGATAGGACAGAGCAACTCTTATGGTAAGGCTAGATTAGGTTTGAAATATATAATGTTTAAGAATTTTGATATTGCCGTTGACAAAGTTAAATCAAAAAGGTTTTTCAAGAGACGCAAGACAGATATTGTCGTAATGAAATCATCCTACAATTAAGGATTTAATAGTACCATCTTTGCAAATACAAAATTACGGCTTATCTTCTTTATTTACTAGCCACATTTTATACTAATTTTATTATGACAACCCACTCAATTTTTTTAAAATTTTTTTCTTTTCATTTAATTTTCTTAGAGGTAGGAAAAAGAAGTGTAGGTTCGGGACATTTGAAGTTTTATAGCTTACTTTGCTTTACCTTTTTTAACTCTGCCATAACCTATCTTATTCTACCCTACTCCACTTTAGTTCACACCATTTTGCTTTACCTCGCTCTAGCCCTGCCCTCCTTTACCGTATTCTAGCTGACTCTACCTTACCCAGGCATACAAAACCCTATTTCCCCCTAAACTACCCAACCGTACTCTATCCTACCTTGACCTGCCCTACCCTATCCCTAAAAACAATTTTTAAATTAACCTACTCTGTTCTTGATGACATCATTAGGCCCAAGCTTTCCACCAAAACTGCCAATTGCATATAGATCCAGGCGCTCTAATTGCCCTTCAATTGTTACACCGTATGTTTGTAGCAGGAATTCGCGGAAGTCCGCAGTGAAGTAAGCTTGTGTAGTCGTAATTAAAAACAAGATAGTAATTGAGATAGTCAACATTTTGTTATTCATGGTTTTGGGGGTGTAGATACGATTTGAAAGTAACAAATTCGAGTGTGTTTTTTGATGTTATGTTGGATAGTAATATATAGTAACTTTGGTATAAGGAATTTATATATTTAGTGTTACTAGAGTCAGCGTAAGTAAATTGGAATATATATATAGTGCGCTCAATGTTCTGTTACACGGTTTTGTAATCAAATATTTTTTTAACAACAAATATAACTAAAACAACAACTAACAATAGTAACAAATAGTACTAGTATAAGTAAGAGAATATATTATATCAAATAATATATGTCTATGTAGAAGTTCTTGAATCAAATACCTTTGCAAATTGTATTATATGTAGTATATATGGCACAAAATGAATATAAATTGTCACTATGGGGTGCAATGTGAATAATATTTAAACTATTACACAGTATGACTAAACTACACTTTGATTGTCTATCTTAAAGCTTCGCACGTATCGTTGGCTAAACGTTAAGGTATACTGACCTTAAACAGAATTTGTGGTTTGTAGCTATCAATATCACAAAGCACTGATCTTAAACGTCATCATTTAAATTACTATAAGGCTCTTAGTGATATAGTAATATAAAATAAAGGTTACGGGTTGTATAATACTTTAAAAGACGTAGACTGTAAATAAAGCTTTACTGTGTAATCTATTCTAAAACTTAAAGTACTATACTATAACAGTGTATAACGTAGCAAAATACTGTATAAAGTTTCAACAAAGCTCACTATGAGTCACACGTCAATATCACCGCCTTCAACTTTTAAAAGGTTGAGATATATGTCACAGTCTGTAGCACAAACCACGCTTTATCACAACCACAAAGCACACTCGCAAATGTTGTTGTAGCCAACGTAGCAGACACGTAACTATGTGATGTCTATGCAGATAAAAGGGCGTAGCGTCATCTCCTCACGTATCTTTTAACTTCCTTGTCGTATCAAGCGTATACGATTGCTGGCGTCGTATTTACGATGGTTTCTCTTGTTTGTAAGAGCTTCTGTATCTGTATACGGCGAGTTTTGTCGTAATTAGGAGCTTCTATCTCTATATAAGATAAATTCTGACGTCTATAAGAAAACTACGGAGCTTTTTGAATCGTTCTCTTCGTATACGCAATCATTTCCGTCGTATATACAATCAAGAATAGAAACTATATTCTCGAGATTCTTTTGCGCAATTTGATTAAGCTGGTTTTTTTTCAACGTTTATAAAACGGTCGCCAAAAAACTTGTCGTTTGTAGGGCACGGAAGACAAAAAATGACAAAAACAACCTTGAGCATCTTTAAAGGAATGCTACAGTAAAATATTTTAAAAATATTTGAAAAAATAGTACAAAATTGTTTATAAAATGAGGTAGTTTATGACGCTGGTCAGGCAGTTAACAATGTCTTGCAAATTTTTTCTAAACCAAGAGGAAGGCCAACATTGACTAATAGGCTTTGATAAGACAGGAAAGAGTAATGTAAGGTCAAAACTTTGAGTAATATGCTTTTTTTCAGTAGTTTAAGAATACTGTTAAATATATGGCAAAGTTTGTAGATATATAAGTATTATATGTAGATATATTGTAATTAATGTATAAGTTTTATATAAAAATATATTGTACGTTCGAGTACATGTAATGCAAGATCAAGTAAAGCAGGAAATAATAGGATCTAACTACATACGATAGCGTATATAGAAAAGAGCATAGGCTAATATAAAAAACTAGCCAAGGTAAACGAGTAAGATAAAGTAGGTTAGGGTAACGTAGGTTAATTCTTAAACAAACGGATTATGGCCTTACGCCAAGGGATTTCAACCCTAAAAGACTTGTGCAGATGACAAGAATTTGGTAGTTGATTGAGAGAAGTTAGTTCGCGAGTTTTTGATTACTGCCCCTTCAACGCGTCAAGGTGCTCGCACAAAGAAGTGGACGGACAGGACATAGAGGTACGTCACAAAACATTTAATAACGGTATTTTTATCATAAATTTTTTTAAATAAACAATGTTTTATAACAACAATTTTATTACTTAACAAAGACTAAACTCTATATTATGGGCAACCGCTTTGCTCATTTTCACCTACGGATTATGAAGATGATTCTGACGACTCTAACGTTTTGGGAAGCGCATGGTTGATGTAGCTTTTTTACGGAGTTTTCGTGCGTTTTGGGTTCTGGACAAGTTCATACATTCTAATCTAAAATATTTTACGATGACCAGCTCTACCTTGTTACATGGTAAGTGTTGATTACAGATAAACTTCTCGCTATGTTGTTTTACGCACACTTTCAGCATTTTGTAGATGCCTGGCTGTAAAATGGCTATTCTTACGTCATCCGCGGTGCGCGCCAGGAAGGTGATGTGAGAGAGTACTGATGCTCCTAGCGTGATTATTACACTAAAATTCTGCAACTGGGATTTTTCGACAGAAAACGTAATTTACGAAAACGATTTAAAGATCGGCCGACGGCCGCAGTGTCTATGAAAAACCGCCTGCAAGACCGCTAAGGGCCGCCTGTTCATTTGAAATATAGTCGCGCAACGTGCCGTGATGGCAATTGGCGCAAGGGAATTTGGCATTTGCTACGGTTTAAGAATACGTACCCTGTCTACCTACTTCCAAAGCTGTTTTTTGCGCATTACGTCCGCAATTTGAAGCTCCGGTTGGGCCAATTTAGCCTTGCGTTTAGCTACGGTATTGCAGCAACTTTCTGTGTTTTTACTCTACGAAATTTAAGCATCATGAACGTTTGCGCGGCGAGATATAAGCAACATGAGTTACGAAGAAAAATCCATCAGGTTAAACGGACTATTTAGAACATACAATTTGTGCGCTTGGGCGCTTACAAACTGTAATTTGTATGATTTTCTACCTCCATTACATAGAATCAGTGTACGTTGGAAGGTGTTTCGGCTTTGTATGTATTCGTCTTGCACGACTTTTACAAATATGCTAAAAATAATTTATAAAATTTGGATGTATATTATGATCAATCGCTTTTTTAAGTCATCATTGTAGGATAAGGAAGAGGAGCAGCATGATTGAGCAACCATTTTTACGAACTTTCTTTGTGGCTTTAATTTTGGACAAGTTCAAACATTCTACTCCTAAATATTTTACGATCATTAGTTCAAAGGTGTCTTCTTGTAAGGGTTGGTTACGCACATTATAAAATTTGTAACTTAATTTACTAACAAATTTCACCCGTACTTATATGCTGTAAATTTATTGAAAACTTATAAGAATACTGTAAAATAGCTAAAATTTATATAATCCAGTAGACAAAATATTTATCAATCCAATCTTCTGTAAAAATCAAAATCTCTTCTTATCTTTTAATATATGGCCGTCTGGCCTTGTTGTAATAATCAGAGTGTTCTTCGCAGTCATTTCTGCGGCAACATAATCCTCACGAACCGTTTTTACCGTTACGTTAACGAACTTGTCCGCTACCTCGGCAAAGCACACACCGCGGATGAGCGAGTCGGATGAGAAATTCATCTACGGTGCGCGCCAGGACGGTGAATCGAGTTACGCTACCTTTATGATACTCATTGGTCTAGAAAAAGCGGCAAACTATTTTTTACAATTGCGCATAGATTTTTGATCGCAATTACGGTACCGGTATTGTAAAAATAATTAAAATGATAGTTAAAATACGTAACAATGGTTTTTCGAATTTGTTAAAATTTATTTTTCTATAAACGTCTATAGCATATACTCACTCGAAACCAACAATCCTTGACGTAAAGTTTGTCTTTATCTCTCTACAGCCAAGTTTTGACTTTGACGTTGTTTAACCTCAAGCGGGTTAATAAACATTACAATTTTACTTAAAATTCAATCTCGAATAATTATCAACCAATAATATTATATTTATATATATATTGTTTTTCCAATGTTATTTATATACAAATATAATTAAAAAATAATAGTAACGTTGCAGTCATTTACGACAGATTTCTTAAATACTTAGACGTGCGATCGAATATGAAAATACAAATATTATGAAGGCTTAAAATAAAACTTAAAATATTCTCAATTGCAATAGCTTACGGTAACTCTTTTAAAGTCTCCAACCTTCTCAAAACATCTTAACTTAACTTAGCAAATGGAAGGGATACGCAAACTAAGACAGAATTTTCTTACTTCTGTCAATTTTCAATGTCCAGTTGGCCAAAAGAAACAATATGTTTTTTTTTGAAATACGACTTTCGTTGCAACACCTGCCTTACAATGCCGTTAACCTTATCACTAAAGAGGGAAAAACTACGACCCCAATACGTTTAAATAATCCAGTGCTCCAAAAAAAATTCCCACCTACGATGCCTTTTTTATTGTGGCCAAGTCGAGTTGGCCAGGAGGGTTTCATCATTGGCCATTTCGAATACAGAGGCGACGGTCAGTAGCTATTGTTTTGGGCGAAAGGCTAAAAGGCAAGCGAGCCTTGATTATTTTTTGGCTACGATTTAGCAGCCAGCCTTTTGTAAGAAGAAATCGGCCGTCAGTGTTGTTCTTTTTAAGAACCGGCAAACTTTTCGGCTTTTTTGTTACAGCGGTCTGAGGCACTGTGATAATTGGGTCTTTGATCTCTACTTTTTTAAAAAGGGTAAGATATGGCAGGGTAGGGTAGGGTAGGGTAGAGTAGGGTAGGGTAGGGTAATTTTTGAAAAAAAATTGTGCAAAAGTAAACTTTAAAGTAATAAAGTATACTGTACTTAAAAACCTTCAATAACATAAAAATTTTAATTGTATTGTTTTTTAAGTCTTGTACTTATTAGGTATGATCCCTACAATTATTTTATGACAAAACGTAAAAAACATATGCCGTTCTTTGTTTAAAGGCGTTAATTTGGTTATTATCCCTAGATAACAAGCTTATTAATGCCGTCGTTTTGTTAATTAAACTTTGGTCAATGTAACTATAAATTGGGACATATTATAGCTAACATTTCAACGTACATCCTAATGTTTAGCAAGAAAAATTTTTTGAGGGTGATCATGGTACAACCTAAGATATAGTGTAAAAAAGCCTTAGTACAGTGAAGCCAGTAGTGCTATACAGTATACTGAAGTCACTCGGGCTATATAGCGTAAACAACAATTAAAAAAGAATAGGAACCGTGTTTTATAGGTAGCAATGTGGCAGTCTGTGCCTAATTTGCTTTAACAATGTTATTTAATTTAATAACTTTGAGAGAAAGTTGAACGTGTTATTGAGTAAGGCGGGGTAGTTATGTTGAAACATTTTTGATGCCCAAAAGAAGGAAGTAACATATTTACCAATTCTTTATGTGTGAAAGGGCGTTGATTAAGTAAAATACGTCGTATGAAATAAATCGCATTTTTGATTATTTAAAAAGAACAAACTTTAAAGAATATAAGATTTTTAACCTAAAAAAAGTTATTGGTGGTTACTCATCTAATATAGAGTTATGTGTACGTGGCAAAGTTTTTAAGTTAAAAAAGTTTTGTAGTTTTGTTTTTATTTATTATAGTTAGTGACATATACTATACATATTATTAGTTAAGTTATAAGTAACATACGTTCCAAAGTATAGAGCTCCATAGTGTCTAATGTATTACATTTGACCGGTTATTTATAAGTCATAATGATTACATGAGTAACTTGTTTTTACTTATTAAAGCCATTTTTTAAATTTAACTTATCATAACTTTAATCTTTTTATCGTATTTTATTTTCTCTTTAAAATTTTTGTGTCACGAAGCATAGCTATCTTAACAATCAAGTTGCACCAAATACCCATGCTATATAATCAATAGGACTAGATTATAATAGCGTGATAGAGCATAAAAAGCTACCAAAAAAACTGTTTTCAAGAACTGCTAAATGGTCTTCACTAGCGAGTTAGTAACAGCCAAAGAATATATAAAAGGATCACTCATAGCCAAGTTAAATGCGTGGTCAAAACTCAGTGCCTTCAGTATGCATATAGTGCTATTTAGAGTTGGACATTTACCGCTAAATTGATTTTTCCGTAAAAATTTTACCGGTTTTTACCGGTAAATTTAGCGGATTATTATTTGGTATTTAAAAACTTTAAAATTTCATTAAAACGTTTAATAAGCCTTGTAAAACCACAAAAACAATAAAATAGTAAGTATTTCATGTCAATTTTAACCTCAACACAAAATATGGCATGAATTTTAAGTTTTAGTCAACTACAATATCTTCATCATCTTCTGTAATCTCTTCTTCTGATTCATCAGAACTAACTTCATATTGAATTTTTTTCCGTCAACACGTAACTGGCGCTCGTTGAAATTAATAAATGTCTTTTTTTTTAAATTTTTTATGTATTAAAGTATAAAACGTTTTCCGTGGGTAGAAATCGAAGATCCGGTAGAGCTACTTTTCGTGCTAGGACACAAAACACTTTTTTACCGGTAAAAACCAAAAGTTTCGGTAAAATACCGGTAAAATTACCAATAAATTTACCGGTAAATTTTCATTTACCGGTAAATGTCCAACCCTAGCCCTATTTGATACTCCTTATTAGTCTTGAGCAAAACGAATGCATTGAAGCATAAATCCAAAGTAGTCGAGAGGTTAATAAATTATTCTGGTGTAAATTAGAAATGGGGATCACTAGGACTGACCCAACACATGAATAGTCTGACATGCCGAACGTAGTAAGTTAGAATCCTGCCGGCTAAGGCTAGAGCTAAAGCAATTTTATTTTCTTCATCCTATATAGGGTACGTTCTAAAATTCAAAGGATATTTGGTTCAACTTTTTTGTAAGTTAATACAGCATTAGCTATTTTTAATGATGTATTAGTATTTATAGTGCTACAAAGTTATTTTTGCAGATTGTAAAAACAATTATTTTATTTTTGCGGTACTAACATTTCAATTGCGATTAGTTTTAGCACAATAACTTGCTTAATTGTGCATTTCAATTAGTGAAATAATTGTACGTTTGTAGTTTTGGTACAATTTTATGTTTTAGCAAACGTTTCTGACAGTTTCATTGAGCATAACATCTGTATACTTGAGATGTGCTTTGTACCTCTATTTTTATATAGTGTAACTCCTGTATAACAAATTTCCTGGAGATTTTAAATTTGTTCGTGATACATATATATATACAGGATTTGTGTTATACAGAAGTTCTACTGTGTTGTTATTAGTACGGTTCACAAACTTTTTAGCATTTTTTGAACATTTTTAAAAAAGATGACGTCCACACTAACGTTTTTAATTCAACAAACGTTTGTAAAGTTAACTGAAGCTTTTTCTCTTAAGAACTGTTACATATGATGTGAACTAATGCGTAATGTTAAATGTATTCGTTCTTTTTAGTAAATGTGTCATTGTTAATTCAATTGTTTTCATGACATTCGGCTAATCAACTTTAATTTAATGTGTTTTATTAACGTATCTGGTGATGACTGTATTTTAATGTTAAAAGTAGTTTCTATAATTTTTTAATGTAGGGCTTAGATTTTATATTCAGATGATTTTTCGTGTTAAATAACGCTCGAAGTGTAAATTTTATGTCTTGTGTTGAAAAACATTTCAACGTTCATTCGCTTCACATATTGCAATTAGACGTTCCTTGTCCAGCCTATTAGAAATAATCATCTTTTGACATTTTTTGCTTCTTTTGATTTTTAGCCGGTAAATGTTGTAGCGTAAGCGTCATAAAGATGTAATGGTCACAAATAACAAACCATAATTCTGTTCTATAAAACATTTTTTTAATTGTATTTGGGGACGAAAAAGTATTGTAATTTTTAAACGTACAAATCTCTCTTCTTACTGCCAATTTTTTGTTTTACAATCTTTGCAAAACTCGTGATGTTATCTATGTTTTAGCACTGCTTATATTGTACTTGATATTTATCCAAAGAACACAAATTAAACACATTAATGTACATTAGTATGTCACATACTTTGACTTTCATGTTTAAAGTAGTTAGTATTTTGACCACAAATTTTTTTGCAACTCTACAACATTGATTAAATGGTGAGCTATATAATTATACGTTAACTGCAGAAAAGTGCAAAATTTTGAAGACTTTGCTTTTACAAATATTAGAGTTAGCATTGGTAATTATAAAATATTATAGTCAAATTTAGAATGACGCATACAGTAAATATATTGTTTTTAAGCTACTTTCAGACAAAAGTATACTATTTGTTTTCACAAAACTTAAAAGCTTATCTTTAATGATTTAGCTGGTAATTAGAAGCTCAAAAATACAGACTTTAGTCTTATGTCTATCATTGTGACGTTTATGATCGGAGTAATGTTTTCATTTTTATCTTACTGTATTTTTTCGTATTTTCGAGATTTTACCTTTAGCAAAAAAATATTTTAAAATAATTTTTATTGCTTTCAGGTGATTGCCATATATGTCTCTAAACGTGCCATTATTAACAAAACTGATAGATGCATTTGGGTTATTATTATGCGTATATTCAGTTATTTCATGTATATTTTTCGTATTTATTGTTTGTAAATCAAAGTCAGTTCATGGGAATCTACGAGGGCTGTTGGTAAGCTTTGTATGATTGTTATATGTTGTAGTAGCCTTATTAACATTCTTTTAAATTTAGAAAGAGAAGGAGTTAAGATAGGGTAAGTTAACGTAAAGTAAGATAAGGTAAGACAGGGTAAATTAGAAGAAAGCGAGAGAGGGAGGGGGGGGAAGAGGAGGAGGACAGAATAGGGTAGGCTAGTTAAAAATCGAACTTAAAAATAAATAACAATATAATTTAGATTCTAGTATCTTTCGAATTCCGTCTAATAGCCGTATCCCGCTTCTTAGCAGACATGTTCACCAGTTTGTGGGACAATAGGACATATACTACAATAGTATGCAATATATCATCATTTCTACATGCATTTGGCTTTGGTTTTGTTCAGCTAGCTTTTGCTACTGTAATTATAGAACGAGCTATGGCCACAAAATACCATCAGAGTTACGACGATTGGGACACAAAACTTACTCGAGTACTACTAGCTTTGTTGTTTACCTACGCTGTTTGTTATGCTTGTGCCGTTGTTTATATGGGCAATAGTGGGTATTTGCAAGAGCAGTTTGAGAGTTGCTTACTCATGGTTCGGTACCCAATGTTTTTGGTTTTTTGGTAAGAAAATGCATTTTTAAAGTTAAAAACGACCAAAAAAAGAAAATTTTTAATTTTTAAAAACCATATTCTTTACTCTACAAGACTCTTCAATCACATATGTCTTTTTAGCTGGGTAGTTTTCGGCATAACGATGATCCTAGGCGTCTTACCAACCGTATACCTCTATACCTACAACAAGAAAATGAGTGAGATTCGAGCAAATGGAACCTTGAAAACGCGTTATCAATACCATGATAATGTTGTTGTATTAAAGATCATGACACCGCTGGTGGTGTTTGGTGTGTTTGGTGTTGGCTGTGTTTGTATAATGGTAATCGGCACGGCCTGGCTGAGAATGATGAACGGAGAACGTTTGGACAGCTTTATGTTCATGTTGTTTAAGGTAAAATTAAAACTTTAAAACTAATTTTAGCTTTAGCGTGAACCCGACTCTGAGCCTGAGGTTGAGCCTGGGTCTGAGCCTGAGCTTAAACCTCACTCTGAGCCTAAGCCCGAGCTTAACCCTAAGCTTGAACATAAACTTGAGCTTGACCTTGAGTTTGTGTTTGAGCTTGAGCTTAAGCCAGAGCCTACGCCTGAGCCTAATTTTGAGTTTGAACCAAAGTCTGAGCTTGAGGGTGAGCTTGACCAAGCCTGAGTTTACACCTGAGCCCGAGCCCGAGCCTAAGCCTGAGGTTGAGCTTGAGCCTAAAGCTGAGTCTTAGCTATAATCTTAGTTTTATCCTTTGCTTTACGCTTAGGCTTATCTGTAACCCTAGCCCCAACCTTATCATAAAAAATATTTTTAATAAAATATGCCATTTTCAGCTAACGTTTGTGATGACCGACTGTTGCGCCTGTATGTTTGAACTGGCTTTCCTCAGATTTCATCCAGTTTTATACTTATGGGCCAAGAAACAATTGCCATTTTTATCGAAGCGACAAGGCAAGACGGCCGCTAAAGTGGATATAAAATACGTTGACGATGGTGCTGTTTACTTCCAACAACTTTGTACTGCATGGAAGTAGTCATAGTCTAGAAGCATAACTAATAGGCCTAAATTTTTTTCTATATATGATAATATTTGTATATAAAGAGTAAAGTAATACAAATCGATTAAAACGACCGGTAAAGTTTTGTAAAAAAACTTTTTACGCACCCTGTAATTATAAAGACTTATGTTTATATATTGCGTTATTACAGCTTTAGCTATAGCCTTAGCAATGTGTTATACAAGAGTTCTTCCGTATATTGTTTAAGCTTACTACCATAATTTTAAAATTTTAACTTTTTTTTTAATTTTGAAATTTAATTACAGTATCTAAAGTTCAAATTTTGTAAGGGCCAACAAGTTTCTTTGTTAAATAATTTGTTTTTTCGAAAAACACTGTTAAGCCAAAGCTTAGGCGCTCTTGAGAAGAAATCAGCTCGAGAGTTCCTCGGAAATGACACAGGTGTCCGTTTGAACTTTTGCCTCAAACGCTCCGCAAATCGTCTCGTCTGCATGGCATTTTAGTGTTTTTTTAAAATACACTTATTTTTAATGGTTTTGAATGTTTTTTTAGATAAAATAGAACTCTACTATAACGAATTGTTTGGGGATTTTAAAATTGTTATCAAAAAGTTTTTGTATATGTATAAGTTTGTTAGTAGTTGTGGCATGTTAGTCGCTAGACATACACAAGTTTTAGTTATTGCGGATCCCTGTATAATGAATCGTTTTGGAATGGTAAATTTGTTCGTTACCAAAAAGTTTTGTTATACAAAAGTTTAAAATGAACTGTGTAGTAATCAAGATTCAAAAGCAATTTGTTATACAGGGTTTTTGTTATATAGTAGTTCATTATACAGAAATTTTGTTATCGAGGCGTTTGGTATGTAAGAGTTATTTATAGAAGAGTTCTTTATAAAAGAGTTTGTTATAAAACTGTCTGTTATAAAGTAGCGTGGTATAGAGCGGCCCTATTTTAATACGTTTCTTCTAGCTTTGTTAAAATTGTGATAGTATCTGAAACAAAATTGTTTAATTTTAAAACCATAACATTTTGCAAGTGTTTTGTAATGTTGTGAAAGTTATTTCCGATTTTAGCAATATCTATATCAAACAAATAAATCACAACATGTTCTTTATTAAATTCCGTCTTATTTTGCTGGACACCATGCTTATCTTGAGCTTTATGAATTTAGATCTTTTTTTTGAAAATAAAATACTTAAAATTGTATATTAAAATTAAATTTAAATCAATGTTTTAGTTTATATAATAACAATGTAAAATAGAATAAAAAGCTACAGTAATACTCTATTTTCAAAACTAAAAGTCTGTTTCAAACGTACTCTGATTGAGGATATAAACATATGAATCAGCTGTTATTATTTACTTCTGTGTAACCTTTGGTTGCACGTAAATAAACATCCGTCTTATCAAATACTGATAGCTCTTAGACAGTGTCAGGCGGAATAACAATTCTTGTTACGATAGAACTGTATATAAGTAAATTAGATCTATGCTGGAACCGGCAGTTTATTATAAACTTTTCCAACGAAAAATTTGAAAATTTGATCTTATTTTTTAGAGACGGATCTACTAGTCTTATTCCAGCCTTAGTTCTGCCTTAGTGCTACCATTGTGCTACCCTAACGTTACCTTGGACTTACACTAGTTTTACCCTAGCCTTTTCTAACCCTATTTTAGCCTTGCTCTGGTACTAGCTTAGTTTTGCTCTAGCACTCTTAGCCCTACCTAAGCCTTTCTCCTTCTTCTAGCTCTACTTTAGCCCTACTCTAGGTTTACCTTGGTCTTGCTCTACCCTACTCCTAGCCCAATACCACTATTCATAAGAAGGATGTCCTTGTTAGCATTGTAACCAGCCAGACTCTCCAAGTTCCTGTTTTACTTGCATAATTAAAGGATGTTTCATTGAAACATCTTCAAGAAAGATGAAACAATGGTAACATGAGTTCTATAAACATGTGAGTTGCAATTTGAATTACGTAAACTATCAGGGTTCAGCTGATAGCATAAGTTCAGTAAAAGTTGTAAAGTAGCACAAACTAATTTTTTAAAACATAAATCTCAAAGTTAAAATTTAAAAAAAAATTATATTTAAATTTTTTTAAAACTTTTTCTAAAATATTATGAATTTTTACGTATTTTATGATTCTTCTCTGAAACGTCAAGCTTTCCTCTACTTAAAAATATTAAAATTCTAAATATTAGTGCAAAAAGTGCAAGTCATGCCTAAACGTATACGTTGAAGCCGCAAACGTTTATAATTTATGCAAAATCAAAAAAGTTACAGACCAGCACAAAAGCAATGAAATTTGGTCTAGCAGTTTCCTTTTCGACCAATTCACGTGACATTTCGATGAGGGCGGACCATCTGATTAAAGATAATAAAGCACTTAAAAAGCACGCAAGTTGGTAGACTTTACAAAACGTTGGGTGGTGTGAAGTTACTCGGTAGTAATGGGTAAGGTAAAGTAGGTTAGAATAGGGCAACGTAGGGTGGGGTGGGGTAAGTTATGTTATACAAAAATGCTTGGATTTTTCATATTTAAAAAAATTGTGGTAGTACTGCGATTTTTAAAATGTTGATAGTCAGAAATTTAAGAATAGTTCACTTTGAAGTGTACTGTAGTATGTTACCTTTAATTTTTGTTATTGCTTCACGTTTTTTATTTTCTTATCGTAGGACACCTTTCGTCGTATAACTTGGTACGCGCAGGCTGCTGTCTTTGAAACATAATTTCTTGTAACAAGTTCACTTATAACTAAACTGCTTAACTTTATGACATTTTTAAGTATATGACCAAAAATTCCACGCTATCTTTTTACAATTTAACCTTGTCATTACGCTAAACCATTATGCAGTAATAATATGACTGTTATTGTTACTACATTCCGATCTTCTTCCCTCTTGTTATGAATTTTTGATATGTTGTGGTAATTACTGGTAAACGGTCATTTTTTTGTGCTGTAATCTTGGGGCAGACACGTTACTGAGATCTTGATTTATCAGTTATGATATTGAGTGTGACACCAGATGAAGAAAAGAGCAAAGAGTGCAAGATTGTTTTGAATAAGCTGTAGGGTTTAACATTTAAAAAGGAGGGTTTCTAGATTACTATATACATAGTTAATGGGATAGGGAAAGCTAGAGCTTCAGCTAAAGCTTGAGTTTGCTAGAACTTAAGCTAGAGCTTGAGCTTGGGCTGGAGATAAGCTAGAGCTAAAGCTAGAGTTAGAACTAAAGCTAAAGGTAAAGCTATATTGCGGGACTTAAGCTGGGTTCTGAAGGTCTTAATTTATGTTTACGTTCTCTGGCCTACCTGTGTTCGCCCGGCCTCTTTTAAATTTTCTTTAGCCCGGTTTGGCTGACCTAGAGTTTAGTAGAATTAGATTGCCCGGCCCGGTGCTTTTTATAAATTTATCTTTTCTTTTGTTACAAAGCTTAAGCTGGGCTTCTAAGAAATTGTCTTGGGTCTAAGTTTTCGGGCTTACATGGCCTGCCCGGTTCCTTTCGAAATAACCTCGGTCCTGAGCTAGAGCTTAGTAGGGTAGAAGTAGATTTTTTCCAATCTAGTCTAAACAGACTTTTCTTTAACTTTAGTTGATGTTTGATCCCGACTACTGCGCAGTTTGTGCTTATATTTATATTGCTCTGCACCGTGTGCGTTAAATATTAGCGTTACCTATAAAACTAGCGATCGATTTATAACTTTTCATCTTGAAACTAATATAATACGTATCTAGTCGTTACGAAAAGAAGTTTATATTGGTCGTTTTAGTTAAAGATACTAAAATATATTGTACTTTCAGTAACCTCACACTTGGCCAACAATGGACGCGACATTCTTTATTGGTATCTCAGAATGTCTAGTATCGACTATCTTGTATGGATCAGCCTTTGTGCCAATTAAACCGTTTTACTTTGGAGATGGGGTTTATTCATTGCAAGTTAGAAGTATAGCAGTTTTGATGTTAGGCATATCAATAGCTGTAGCACGAGGAGTATTTTACTTCTACCCTGTTGTTATGATTGGCGGAGCTTTTTGGACTATTGGTAAGTTAGTTTGTATATAATAGTGATTGCATTGTAGATTTTATGTAGCTTTAGAAATAGCTCTAACTCTAGCTTCGGCTTCAGTTCTAGCTCTAACTCTAGCTCTAGCTTTAGCTCTAGACCTAGCACTAGCTTTAGACCTAACCTTGGTTCTAGCCTCAACCCTAGGTCAAGACCAGCCTTACTCTAAACTGATTCCAGCTTTTATTCAACCTTATTCTAGGTAATGTACTGTAATTTTCAATTTTTAGCAAACTTGATAGTTTTACCATGCATTGGTGAACTTGGACTAGCAGTAACTGTCTTACTGTACAGTTTCACAAACTGTTTAACAAATTGGGCTACTGGGTACTATGGATTGTTTGGTACAAATCCTAGACCACCTACTGTGGCATGGTTGAATTATATTGGACTACTGTTCTTGTTGATTGGGTAAACGACTATAGGTTGTTAGGCTAGTTATTTTGAAAAAAAGAAGGAAGAGAGGGGGGGGACAAATAATTTTTTTGTGTACATGTAGCTAGCTTTATTAAACTGAAATTTGATAAAAAACTTTACAAAATAAATATTTTAGTGGAGTCCTAATAGCCTTCATAAGATCATCACCAAAGAAACAAACAGCTACAGTAACTACCAGCTCTTCAGTCGAAGCTTTCGTTGAGATTGAGTCAAAGAAGACCGTTGACAGCTTACCAGAATTTACTCAAATTGAAAAACCTGTCATTGAAGAAAGCGAAAAAACGGCTCTAACGCCTAAAACAAGGAGGTTGATGTGAGTTTTAAAATTTTTTGAAAAGTTGGTTTTGGGGTACTGTAACTTTTTTTATTTGTGTTTCGGAAGGAAATTGTTTATTTTTCCATTTTTTTATAATTTTTTGATGCCTTACTTTTGATCTAGCGCTAGTTCTAGCCATAGCCCCAACCCTAGCTCCAACTTTTTTAAAATTTAAACTTTTTTTATTTTTTAAAAAAATTGTAGCCAGACGCTATTGTTAGAAAGATACACTCGTGGCATGTACTGCATTTTTATTTTTTTTCAAGTGTTTTATTTACGCAAATCGCACGAGTTTTGGCTACAACTTACGAAAAACTACTCGACTCCTACGTTAACTGCCATTTTAATTGTTCTAGCGTACAAATTACTATTTTGCAATTATCTTTACGGTAATTGTGAAGATAAAATGATATTACAGAGGAACTTTTGTATAACGAACATGTGTATAAAAAAGCTTTCGTTTAACAAAAAAATTTAAAATTTTCAAGCAATCGCCCGAGGGTTATTATAGTATAACATTTAACTTGATATCGTATTAAAAATGATTGATTCAACAATCTTTCAGAGCCGTATCTTTCTCACTGTTAGCCGGTTTCTTCTATGGTGAAAACGTGACTCCAGTTGTTTATGTTCAAGACCATCTTGAGATCTACCCAGACGCACCACAGGATGGTCTGTCATACTGTTTATCGCATTACACGGGAATATTTCTGACAGCTTCTTTGATATTCTTCACTTACAGCGTGGCAAAGTAGGTTTATATTACTAAAAATGTTTTGATATTGTAGTTAATACATTTATAAAAAGTTTTGTTTAACAATAATGAGACAGACGATGTTGTAATGAAGTTATTCTAAAATTAAGAATTTAAAAGTACGAGCTTTGCAAATGCAAAATAAAGGCTTATGGCCTTCATTTGCATATCAATACCTTAAAATTTTAATTGTTTCAGAAAGAACAAGCCGTTTGTAAGTGCCGAGCTAACCGTGCCATCCTTTCTATCTGGCTTTATTTGGGGAACAGCCCAAACTTTATTTATTGTTGCCACAAAACACTTGAGTCAATCGGTGTGTGGCCCTATTGGTGCCATCTTCCCCGGCTGTATTGCTTCATGCTGGTCGTTGTTCTACTTTAAAGAGATTCAGGGTACCCGAAGTGTAATCATGTTAATATTGTCCATTACTGTGACTGGCCTTGGGGCGAGTTGTATTGCGATCTCAAAGAATCTGTGATTTGTTATTATTATGTGAATAATATGTACTCAAGCTGTTACAGTAATTAGTAAGTGGTAGTAAGTACTATCACAGTACTTGTACTATGAAATTTTATAGTACGTTTGGTATGGGCTCTTACAGTAGACATACTATACAGTATACTGTGTGTTGTAATAACTTGTGTTTGTTTTTGACTTCAAGTGCAATACCGAGTATTAATTTGAACTAAACTATAACATGTGTAATATAATTGTATACTTGTAATATTCTTGTTAAATTTTTTTGAATAAACTTTGTAAAAAAAATTTTTGGCTGTTTATCAAGTAATATATTGCTTTAAACTTGCAAACTTTCTTATGCATCACGTTTTTAATAAATCTTTTGTAAAAGTAAATGACTATAATAAGTCACGTTGACATTTCTACACATTATAAGTTTTTGCATTATTAGAAATATTTTGTTGTACGCGTATGCGTAACTTGTCGACGTACATACATACATTTTGATCATTGGTGTAAATTTTCATTATTACAAGAACTATAATAATATGAAATCGTACATCTTAAGATATGAAACTTATAGTTATGATTAAATATTTTTTATTTTTACTTATAATGTAGTTCCTGGTAACAGTGTAATATGGTGTTGGGTATATACTGTTAAGGTATTCCCCTTTACTATACTACACATTTTGTCCCAACGAGACCGATAGTTCTGGTCGGACCCGCTGTCCTAATCCTATTGGGTAATTTAACATTACTTAGAGTAACTAGATTACAAATACTAATGAAATAGTTATTTATTAAAAATACTTAGTAGTTACAGTAAAGTACAGTAATCTAGACACATAATGTCCGCTCCGACCTTCCTTTCCCTTAGGTTTCCATCTCTTAATGATTTCTGCGATTTTTCACCTTGGGCGGCTGGTGGGCGTATAGACATATTTCGCGATTACAATTTAATATGAAAAGGCTATCGTAACAACAGAACAATGAAGTAAAAAACTAAGCATATTATAATATTTGATAGACTGACTTAAAAACATGTAGTTACACAACTTGATTTGTTTTTAGAATAACCAAGCTAGTCAAAGAACACGATGATTTACTTTTTTTTACGTTTACGGTAATATCGCTATAACTCACAGACCTGTAGTTTACAAAAGTTAAAGCTTTGCAAATTTTTATTTTTCAGTACAGTTCTCTCTCTCTATAAGCAACCCGAAGAGACCGGCATTTTGTGTTTACTATAAGGGGTGTTGTCTTTACAGAGAGAATTTTTAGTTTAAATTGACTTGGTAGAACCACATTTCTTGTTTACTGTAAGGAAAGTTGCTTATACAGATAGTTCACCATATAGAGAGACCACTGTATTATCTTTGTACGTGTCATACTGGTTTTCTAATATCCTGGGTAAAATTTTTAAATACATATGTTGTTAAAACACTTTTGAGATACTGTAACTTTTTTCCTAGAGATTGTTAGCTGCTAATTTTACTAAATATCATATATCTGCATAGTTTACTCAGTAATGGTAAAAATGTGAGAAAGTTATATAGAGGTCTTGTGATGCTATTCTCTCTAAAAAATCAAAATTGTACCTTTTTTGTAACGCTATTGTAAAGCAGCTTTATGTCAAGCTATGCCTAACAATATGTAACAAACATGGTTACATTTCCTACAATACAAACGTACTACAACTTTATTTTACTCTACATTTAAAACTTAACACATCTTTACTTTACTTCATTTCTACACAACATTACATTATACTATACCTATACAACAAATTCAAGTCATACGATTATCTTTTTATGATAATATAGTTTACAATAGATAACAAGAATATTACAATACAAGAATAGATTGAATATGCTGTCGTATGATTCGAATACAATCTTCTTTCACCATAATGTAAAGTTTTAACTTGACACAGAATCGCTTTACCATGGTAACCTCAAATTGTAGCGTCGCGACAATCGTATGATGCTCATTGTTAGAGAGAGATTGAAGGCGTCATACGACTGAAGTCACAGTACAAATGGTTGTGGGTTTCAAGAATGGTGACGACTACTAGTTAGTAGTAGTTTTTGAAATGTTGTAATTGGTGTGCTGTTTGGATGATTTTAAGTATTTTGGCGAATTTTGCAATTGTTTGCCGAAATTTAAAGTAAATTAGTTTACAAAAATAAATTTTTATAATTTTTAGTCTTCAATTCTTTTTTTGTTTTGGTTTTTAAAGCCATATGTATGTAATATTGAGCTGGGAAGTCCTTGTTTTGGGTAGCGCTAGAGTAAAGCTCGATTAGGGCATAACTAAGGTACTAGAGTTAGCCAGAGCTCTTGAGCTACAGCAAAGGTTAAGCAACGGTACGGCTAGGGTATGACTAAAGTAATGCTGAGGTAAGACTAGGGTAGAAGTAGGATAAGACGAGGTTAGAAGTAAAATAACACTAGAGTAGGACTAGGATTAGAGTAGCATAAATCTTAGATTAGCTTGGACAGAACTAGTGCAAGGCTGGGATAAGTATAAGGTAGCAGTAAACAAAACCAAATCGGGGCTAAGATACAGCTAGCGTAGAGGTAAAATAAAGCTAATTTAGATCGGATAAAACTAAGATAAGGGTAAGGTAAAGCTAAGGTAAAGTTAGAGTGGAGCTAGAGCGAAGCTAGGCGAAGGCTAGGCCAAGGCTAGAGAAGGGTTAAGGTAAGGTCAGAACAGAACTAAAGTAAGGTTGAGATAAGACTAGAATAAATATAGGGTAGAGCCATATAGGGTTAGAAAAGGAAGTTAAGGTTTCAGCAACACTAGAGTATAAAACAAAAAAAAATTATTGTTTACAGGGTGTCCCAAGAAAAATGTCCAAAACTAAAACGATATATCTTGGTTATAAAAATAGCTAAAATTTTCAAACTTCGTACTGTGGTAGCTTAGTACTACAAGTTTTTCGTCGCAAAATTTTGCTTTTTTGGGTACATTTTAAAGGCGTTATGATTTTTTGAAAAATCGTCATTTTCACCAAAATTACACATATTTTCATTTGAAAATGCTTTTTTTGCCAAGTTTTTCAAAGGTTTTCATTGAGATTTTGCTTGAGAATAGATTTCTCGCAAAATTTTCTCAGTTTCTTTTGGAAATTTTGCCGCGACCGCATTTTCAAATTTCGGCGGAGAGTCGGCGGAGGCGCGAAAATACCGGCGGAGGCTATAACTCACTTAAAAATGAACGTAAAAATATAAAACAAAAAGCAATATGTTTCAAATTACAGTATCTGTAAATTTATGGGTTCAAATATTTCAAATATGCTAGAATATAATAAGTTAATGAGTATCAATTTATTATAAATTTTAATAAACATAATTAAAATGTGTTTTGATAAAAATGTCAAATTATTCAAAAGTTTGAATTTTAAAAACGTGGAATTAAGAAATAAAAATTATTTATTGTTTTATAACTTTGTCGTGATAATAATGGTGACAATGTAGAGATTTGTTAACTATATATAAGTTTTAATATGATTTATAATTGAAATAAAATATTTTAAAAAACAAAAATATTTTGACCCATAAGTTTATAGATACTGTAATTTGAAACATATTGCTTTTTGTTTTATATTTTTACGTTCATTTTTAAGTGAGTTATAGCCTCCGCCGATATTTTCGCGCCTCCGCCGGCTCTCCGCCGAGATTTGAAAATGCGGTCGCGGCAAAATTTCCAAAAGAAACTGAGAAAATTTTGCGAGAAATCTATTCTCAAGCAAAATCTCAATGAAAACCTTTGAAAAACTTGGCAAAAAAAGCATTTTCAAATGAAAATATGTGTAATTTTGGTGAAAATGACGATTTTTCAAAAAATCATAACGCCCTTAAAATGTACCCAAAAAAAAAGCAAAATTTTGCGACGAAAAACTTGTAGTACTAAGCTACCACAGTACAAAGTTTGAAAATTTTAGCTATTTTTACAACCAAGATATATCGTTTTAGTTTCGGACATTTTTCTTGAGACACCCTGTATTTTGTCATTTATTTCATTATCCCACGTCATAAACAGGAATCAATAGTGTCATTTGAGGATGCAAAGCCAATTTAAATTCGATTAGTATTGGTTTGAAACGTCAACTGTTTTTCGCATTAGTAGTGTTTTCGGGAAGTAGAAAATGTAACATTTGATGTGTTAAAACACAATGGTTAAAATACAAGTTGACGTTCATGGAACTAGGTTTAATATGTACCGGCTTGTCTTATATATAAGTGTTCGTCAAGTAGGCTTGTTAAGAATTCAAAAGACTGAAGTTTTTAATAAGCATTTGACATAAATTAGCCCTTATCACATAACTTCCCATCATTTAAAATTATATTATAGTAAAAATGATATAATTTCTATTAATTCTATTTCTGAAAAACCATAGCCCTCAACCACAATATTTCCCATATCACAAACTTACTATGTACTTTAATCATTACAACACACCGCTTCAGTCATGAGTACGACGACACCGGAAGTGAGGCAAATCACAACTACAACATCGAACAATTAAGGCACTTGAAGTGACGGTTACAGTACGCAAAGCCGGCCGTCAATAAGCAATTTCAGAATTTTATTGTTTGAAATTAGCCGTTGACTCCGCCCACTTTTTAAAACGGCTTTATTTTACATATATAGGGGGGAAGATGAGCATTAATGGCAGCAGATAGGCATTTTGGGGTAAGGGTGTATGGGTATGGTTGAGTAGGGAAGGTACCGTTGTTCTTGTGTTATGGTTATATAACTTAAAGCATGGGGGTTCTGCTGTAATTAATGGGTATACGGGTTTTACTACATTCTTTTAGTGTACCTGTTATCGACCTAATTTTTTGCTAATGGTCATTTACATTCATATATAATACAGAACTATATTAAATCACAACTAATGTCACTGTATGTACCTTACAAATTTAAAAAATTAGTACTGATGTGAAGCTATTAAAAATAGATTTTTACATTTTGAATCTTACCGTAACAACTTGATTATGCCTAAAATTTCAGAAAATTTTTTTCACTTCAAAAAAGAAGTAGCCAGATCTTGTTGTTATCGTCAGGTTTTGTAACAAAAGCTATGCATCTTTGAGCCCAAAAAAAGCATAAAAAAGAAGCAACAACTTTTTAAGAATTTATAATCTTTATCAATAACTATAAAAGCTTTTAATCAGTATGATATTATACGATTTGTGTTTTTTAACACAAAGCCTGGTACTGTCACTTTTGCTTTAGGTTTTATCGTGCTGTATAGTATTTTTAATTTACAATTTTATTATAGTACTATACGCATGGCATATTTTATTTGTAAAGTGCCCAGATGTATGTATTATTTTCATTAGTACATACTTTCATACTTAAACTTAGTTTTATACTTGTTCAGTAGTGTACTAGTACGTAGATTAAAATTTTCTCAGTACAATACTTATAGTTTTATACCTTTTCGTACGACACTCGTATGTAGTTTTGTACTCTCTTAGTACCGCCCTTGTAAGTAGTATTATGTACCCATAGTACACTTCTTTTACACAGTAATAAAACGTAGCCAAGTACTCATAATGCGCTTTATTTGTCAAGTATTCCTACTAAGCGTAGTTAACTTTAAAGTACATGTTTTTAAGATACTCAAGGGTAGTCTTACATTGACTTTAAAAATTATATTATTTTTGACCTTACAAGTCCAATATTCATCACGTCATTAATTAGAGGAGAGCTTTTACAAGAGTAAAAAGGCAACAAATCTTGTTTTCTTTTTTGTTAAGCCTAAGTTAAGCTACTTTTCGCATTGATTTTAAAATTTAGTACTGGAGACCAGTTGCCATTTTTTGTTTTTTGAAAAACACAGTTGAACCTTGTAGAATAAACTTCTCTAAACGGGAATTACTTACAACGGAAAATTTTAAAATCCTTAGCGATACGGTATACCGCGGTATACAAAGGCTTTGTCGAGGATTTTATGTAAAATACGTGTTCTTCTTCATTATTTTCTTCTTTTTTTATGTTTTTCTTCATTATGTTGCTCTTCTTCATTTTATTATTCTTCATCGTTAAATGAAGCGCGTTAAATTTTAAATTGAAAAGTAAAGAAAGGTCATACTAACCATGATTTTAGAGGCTCCCATCATGCGTACTGTGTTACTTGTTGCTTTAGCGTCAATTGCAACAGTTTTCAGTCAAGAGTAAGTTTAGTTTTGTGCATGTTAACTTTTATACTGTAAGCTGTTTTGTAAAATACGATTGAACACATGTGAATTTTGCTGAATATAGTTGTTATATAATGAAAAAATAAAAATTCAGACAAAGCAAATTCTTCAAACCCAACTTTCCACTACAAACTGACTACCCTCAAAAGTAAGTTTACAAAGAAAATGTCGAATTTCAAGAAAAGTTTTATTTTAAAAATGTTCTTCAAATTTCATTTTGTTTGTCTAAAGCATTGAAATTTTTTGAAACTCAGGATTTTTGATATTCACATAAACAAAAGTTTTGTCTTTCTAAAAATAACATTTATGTAATCTTCTTTAGAGCTTACAAGGCTTTGAAGAGATATTTTGGATGAAAAAGGCAAAAGTTTGAAAAAGAAGTTTTAAAAGCTCTGAACATTAATTAATTTTTTTTATTTTATAAAATCTGCGTTATGGACAAGCTTGTTATACGGCAGTTCTACTTTAATAAATTTCATAATTTTTTAATGATAATTTTTAAAATACTGTACGCTTTTCCAAATCTTCCTAGCAAAAGCTGTGCTTTTACGATGAAATAGTCGCTGAAACATTCAAAACAAGATTGATTAGCTAACAAAAACAAGGTTTACGACAGTATGTCAAGGCTTTATTGTATCCCAATTAATTGAATTGATCTTACTACAAGATGGCTTATGCAAGGTCCTTGGAATGCCATTTTTTAATACAAAATGACATTTTTTTGATAGTTAAAAGCTCTTGCTATGTCATAAGAGTGATAAAAAGTGAATAACATCGTTTTTGAGCCAAAAATCTTATTACTTTATTGAAAACAGGTCTAAATGTTCATTGTAATCCATTTGGTCATAGGGTGGTTGATTAATGAAAAGTGGCCCAAGTTTTAAAAATGTCATAAAATGTTATATCTTTCAAAACTTTACAATGTTTTCGCTTTTAAAACATGATTAATAACACAATACGTACTGTGTAATGTCATCTGATGTATTTTACACCCAATTTTTAAAACTTGTTTTGATGACATTTCTATTTAGCAATGTCATCCTTTGATTAAATAAGACTATTAAGTGACAGTTTTATAACCAAAACACCCCTAAAATTTTTAAATTTTGGCAAGTTAATCGTTTAAAACCGTTTACAATCAGCCTCGCATTTAATTTTATGATACTTATATACCCAAACTACTTATAACTAGATTCATCCGATTTGTCTCACCTTGTTTTGATAATATTAATAATGACAAGCCGGTCTACCCTTTAGAACGGGTCCCGTAATTTGTACAAAAAGCCTTTTTTGAAGCCCTACCCTAATCTACCCTACCCTACCTTACCCTACCCTACCTGCCTTACATTATCACAACCTACCCTACTCTATACTCTATGATATTCTACCTTACTCTCCCTACCCTGCTTTACATTATCCCACTCTACTAACTTGTCCCATCATGCTCTACCTTAATTCATCCTCCTTACCTTCTCTAACATATTAACCTCATCCTACCCTACTCCGTTTACCTTATCACTAACCAATTAACTATAGCATAGGGCTTGTACCTCCAAAATTAAAATCAAGACCAAATTTCAATATTCAAATTTCAGGATGTACGGTGTAGCAAATGCCGAGAACCAAGAACCTTTGGCAATGTTGATTGGCCAGCCTTCGACCAACGAGATGTTTGTCGCTGCCAAACGTAATGCTCACCGTATGCAGGCACGAGCGGTCAGTCAGTTCAAGAACTGCTACTTTTCGCCAGTCCAGTGTGTGTTGTTGGACCGACGCCGCCGTAGCGTTCGGAAGTAAATTCATCGTATCTTACTGTATTTCTACATTGGCATAGTTTTTACTGTATTTTGGTACTTATTTTATCAAGTTTGGTACTATGAAAGCGCTGTTTGGTACCATTAAAACTACGAATGGTTTCATTTATGGTACCAATACCCTTAACATCATGTATAACACCTAATACCAAAATACTTTGTCATACTATACCAAACGTAGATATACATAAACTAGTGGCAGTGCAACATCCTTCCCACTTTATTTCTGTAGATACAAGTTTAATCTATACCCAATGTTATATATATGTGAAATGGTCCGCTTTTTACGTTTGGCAAACGAAAACCTTGTTATTGCTCCAGCTTTCGTACGTTAATCAAGCTTAAAAAATACTTTGCTTTTGCAACAAATTTATGTACATAATCGTCTACCTTCTTCTTTAATCATTTGCTATGTAACTTTGATTCAATATGTATGGGAGTTGAAGCATCATAGGTAAAGTGGTACATTTGGTACTCATTATGAGTATCAGAAGCATATTTTCAGTACTATAAGGTAACCAAAAGTCCTTTTTAAAAAATGGAATTATAAATACAAAAAAAGTTTTTTATTTCTCCCTCTTAAAAACATTTTTCGGACAGGAAATTAACTTTCAATTTAATTCCTTGCCCAAAAACACAAAATACCCATGCCCTCGCAAGTTAAAACCGTTTCAAATGGCTATATCAACTCAATTTGAACCAAAGTTACATACATTGTAAATACCATAGAAATGGCTTTCTTTAAACATCAAAAGCCACGCCTAATCTCGCACGGTTTACTTCTATAGTACAAAAAGTTTTCAAGCTTATCGTACTATCAGTCTCATACTATGTCATTCTCATAATTTACTATTTACTTTTCCAAACTACATTCATATCCTAACCAATATATGTCATTTAAGGTCTGATATAACACCAAATATGTCCAAATAAAACATGTCCAAAAGATACATTGTGCCCCTAGAGCCTCTCTCAACACTTTACATTCCACAGCTTTTTACTATATCAATGGTATATCTCTTTACTGTACCAACTGTTGAAGATATATAAAATATATTGTCATATTAACCATGACATTGTAAATCTAACTGAAGCTTCTGAATGTTCTTATCTATAGCATTTGAAATTTAAAGCAAACTTTAAATTCAGACTTAACGTTCAGAGCTTCAGAAACCACCGTGAATTCCAAGTTGGGAAACACTTGATATCAATTGATGTTGTCTAATACCATCATGATATTGTAGTCTCAAATTGTTTGTTTGTAAATGGACCCTCAAACTTGGAACCAAGATTTGATTTTGCGACGAAATTTGCGGCCATAAATTATTAGTACTGTTGGATCAAAATTGATTTCAAATAAAGGGTTAAACTAGTACTATAAAGAAAAATGATTGGTACCATCAACTTTACGTTTATAATAGTAATATTAACATGTTTTGTATCATTAACATCATATTTGATACCACTAACAAAATTTTTCGTAAAATAACGCAATACCTGCTAGTAACAACATGATTTGTGGTACCTTCTACCCATCTTCAGTACCCTTACATCACGTTTAGTGCCCTTAACATCAATTATGATACTCTATACAGAAGTACCCTGTCCTACAATATCAAAGTAAATATACATGAAATAGGAAATAAAAGAAATGAAATCAGTGACAGCGCACCATTCGTCCCTAATACCTTAAAGCTTAAGAGTATAATAAAATTGCTAAAAATACAAATAAAATAGTTTTGTCGCCAATTTACATTATTTTACACGCTAAAAAACGACAAAACTTTTTTTAATACTGTCGTATTAATTCAAAATGTTCACGCAAGATATTTATAAGATATTGTAGTGAAATAACACTGTAAACATCTTTAAAATGCCATCAAATCTTTAAATAATTAACAATTTATTTTTAGATAGAAATATTGTAAAAGATCATGCTTAACAAACAACAAAAAAAAGTGGACTAAAAAGAGCAAAAAGACCTCAAAAAAGACAAAAAGAAACAAAAACAATTCAAACAAGAAATTTTTTATGACCTCAAAACCCCTAATTTAAACTCAAAAACCCAAATTCTAAACTCACAAACCCTTAAACCCACCCAAAACCCCCCTAATTCTTGCCACTGTCCTCCTTCAACGAAACAATTCTATTCCAGACTTGATGGTTAGGAGTTGCGTCCGGATCCAATGCAAAGTAACCAACCCTTTCAAATTGGAATCGACTGTCTGTGGTCACGGTTTGAGCTACCTTACTGTCCAGAACAGAGTTGTGATAGATGGTTAGGGTGTTGTCAGCAATGTCACTAAGATAACCTTCTGGAACTTCAGTCTTGTCTGATGGGTTGCGGTGCTTGAAACTGAAAAAGTTTGGGATAATTATTCAAAATAGCAAAAATTTTAGTAAAATCTAGATTTAGATCTAAATTTAGATTAAAAATTTCAATTTTTTCAAATTAATAAAAAAATATTTCAAAATTTTCATTTTTCGAAAAAAGTAACAATAACACATTCGTAACTTCCTGTCAAGTTAATCAAATTGTATATTTGCTTCCGTTGTGGTCAATAATAACATTTGACGTTAGTTTTTTTAAGTATACCAAATTTCACAAAAATTTTAAAAATTATAAAAAATTTCAGGAAAATCCTCGTTTTTAATAAAAACCATTTTAAAATTCCAAAATCTTCATTCCCAACACAAAACCAACTCACAGTCTCTCATAAAGCCTTGTCTCCACCTTGACCGGGCTAGCCACCCAATGAATATAAGCTTTGGCCTTATTTTGTTCCGTCACCTTCTCGGCCGTTACTGTGATACCATTCGCATCACCATCAACATAAGTTAGTACTAATCCCAAATGCTTCAAACCAACAGTCTGCTTCTTGGTCAATCTTCGGTACTGTTTGTCGGCTTCTGGTCGATAATCCGTCTGTTCAATGTAGATGACGTTATCAACCGATATCTCGTGAGTTTTCGAGTTTTCTTCGCCTGGGAAGTCTGGCACAGTCAATGATTTGGGTAGATTCAGGGATGGGAAGTTCTGGATTGTTACCTTTAATGGTTCTAAAACACCCATTCGTCTTGGTGCTATTTTGTTCAAATGGTCTCTGACCACAGCATCGAGTAAGGGTGGGTCTACACAACTTTCGGCAAAGGTTAGGCCGAGTTTGGCTACGAATTTGTTAACCGCTTCTGGTGGGATTCCGCGCCGGCGGAGAGCAGTGAGGGTGAAGAGGCGTGGATCGTCCCAGTCACTAAAAGAAACGATCCACGCTTATATTATAGTAGGCAAAAGTAAAAACTCCAGTTAAAAGAAAGCCCTTAAAACTTTAAATTTTACTCACTTCACCACTCCAGTATCGACCAGTTGCAGCAATTTCCTCTTCGAAACCACTGTATATCCAAAGTTAAGTCTACTGAACTCAGTTTGTACTGGGCAGTAAATGTCCAAGGCGTTGCACAACCAGTAGTAACTGCTTCTCCTTGACTGGAACTCCTTCGTACACAAAGAATGGGTAATATTTTCTATTGAATCACATAGACAATGGGTATAGTCGTATGTTGGATAGATGCACCATTTGTCACAGGTACGATGATGAGCTACGTATTTGATACGATACGCTACTGGGTCGACTTTGCCTTCTTCTAGAGTTAGTTTAAGGCGTAGGGTGGCTTCTCCTTCATCGAATTTGCCGTGCTTCATGTCCTGAAAGAAAAATTTGAGTATAATATGAGCTTAAACAACTTAAAACATCATCCTTATTCTCTTTAAAACTATATTATCCATGCCTTTTTGTCATTCAAAACAGGGCTGGGCGAAAATTTCGTTTCGTGTTTCGTTTCGCGCGAAAGAGGCACTTTCGTTTCGTGTTTCGCGAAACAAATTTTGTTTCGAAAACGAAACAAAAAAAATATTTCTCAACCCTAAAACCAACAAACGTTAAAAATGTTTGGAATTCTGTTTTATACTGTTGAAAATTGTTTTTTATTTTAATTTTAAACATATTTTGGCATAAACAAATGTCGAAAAGGTCGAAATACGATCCCTTTTTTAACGAAGGAGTCTGTATAACATGTAAGGCAAAGTGCGAAACACAACAAATCATTCCTCAACTAGCTCTTTCCGGTACCATTTAAAGGACCACGAAAGATCCCTCGAAAGTCATTGGCGTTTTGTGTCAATTTCGACACTCACTTTTTTTCGCTAAAAACCTGAGCAGGTCGATTCCGAATTGGGAAATTGAATTGGGGACCAATCCTCTCACGTTTTTTGCGAGAAAAATGAACGTCGAAATTGACACAAAACGCCAATGACTTTTGAGGGATCTTTCGTGGTCCTTTAATACAGAAAATTTTGGAAAGAACCTAATACAAAACGAAATGAAGATCCATCTGTGTATTTCAAAGGAAATTCGCATAGATATAACTTCATTTGGGAAGCCTATATGAAATTCAACAGTGCGCCATTAACAACTGCTGAACCTGAAAGGCTATTTTCGACATTAAGGACTGTTTTGAATGACTATCGAGAAGCATGACAAGTAAGATGCTTCAGAACTTGTTATTCCTTAAGGTTAATACCCATTTACGGCATAAAATTTGATTTTTATGAAGATTTTTTAATAAATTCGTAAATTTTGTTTCGTTTCGTTTCGCGCGAAAATAATTTACTTTCGTTTCGTGTTTCGCGAAACAAATTTTTTTTGTTTCGCCCAGCCCTGATTCAAAACCTACTCTAAACAAAGCCAAGTTCTCCTCGACAGTCCTATTCCTCCATGGACTTTCCTTGACCTCAAATCCTCTCATTTCCTCAACTTTTTGATGACAAACAAAAGCCAATCCTTTGTTAATCAGCTTCTCGGCCCACTCGTACAACTGATCAAAGTAATCAGAAGAGTGAGTAATCTTGTATGGAGAATATCCAAGCCATTTCACTGCATCTTCAATAGCTTTGAAATACTTTTCTTCTTCCTTCTCTGGGTTGGTATCATCAAATCGAAGGTAGCAATTGCCTCCATTGGCCTGGAATTATCAGGTTTTATTGAAATTAACCAATTGATACAAAAATTATGAAAAATTATTGACGAGTAACATAATGTTTCCCAATTTTAAATAAGTTTTAAATGATAAAACAAATTCTATACATTTAAACGATAAACAAGACTTTGAAGATACTATAGATAACAAAAACACTCTTCTATATCTACAAAAAACCTCTCAGATGATCAAAAATATTCACCTTAGCATAGCCAAAGTTGATATTGATAGCCTTAGCATGCCCAATGTGCAAAATACCATTAGGTTCTGGAGGGAAACGAGTGTGAACTTTGCCTCCAACCTTCTTTACATGCTCCTTGATCAACTCAGTAGTCTTTGGAGTGACCACGTAACCATCAGTCTTGAAGTTTTCTCCAACTTTGTGAAACAATGCCTTCTTTTTCAACAATTCTTCCATTGTTTCCACCTCTTCCGCTTCCACCTTCTTTGTTACTGGCTTGTCTTCAGCCTTTTTAGCCGTTTCTGCCTTTGCCGGCTTCGCTTCCTTCTTGTCAGCCTTCTTTTTTGGCTTCGGTGCTTTGTCTTCCTCCGTCATTGGTCCTAGGAGAACAAAAATCTGCAGATCTAACTCCTTTTTGACAATACTACTGTCGGCAAACTTCAACTGGGATCGCAGTTCACCTAAAAATCAAAAATTTATCCGATGGTCAACGAATTCAAACTATAAGCGATACAAAACATATTATCCATCACTTTATAAAAAATGTTCTAGAAAAAGCTATGTATAAAATCCAAACTAACCTAAACATCAAAATTAAACAGTAAAAAAGCTTACCAAGTAATTTTCCAACGTTAAAAGAGTACCTTTGAGCAACCAGGTCTTTCTCATGCTTCTTAATCACATCTCGAACCTAAAACCATCAAATTATTTATGTAAATCAATATAAAATCCCATAAACAATAAAAAATAAAACAAACTTCATCTTAAAACTTACAGCATCTTCTATTTGTTCTACTGAATAAACAACACCAACTCCAGAAGCTTTTTTAAACTCTTCTTCATCAATATTATCCTTGACAGCATTACTTAACAAAAAATCAACAGCTGCAGCAAATTGAGGCTCAGTTTTAATATCACCAGTTGATATGTACTTCACAATTACCGGTAAATGCTTTTCCCATTGAGGTTTGACTTTAGAACCGAGAGTGTAAAAAAGTTTCCCTAAAATGTCATGGATAAGATAAAGCAGCTGTGATTTTTAAGTCAAAAGATTTTATGTCAATGTTTTTAAATTTTAAAATGTAGAAATATCTAAGAAAACTAATGACAAAAAATCTTGTCAAAATATTAACATTTGACAAAGAAACAAAATTTTTCCTGATGTTATCCATGCAGCCTAAAATTAAAAAAAAAACAAATAGAGAAAACTTACAATGTACTTTTCCTTAACCTTATCATCTCCAATCTTGTAAGGCCTAGCTAAACCAACAATTTTGACCAAATTCTCAGTGAATTTCTTGTTGGTCAACGTCTCTTCCACCTTGTTTTGTGGCAATCCCAACCATTCTATGTCAGCTTTAGCCATTTTTCCCTAAAAATAGTAAAATTTAACATTTTTAAAAATTTATTATAGCTTTAAAACATTTAAAAAGTTACAGTATCATCCTGTAATGCTGTAATTTTAATTGACATTACAATATTAAAATTGGGAATATTTTTTATAAATACTAACTGCTACTATTGGTTTTTTGGACGAAGTGCCACAACAGTATCGGATTTTGGTGAATTTTATTTGTTTTGATGCGTTAGTTGTGTAAAATTGTAATTTATGGCATTTTTAGTTGATTCCGGCATCTTCTGAGTTTTCTTGTTAATACTTCTTCAATGTAAGTTGACTTTTATTACTTTACCTTATCCATGTCAATATCTCTCCTTGCAAACTTTTAAAAGTGCTTTTTTGAACCGGAAAAGTTCTGATATTATCGATGAGTAATATTTGCGCATCTATTAAAAACAAGAATTTCAAAAAAAAACTTTCTTGGAATGCGAACTTTAAAAAATAAAACAGTGGTACGGTCAAGCACGGTGGTTAAGATAATCGCATAAAACAACATTCCTATCTGATTTATCGGGTTTTGAAACTTTGACATAAACAAAAATAAAGCTTTTTTGTTGTACAGTAATAAGAAATAGCAAAAGTTAAGTTTTATAGCATGAAAAATTGATTTATATTTAAGATATAGAGCTACAGCTATATTGTGGTAGATGAAAAGCTTTTGAAGCACAAAACTGGAGAGCAAAAACTGGAAAATTTTATTTCTAAATTATTTACAAGACTATTATCAAGCTTAGAGCGAAATTGCACTAGTTTTAAGCTTTGGTTTCAATATTTATGGCACTTTTAATATTATCCATGAGATAAAAATTTTCAAAGTAAACTTTCAAAGTAACTCTGAAATATTTTTCAAACTTTATAATGTAACTCAATTTAAAAAGTTATTTTTTTTTTATTTTTTGTTAAATTAATAATTCCAGCCTTTTCTCTTTTTGTATTTCATTTCGAATTCTCGAAATTTGCCGTAGCGGCAATGATTTATTGCCGCGATTTATCTGATATGCGGTGTAATGCGTTAACTGAAATTGCAGCAGGAGCTAAAGGATGACATTGAAAACGTATAGATTGTACTCAATCTTTGATGACTTAAAATTCAAATTAAAAAGTTAAAAAAAGGTTAAAATTTTTTTGAATCTTAAAGTTAAAATTCATTTTTAATTGTAAAATACGATTTCTAAGTAGAGTATTTTACATTCGCATAAAAAATTATCATGACGTGTGACCAGTCGGCTTTTTCAATTGTTTTGTAGAAAAGTTACAAAAGGCCGAGTGAATGCTTGTGACTCGGCTAGACTGTTTGGGTTCAAACAGATCAGTTTTTTTCGTTTTGTGAGTGATATGATACGGTATGAGTTTCAACAACAAGCGGCTGATTTGGTCTTTGCCTTAGCTAGAGCTGGGGCAGGGATTAATTCAGACAACTGCTAGGGCTATGGCTAGGGGTAGAGCATGGCAGGAGCGATGTTGAAAGCAATTAATAAAACTAAGGCTATGGCTGGATCATGACTAGAGCCATGGTTAGGGCTAGAGAAGTGACTAAATCAGGCACATTCTCGGGATATGGCTTGTACTTTGGCTGAGGCTAAGACTAGAGCATAGCTAGAGCGATGGTTAGTGTCAAGGCTAGACCTAATGCTAGGGCTAAAACTAAGATTAGGGTTTGAGCTAGGGTTATGGCTACGCCTAGGGTTAGGACGAAGCCTAAGTCTAAGGTTAGAGCTAAAGCTGTGGCTACTGCTAATACTAGGGCTAGGGATAGAGATAGGGCTAGGGGTAAGGTTATGGTTAAATTCAATACTATGGCAGGGTCTAAATCAGGCAAATGTTAGAGACTATGGCTGGAGATAGAACATGTCTAGAGAGAGGTGGCTATTGATCCGGTCTTAAAACCAAGACCGGGACTGCGGTCTTAAATTTTTTGACCGGGTTGGTTTGAAAATGCATTTGACCGGACCTATAATACAAACACCTTTATCTAAAGCGATCCTTCTTCGGCGGCTAATGTAGGGCTATGGTTAATACAAAGGCTATAATCAAGCTACATGCTAGTCGTCTTGTGTTAATAATAAACACAAGAATACATTGTAAATATGTTAATTTTTTTACAATATATATTCTTTTAGTTGCTTTGTCTTTTTTCTGTTTCACCAACTTTTTATGTAACCATTTGTTTCTGTTTTTTGTTTAATGTGACGGTGCCAGCGCTGTTTCTTTCTCCAGAAGCTGGCTTCTTTGAAAACACAAATCATTGTCCATTTTTTATTGCAACGTGTTTATAAAAACGCGTCGTTCCCACGTCGTTCTGGCGGTAAAACCTCACTGCCACACGCAGTAAAAAAGCTGTTTTGTTGGAACAATGAGCTGAAAAAACATTTGGAAAAAAGGGCTGAAAGGCTAAAAAAAGTTTTTGTTTGAATTTTTTTCGAAATTTAAAAATTTTTTATTCACTGTATGTACTAAAAATTATTTTTTTACACTTCAAGCGTCAGTAAGCTCAAAAAACGATACAATATAACATGTATTATAAAATCACCTTAAAAACATTTTTATTGTGCGCAGTCACGTTATTAACGTTTTTTTAAAACAGTCACGTTGAGCTGATTTTTTTGGAACGATTCCAACACAAATCGTTTTCCTTTTCGCTTGTTTCGTTGTTTTTTCCGGGACCCTGGTACGGGACGGTACCGCGCCGTTCCGACGTTGCGCTTTCCACAGCGACAAACCAAATCACAAAGTTGACAGAACGATCGGACAGAGAAAGAAAGATGAACGTTGGGAGAAAAAGCTGTAAGGAGAAGGGTAAAAGGGTAGGGATAGGGGGGGGGAACGATAGAGATAAGTTTAAGAGTGGAAAGGAAAGTATAAGGGTGGAACGGTAGGTAGAGAGATGGAACGAAAGTTGTATGGGTAGAACGGTAGGGAGAGCGATTGAACGGTTGGGAGAAGGGAGGAACGGTATAGAAAGAGCTGAAATGGGATGGAACGATGGTAAAACAGTGTAGAACATCAAAAATCAGCAGAACGTTAGAGTAGTAAGCAGAACGTTAGAATAATCATCAGAACGTTAGACCAAGTAGCAAGCAGAAGTCAGGAAACAAAAAAGAGTGTAGCCAGACAACGAAACAAAATCGCGACACGCTGTCCAAGAACGATGGCGGTTTTGAAGTGCAAAAAAATGATCAAACAAAAAGTGCGCGCTCAAATCGCCAAAAGGTCAAATTCCTTTGATTTCTTGCGAGTCCGCGAAACAAATCGCTGCGAATTGATTTTGTCGCGAAGGGTTTTTGCGATAAGGGAAGGATGATTTGTGCGAAGGATGTAATTGACGAAGCAAGGCTAACATGGGTTCCAGGGTGAAGTTTGGGTAGGGTATGGCATTGTAGGTCTGTAATAGGGCTATGATGGAATAATAGGTTCATATGAAGACGATTGACTGGCTCCAACTATTTAAAGGTAGAGTAGGGCACGGTAGGGTAGGGTAAGGCAAGGTATTGTAAAGCCAAGTAGAGTGCTTCAAAGCAGGGCAAAGCAAGGTAAAGTAGTGCAAGTTACGTGAGGGCAGGGCGATGTCGGGGTAGGGCAAGACGGGTAAGGCAACTGCAGGGCAAAGTAGGGTAGGGTAGGGTAAAATAAAGTAAGTTAGGGTAGGGTAAGTCTCATAAAATCTTGTTTTTTATAGTACAGTATTTAATGAACAAGTTTTGATTGTGCTACAGTAATCATTACTAATCTTATCATTACTTTTTGGCAGACGTTGCATTTTTTAATGTCTTAAAATTTTATGTTTTATAGCTTTTTAATCAGTTGTTTCAGCAATATTTTTCTTTTTGAATATCTTGGCCAAAAAATACATAGAAAACTTCAAAAGCTATTTTAAAACTGTCATTTTCAAATCGATGATTAAATAATTTATTTTTCAAAATGATTACTAATATTAAAATTTCATGATATGTGGTTGAAATAAGCAAAAGATAGCTAAACAGTCAATTACGTTAGCGACACCTTTATCAGCTGCCATTCGTTTAATGACTCGCTATGTCACAAGACATTTCGAATCGTCGCTGGTGGTCCGCGGTTTTTTTCTCACGGGAATGTCGTTAAACTTTGAGCGAGTCGTTAAAAGTCGGCATGTGGTCTTACGAGTCGAAATACATAGTTAAAACGGCAAAGTTCAAAGAAAAGTACAAGTCTACAAAAAATAAGTACAAATTTAGATTTGGGGGGGGGGAGGGTGACAAAATTTACAAATTTAATAAATTTTCAAGATGGCGGTTAAGAACTGTAGGTAGTAAGTGTGTGCAAGGTGAGGTTAGCTAGACCTCAGTAAGGCAATATGGGTTACGGTACTATATCACACTGTCACTTACGGTATATAAGCGGGGTAAAGTAAAGACAAATTTAAAACAAATGGTACGTCTTAGGCTAGGCTTTAGGCGAAGCTGTAGGCTTTAGGCTAGGGCTTTGAACTGTAGGTAACCTATTCTTTTATCTTTGCTATATCTTGCTTTTATTGTATCTTTACACTTCCCTACTTCTATTATATCTTTATTAAGGCTATAGTAGAAGGATGGGACGTGGTAAAATTAAATTTTTGCGTTTATTCTATATTTTTCTTTTAATTTGATCCAAATACGTATATGTTTTTTCTCATTTCCATTCATCGCTTTTACCCCCATTATCTCACGTGTGTTTTATTGAAATTCGCTGTAAAATGGCCTCGTAAACACGAAAAAGCGGGGTGAAAAACCCCAATTTTAAAAGTCGTTTTGCGCACGTGCTGATCGTTCTTTTCGCGATCGTCTAGACGGCACTTTCACTTGAAACAAAAGCCATTTAAAAGTGCGCTGAAAGACAGTTAAAAAACCTGTCTAGACATCAGTTAATTGCGTCGCATTTGCATATGACGATCTGATTACGGATTTCAAATTTTTAAATTAAAAGTGCAGTTATAGAGCTAAAAGTGCACTTTTTTAGCCAGAATGTATTTTTGACTCAAAAAGTGCAACTTCTCACATAAGATGTGTTTAGCTAAAAAAAATTCATTTTATTATCTAAAAATAAATATATGGCACAAAAA